ACCAATAAGGGTGAAAATGTGATTGCAGTTTCGTGAGTTGATACACTGCTTTGTAGTTTAAAGGTAACCAGTTCAGCAAAAACATTATATTTGGGTTGTAGCACTCAGAGCCACAGTAGGTTCAGTAGATCTTAACAGTATAGGAATGGCATGTTTTAAAAGATTAGGGAAAGTGAGTAATGCTATTTAATATGCAGACTTTCTAAAAGTTTGATCTTGTAAACTTCCTGAATGGTGACAGCATAGATGATTTGGGAGTTTAGGGGGCAGGGATGGCACTTCTCATGTACTCTTTTTGAAAACCTTGGGCTGTAGCTTAGCAGAAGGCTTTTCCTATGTTGTTACTGCATGAAAAAGATAAATCACTAAGGCATGTAGCATGAGGTATTTCCAGTGCTCTCGTTTAAACTTGCACAGCAGAAGAGCATTTAGTGAGAGCTCACATCAGTGCTGAAAGTCAGTGTTTTTACCAGTTTGTTTGAAGAAGGGAAGTTGGTGATCGATGGCTTACACTGCTGCCTAGCACTTGATCCCACCTGAAGAGATGTGGAGTGTCTTCCTTTCAGAAGATTGAATCAAATGGACTTTATCCCCCCTCCTTTTTTCCTTCTGTGAGTTACAGAAGGCTGAACTTCTGACATTCTTCCAAAATATTTTTTCTTGGTACCTTGCTGTAGAAGCCTCAAAGATAAGGGAGCTACTGCATGTTCTCAAACACCGAGACCTGGATAGCCACGAAGCCGTCCGAGGATTGTTGGTAACACACTGAGAAAGAACAGGAAGTGGCTGGAGAAGGAGCCACACAGAGGCAGGGCAGCACTTCTCTGTAACCAATAGAAGAAATCACCAAAGTGAATAAAATTCTACTTCAGTGCCCAGTTTTACAACAGCTTCAATCTCAATAGCACCTTGTTTCTGTAATTGTCTTTAGCCATTTATTTAATGTCATGTGATGCTAATTTTCTTCATCTTGTGCCATTGTAGGAAGAGATACAGAAGAAGCGCACGCGCCGCGCTGTCAAGTTCCAGAGAGCCATCACTGGGGCCTCTCTGGCTGAGATTATGGCTAAACGAAACCAGAAGCCTGAAGTACGCAAAGCACAGAGGGAACAAGCTATTAGGTGAGAAGTCAGAGATCAGTGGGGTTTTTAGTTTGTTTTTAATCACTATATTTGTCTGTAATATCTTGGCAAGAGACTGTAGCAGCAGAGTCTCTTCTTGCCCTCTCCCGTAGTGAAAATATTTTTTTTTGTCCCACAGAGTCCTGCTGTCTCTGTTGTAGTCACCCTAGAGGGTAGTGACTGCAGAGGAGAAGTCTGCAATAATGCATCCTATTCCTGACCTTAGGGAGCTCTTACAGTGCTGAGACAAAGAAACAGTGAATGGCAGACTCGGATAACTGTTCCTCTTTTTGTGTTAATTAACAGGGCTGCAAAGGAAGCCAAGAAGGCTAAGCAGGCAACCAAGAAAACAGCTGTTTCTGCTGCAAAGGTGAGATATAGTAGACAAAAAGAAATCATGAAATGGAATACACCATGTTGTAACACAACACACAACATTCTGCTGCAGGACTTAACTGGAAATGCCCATTTCTGTTTTGAGGAAGCATTTGCATATTTTTTCTTTTAATCTGAAAACACCTTGACAGACTTCTAGTAAAGTTAAACATACCCAAATAGCTGAACAGAATTAACTTTTTTTTACAGAATAAATAAATATTACAGTAAAACAACTTTCTGGCTATATGTTAGAGATACTTAATAGATAAAAAACTTGGTTGGATGTAACATTTTCACTGTCTAGGAACTTAATACCAATATATTGATGAGTGCCACCATCTATTTCATTATTACTTATGAATTAATACCCTATGCTGGCATGATACATGTTGTAGGCTTAGTGGTATGTGTGTAAACATCTATTAACATGATTCTCATCTGATTGTAATTCTAATCTGAGCTGATTTAAATTGCCTAATTTTGACATATATCCCTGTATATGTCAAAAATATATACAGAGATGCTTTCAGGACTGCAGATAAATTGCTTCTCTTTGTTCATACCTAACTATTTCTCTCTAGGCTCCTACAAAGGCAGCACCAAAGCAGAAGATTGTGAAGCCAGTCAAGGTTTCTGCTCCCCGTGTTGGTGGAAAGCGCTAATTTGCCAAGCTGTTGGTCATGCTGAATAAACATCTTGTTAACTTTCATTACTTGTGCCATGTTCTCCTCAACTGTGTGAGATACACTGAAGAGAAGGAATCTGAAATAACCATGTCTGTTTTTTGCAGACTGAAAAACATCTTATTGCCCTAAACCACTTGTTTCTTGGACAATCTGCAGTATTGGTACCTTTCCCAAGTCGTTAACAACTGGCTCATTGACAGGGAAGGTGGAGCTGGTGTTCGCAGGGAGTTCTTGCTGGAGGACAGCACAGCACATAAGTTTATTTTGTATCTGTGACAAAAGACATAAAAAGAGGTTTCTAAGCTCAAGAGATGCAAACTGAAGTGGGGGTGAAGCAGTGCCATTTGTAAGACACCTAGAAAGGTTAATGCAGTTCCTGTGTTGTGCAATGCACATAGCAAGATGTAGAGAATCAAAGGAGGAAAAGGTTGAAAAAAGGGACTGGACTTTCGTTTCATGGACTATGTGGCTCTTAAAGGTTCACATGCAATTCATGGGTCAGGAAGTAACAAAACGATGGATTGCTGGAAGCTGTTGTCAGGAAAAAGATGCCTGTGAAGGTTGAATGTGTTCAAATACAGCTGACAGTACGTGCTTGCTTAAAGCCTGTTTAATGAGGTTCATATTTAACTTCCAGAATGCAGATGGGGTTTCCCTTAGTAATTCACCCTCCCACCACTAGAGGGATTGAAATTTCTCATGGGAAATACCTGCCTGCCTTAGTAATTATGCTGTGCAGACAACATGCCCAAACTTTGCCATAGTTTTGCTGGACAGCAATAGCCCTGGCAAAGCAATGTCCTCTGACTTACCAGAACCATAAAGAAAACAAACCTCTATTTTCTGGATGAGCTACTTCTCAATTTACTGATGCCACATCTTGATACCTGTTAGCTTTGAGGGCTTGCTTTGTTATCCTACTAAACTGGTCAAGGAAGCAGCTGTGTTCTTACAGTTCTGCTTCCTGCAGTTCTTTAGGGCTTCAAACGCACAATGGCTGTAATGGGCACTCTGGGTTACAGGCTGTGTTTTTGAGTTATGCTTTGTTTTGAGTTTCCTAATAAAATAGATATGGGTCTGGGTGAAGTCTTCAACCCTTTTAAAAAAGGCCCAGCTTGATTACATTAATGGAATTTGCACGGTTACCTTCCAAACAATTCTGCTTTTTGGTAATTAAAAAATGCATAGGAGCTACTCATGTTTAGAATGAGATTGAAGGCTTTTAAACTGATTAAGATACTTGAAAGTGAAGGAGCCAGAATTTGGAAAGGATTTTTAGTCATCTAAAACTGAAGGCTGGAAACACCACTGAAAATTACCTATGCTAGTGGTGATGATACAAATCCTGATCATGTCAGTGTCATACAAAGCACCTGGTACCCTGCGCCCTTGTGAAAGTTTTCAGCTAAAAAGCTGAAAAAGAAGATGAGCTTTTACAAACAATCTGCTTGAAATACCATTAATATAAACTGTCACATAGGACTAATTTAAAAGACACTATTTGTTAATTCTTTGAAGTTTGCAGGCTTTGGCTGCCTGGTGTTACTGCAGAGGTGCCCTGAAATACTTCTTCCTTGATGTTTATGGCTGAGTTCTAAATGATCTGGTGGAGTAACAGCTCATCAGGTTACTCCTGTCACAAGCTATGCTTCAAGTGAGTGAGGCAGCCTGTTCAGAGCAGGACATTAACCTCAGCTCAAACATAGTTGTAATACAAGGAATTAACATGGGAATTAATATCGTGTTTTCCTAATGCAATGTCATTGATCCTCTATCAAGTATTTATCACCAAAAATTGAATACTTAAATTGGTCATAGGCCCAAAAAATAGGTTGAAAAGGACCTCCAAAGGTCAGCTACTCCAACGCCTTCCTCAAAGCATGTCTATTTACATCAGGTTGCTGAGATGAGTATCCAGCTGAGGTTTGAACAGCTCCAAGGACAGAGGTCCCAGAACCTCTTAGGGCAACCTGTTCCGTTATTCGACCACCACCGTCGTTAAAAAAAAACCCCAAACAAGCAGAAACCGGAACCTTCCGGCAGCCTTGCTCCATCCATCGGTGTCTCTGTGTGTGGGACCCCTGTGCTGCCAAGTACCGAGCGCAGGGTCTCCACTGAGGCGCCCTTAGCTGGGCGGACACCCCGCGGTTCCTGCCTTTCATTTCCTGTCGCTGTTACGAGTGTAAAAGCCGGGTCAGAGTTCAGACAAGGAGAACCAGCAGCTGACGTTTAAAATACTTTCTCCCTCGCCTCTCACAGGTGATACAGAGCGCACCGAGGCCCGCGCCGGTGCTGCTCCTGATCACAGTGCAGCCCGAAGCTCGCTGTTCGTCTGCTCGCTGCCCTTGCTCCCGTGGCAGTTCTGGAGCGGAGGCCGCTCGTTTCGGAGCCAGGGCTCCAAAGGGATTTATTTATTCGGGAGCGCTCACGGCGCCACGGCCGCGCCCTCCCTGCAGGCTCTGCCCGGCTCCAAGATGGCCGCCCCGGCCCCCGCGCGGCCTCTCCTCTGCCCCGGTTCCAAGATGGCCGCCCCGCTCCCCATCGCGAGGCGGCGCCTTCTCCGCGTGCCCGCCCCCCTGCCCCGCCCCTCCGCGCGCGGTGGCCCTGCGTCACTTCCGATTGTGCAGCAGCCATTTTGTCTTTCCGCGCGGCCGCTGCCCGAGCTTCTCCCCTCCTCTGGCCGCCGCCCGGGCCGCGACACTCCAGTTCCCCCCCGGGCGCGGCTGCCGTCTGGCCCCGGGCCCAGCCCCTTCCCCGCCCGGCAGCGGCCTCCGAGGGCGCGGGGGGCAGCTCCCGCGCGCCCCCCCCCCCCGTCATGTCCAGCGAGGAGAGCTACCTGGCCATCCTGCGGTACCTGACCAACGAGCGGGAGCCGTACGCGCCGGGCACGGAGGGCAACGCCAAGCGGAAGATCCGCAAGGCCGCCGCCTGCTACGTGGTGCGCGGCGGGACCCTGTACTACCAGCGGCGGCAGCGCGACCAGCAGCGCTTCGCCGAGCTGGAGGTGGTGCTGCAGGCCGAGCGCCGCGCACGCCTCATCCGCAACGCGCACCTGGCGCCCGACGGCGGGCACCGCACCCGCCTGCAGACATGGCAGGGGCTCTCGCAGAAACTGGTGGAGAGGTGGGTGCACCCGCGGGACACGGAGCGGGCGGGGGCTGCGGCTGCTGAGGCGCTAGGGCAGAGTCACAGGCTGGGACAGGCTGGGAAGGACCACAGTGGGTCGTCTGGTCCAACCTCCCTGCTCAAGCAGGGTCATCCCAGAGCACACGGCACAGGATTGTGTCCGGACGGGTCTTGAATGTCTGCGGTGAGGGAGACTCCACACCCCCTCTGGGCAATCTGTTCTAGCACACAGTCACTTGCACAGTAAAAAAGTTCTTCCTTATGTTCTGGTGGAATTTCCTGGGCATCGGTTTCTGCCTGTTGCCTCTCGTCCTATTCCTTGGCACCACCGAGCAGAGCCCGGCTCCATCCTCTTGACAGCCTCTCCCTTCTGATACTTACAGACACTGATGAGGTCCCCTCTCAGCCGTCTCTTCTCGAGGCTGAACAGACCTAGCTCCAGTCCCTTAGTTATCTTTGTACCCTCCACTGGCCCCGCTCCAGGAGCTTCGTGTCTCTCTTGTACTGCAGGGTCCTGAAGGGATGTCCTTGTGCCCTCCCTGGAGAGAGCAGGACAGCAGATTACCGGTGCCACCTCGAAGCACGTGGCCTGTGTCACTCCTCAAGGGGCAGGGCTCACTCTGCAAGGTGCACCTTGGCCAGCAAATTGTCCCAGGGCTTCTTACCCAGTAGCCCTCTTTTGAATATATGGAAACACGGAACAGGACTGTCCCCCTCCAGGTGTTGCATACAGCTCGGTTAAGGCAGGGACTTCTTAAACGGAATGCCTTGTATAGGGAGATAATCCGTTCCATGTGACCCCGGGTTAGCTTTTAACTTCATCCGTGCATGTGATCGTGTTTAGGTACTACAGCTGCCAGTGGTGGTTTGCAGTCCTGGCACTTGTTTTTATATTTATCTCTTTCTTCCAATGAGAAGCTGAAAAGACCAGACCAATTCTCAGCTGAGTCCTGAGTGATATCACAGCTGCTGAAAATGGTGGTGCATGAACAGCAATAATTCCCAGTTGAGGCCTTCTTTTGGTTGAGCCAGTGACTTGACATCTTGTTCCCTTTGGATTTGCTGTTCTACTTTTAGTCCTAGGTATCCATTAAAAAATATCCTGCTTTTCACTTGCCAAGGGCCCAGATTGTATCTGTATTGCTTCTCTTGTTCTACTTTCTTCATCAGTCAGCAAGTCTGTCATTTCAGCTTTGGTTTTCCCTATCTTAATTTGGAGGGGGTTTGCTCTGGATGCAGCACATCCTTCCAGTACAGATCTGCTTGACTTGAATACCCTTTGATGTGGAAAAGAATTTGTTGTCTCAAAGTTGATATATCTATTCTGGATATATCAACCCTGTGGTTTCCTTGCCTTTATCTGCATTCTCATTGTCTGCCCAGTATTGGACTGTTCTATCATCTACTATCACCCTGTGCTGGAAACTTCCCCGATGGACCTCATCACATCATCTATTTGTCAGGAGAGAGCATTCTGTATCCTGCATCTTTTGAGATTACTAGTCACCTTTATTTGCACAACCTGTACTCTCCTGTTTCTCTTGCACCGAAAATACTCTAATTCATTCCCCGCTTTCAGTTCAAGTATTTCTTACCTGTGTCTCCTTTAAAACATTGTTTTCCTTTGCCATTGCAATATTCTTGGGCTTCCAGTGGACAGCAGCTTTGACCCAGGTGTCATGTGGGAGATGGGTGTCAGTCTAGTGTTTGTCTGCTCCAGCTGGGAAGCAATGGGCTGGAGCATGGCTGGCCCAGGGGCCAGGACAGGTGCTGGGTACGTGATTTGAAGACCAGACACCTCCTGTGCTGAGAACTAGCCCTGATTTGAGATAAAATCCAGAAAATGTAAAAGTGTTTGAAATAGGCACGAATGTCTTGGGTTGCCTTAAGTGTGTGTTTTCCTGATCTTTACAGGGATACATATGGAATGATAGTGCATCTCATGCCCTGAGAAGGTGTGAGCAGTGCAAGTCTAAGACTCTGTCAGCCGAGTTTTTGAGCTGTGCTGGGTTTGAACTATAGAGGCATGGCTGTTACATATGTTCTTATATTCTCCTAGTGAAGGAAATCAACTTGGATTGAAAGCCATACACAGAAAATGTCTGGGTAACTAGAAGAGGACCCTGGGTTTAGGAACTGTTAAGTATCTAAAATTATTTAGTTACACTGATTAGAGTACTGGTGGGAATTACTTGGTTTAAATTCCAAAATCATAAGCAATTGATTTAAATCAGTGTTAATAATATGTATCATCATCATTGCATAAAACACAGTTGATCCCAATTTTTGTAAAAACCCTTAGGTGAGCAGTCCAATTCCTGTCCTCTTCAATAAGAACAAGCCATTCGTGTTGGCTAAATGCAGGATTACATTGCAGGTTTAATTGTCTTGGGATTCTTGCAGTAAATGTCTTAAGTACCATTATTTTTTTCTAGCCTTAAAAATCTTTCTAGGAGAGTTTGCTTGATGTAGTGACATTCTAAATGTTATTTCAAATTAATGGGTTACAGTAGTAACATGCAGTATCATGAAATGGTGTGAGAGAATCAGAACTGGTAATGTGAAGTAGGAACATGTAGGTGATTGACTTCCCTTTCCTTGGTTAGCATGTAATATGGTTATGCTAATCACCTACATGTTTAATTGTGTGTTTAAGATAAATTCAATTACAATGAGAAGCCTAATTAAGCTCCATTAATTTTCCTTAGGTATCCTTAAGCAGGTTAAAGATTACATTAAAGAATGCAGCAAGTGCCAAGAAAAGCTGGATCGCTCTAGATCTCTGTCGGATCCTTCTGAAATGCTGGGGGAACTAGGACTGGATGCAAAATCTCATGAAGATAGCAATGAAACAGATGATGAATTGAGTAACACAGGATCAATTCCAGCTGGATCCCCAAAGCCTGTGAAGAAGAAGCCAATAGCAAAGCATGAGCTTGTGTTTGTAAGTACCATTGTTTACATCTGAATGAATTTGAATTGTCTGTTTCTGCATTCTTGGTCATGTACTTATTTTCCATTGTCTTGATAATCTTATAATAGCAAAACAATATAAATTTTGCCAAAGATGTTGAATATGTGCAAACGGGTTACTGGTATAGATGGCATGAAATTAATTATAGTACACCACTGTTGGAAGAGAAAATCATCCTGACTCCTATTTGTGCATATAGAATCCGAGGTAAAATGAATGGCAAAATTACCAGTGGTCAAACATCACATGCAACATTGTCTTGGGCTCTTTATCTGTTCCTTAATAAACGATGCTATATTGATACATAAAGTTCTCGTTCATAAGTGCAGGCTCATGGGCATGTAAATACACGAATCTAGAAACCATTTCAGACTGTAGCGTAGAAAAATATGGTCAAAGAACTGTTTCAATGTGTCTTCCCATTTTTCCAGTTCTGTGCTTTACCTGTGTTTGCAGGGAGGGTGAAGCTTAAAGAAGAAAACAATAGTAAATTTAAGCTTTATGTTATACAGGCTTGAACTGATTGCATGGTTGCAGAAAATAATCCTTTTCTGTGTTTCAGTGTGAATGCTTAAAAAGGCACAATCTAAATGTAATGAAATTTTCATAATGTTGTTTATGACAGGTGGACAGTAAGGGCCTTGTGAAGCAGTCATCTTCCAAACATTGTCTGTCAGTCTTAAACCAGCTGAATCAGCAGAGGCTTTCCAATCAGTTCTGTGATGTGACTTTGCTGATTGAAGGAGAGGAGTACAAAGCTCACAAATCTGTCTTGGCAGCCAACAGCGAGTACTTCCGAGAGCTCTTCATTGAAAAGGGAGCTGTCACTAGTCATGAAGCTGTAGTGGATCTGTCAGGTGAATTGCTGTGGGTTTCAAAGCTAGAAATCATAATATCCTAAGTAAGGTCTTTAATTCAGTCTTTTTTGAATGTTCAAGACAACCAAATATTTTTATCATGCTTTTTTCTCTCTTTTAATCTAAAAGTATTTTATGTGGATTTTAATGCTAAAGCGATCCCTCTGATTTTGTCTGATCTGATTTTCCATGGACTATGGTATTTCATCTTAAAATATCTGAGAAGCTTTTGATTGATTTTTTTACCTTACTTAAGCATGGTTCCTCCTTGTATTAGTCACAAATATTAAAAGGGAACATAATCAAATGTTGAATACATCGATGGGGGATGTTGCCTAGCTTCTTGGAGAGCTGTTTAGCTTACCAAATGCTAAATTGTTTCTTAATTCTCTGAAGAAGTATTATGCATGTCTGCTTATTTCTCAAACCTTCTGGTATGTTAAAGATTAGAGACAATTCTAAAATTAATGCTTTAAAAATATGTTTGTAGTGATGAAGAAGACTGTACAGAACATATGCCTTCTGCATTGCTTTCTCATGAGTTCTTAACTGTGCCTGTCTCTGCGTGAACAATACATTTCTAATGTGAAGGTCCAGAAGCTCCCCCAGATCAAATGCTTGATTCATGATTTACACAACTGTGGAAAATTTTACCAAATTCTTATATTTAAGCATTTCTATCTATATATCCATATATTTGTTGTTTCCAATAGCTATTTTTTTGTTTTATTTTTCTGCCGCATCAGTTGATATTTAAGTCCTGAGTGCTTTCTGAATGTAGCAGGTCCAGAAAAATTTTGGTTAAATTAATGTGTTTCAAAAATATTGTGGCTCTCCGAGCATCTTGAAACATTTTTCTAGGGAATTTTATTGTGAAACTACCTAAGTTCTATGTAGTTATTGGAAAAGTTGTCTGAGCTTACTTACCCATAGAAAATATATGAGGAGGAAGCTTTTGTGTAAATGACAACTAATTGAGTCCCAGTGGAGAGGCTTCAATGTTATTTCAAAGTATGTTTTGCTCTAAATTTCAGACTTAACCATATCAAAGGTGAACTGTTGTATTCATCATGGAATATTTTGGTGTAATTCCAGGTCATCGGTACTTGCTCTAATACCTTGTTTTATTCCTGGTAGGGTTCTGCAAGTCCAGTTTCCTGCCTCTGTTGGAATTTGCTTACACTTCAGAACTAACTTTTGACTTCTGTAGCATGGCAGAAGTGGCCATGCTTGCCCGGCATCTCTTCATGACGGATGTCCTGGAAATCTGTGAAAATGTGCACAAACAGATGGAAGAGAAACAAATCACAGTGTACCAAAAGGGAGACATTCAAACTGTGGAGTCAACACAGAACTTAGCAGAGCAGGCTGAAGTTGAGACACAGCCCACGGATGGTGCTGAACAGCTTAAGCTCACAGACAGTGAAGTGCCAGTAGCTGTGAACGGAGCTCCTTCTTCTGCTGGGACAGAGGAGGCAGCAGCACCCCAGCCCAACCTCCTGCACCCAGAGCCTCTGGAGGCCACTCCCCATGATCTTCCAAAGCCTGTGGAGCAGTGTGAAACAGCTGAGAATTACATCAAGATCCAGCTGATGGAGAGCATTTCAAACAACCTCTACGAAAGGTTGGGTGTGGAAAATGTGGACACAGAGAGTCAAACAGAAGCTGAGGCCGTTCAAAATGAAAGTGATAAAGCACATGTGGACACTGCTGCTGAAGACTCCTCAGAGACACTCACACAAACAAGTAATGAACAGAGCATCCCAGTTTCCCCCCAGGAAAACCTTGCTTCCAACCAGGATGATACTTACAAGAGCAAGCTTCGCCAGCGTTCTGTCACTGAAGGGGGATATATCAGATTGCATAAAGGAATTGAAAAGAAACTGCAAAGCAGAAAGACAAATCCTAAATCTGCAGTACAGCAGGTATTCTATCTGTCATAAGGCCTGTTGTCAGTAATTACCAGTGTTTCAAAACCTATCTGAAAAGACTGCTTCCCAAAAAGAAAACAAACAAACAAACAAACCAAAACAAAAAACCCCATTGACTTGGCATCAATATTCCTTCCATATTAAAGATTTTGAGAATGCTTAGTGACCTTAGCCCAGCTTAAGTATCTTCTCACAGCAATCTTCTGTGATCTGTGAATTTAATTCTTAACTATCTCATGTGTATGTCAGTCATAGACAAATGTATTTATATGTTAGAGAAGTGAGACCCTACATTTGTTCAGACTGGAAAACAGCATTGGGAAAGAAAAATTTGACATCCCATGTGGATCTTAAGATGTAGTCATAAGTCACAATAATGCAGTCCTGCTACCTTCAGATTGGGGTCAGTTCAGAAAAAAAGGTTCAAAGAGCATTGATGTTAAAAACTCTAGCACTCGAATATACTAAATGTTTAGCCACCAGTTCCACACACAGGGGAATAATTTGTTATCATTACAACACCCTCATAGCCAGAAACTGTAGCATTAGTCTCTTTCCTACTGATGGACAGTTCAAATCCCAGGTGTTAGAACTAGCACAGTCAAAATACTTGAGCAACCTCTTTATGAGGGTTGGAAAATGACAAGTTTTTGTTCTGTTTTGGGAGGGGGGAATATTTACCTTCAGGAACAACTCCTGTTAACTTACTTTGCAGTTTTTAAATCCAGCCCATTGACGCATGAGGTCCACAAACAGTGGCCACCTATGGAAAAAAGCAGTTGGTTTAGATAATTGCTCAGGATTGGATTCAGGAATGGGTTTCTCCTTTCCTAACTCATTTCATAGCTTTTAACACTTTTTGTCTCGGGCATCCCTCAGCTTCCCCCTATGGCACTGGATGTGTCATAAGCTTTGGGAAGGAGACACTCCTTTCTGAGTTCCCAGGTTTGATGCTGGCAGAATACCAGGAAACTGATTGCAGGAAGAATGCTGCCAACTTGAATTACAGTGCTTCCACTTGGCATACAGATACTGGGGATGAGGTGTGCTGTGTAGGAATTACTTTCCAAGCTCTTACTAACCACACACTGAACAAAATTACTTTTGTGGCTTCACAATTCTGCTAAGTTTGCATAAGTTTTCAGATCAATAGTAAAATTTAAAAAAATATATGAAAATGTTGTCTCTGTATTGAGTTTGTTTGGCTTCCAGAGGCATGGAAGGGCTGGCATGTTTTAAAAACTGTTAGATACCTTGCTTGTTGGGAGAACAGGACAAAAAAATAGGGATGCTTGTATTTCCTTCGCTTGCCTTATTCTCAGAATCCCAAAGGGTCCTGATACAGGAAATTTCAGCCTGATCACTTACAATTTGGCTTCTAAAGAATTTGACAGTGAGTTTCTACAGAGGAAAATGAGATTATCAGCTCCAGGTAGCACTGTCAATGATGCCTAACAAAAAAACACTAGTGCTTTACATAAAAAAATCTCCAGGAAAGCTGGAATACTCTTAATCTGAAAGAATTTATTTGCTTAAATACTGTGAATTTTTGGTAGGTTATTAATAGCTCATAGGCCTTTTTTTTTATTTATTTAGTATGATGACTTTTCTAGCAAAGCTAATATAAATTCTGAAAAGGGAAGTTGGGGTTCAGCAAAGGGTTAGAAACATTTGATGGAAATTGTGACTGGTAGTACTTTGTGATTTCCCTGTAACTATCCCTTAGCTCTCACAGGGCTGAATAGTTATTTGTCCCTGAACTGCTAAATCGTTGTGTGCCCATTATCATAGCCAGTTTACAGTTTTAAGACCAGTTTGTCACTCACCATGAGATCTGTAGTTTTGTAGTGAGCTGAAATAAGGTAACTTTCTAGCAGCTAAGTTAACTTTGCAAAATTAACAGGTATTATAGCAACACAGAAAAATCAGGTTTTAGTACTCACTTGCAGAGGAAGTATGAAATACAGTGTAATAAAATTCATTCAAGAGTTATGTTTTTCCAACCTAGGTTGCCATGAAGCTGGTACAAAGAGGGAAAAAAATGAAACAACCCAAAAGAGACACCACAGAAAATAACGAAGTTGAAGCTCAGCACAAGTGCACAGAGTGTGGAATGGTGTTCCAGCGGCGCTATGCACTTATAATGCACACACTGAAACATGAAAGATCTCAAGAATATAAATGTCCTGTAAGTTGAGGGTGTTTTTTTTTGTCTGTAAACCTCCCTCTTAATGAAAATTCATTGAGTAATGACTTTAGTAATTATTTTTTCTTGCCTTTTCTTGGTACAAGCTTCTATTTTCCTTAAGGATTTCAGAGTCAGATGCAGTCTTGATCTGGGTGGGGTGGGGTAAAATGTGGTGCAGCCACTTAACCTGACAGCACTGTGTGACATGGGAGTATGCCTGCTGCTCAAGACAGTGCTGACGTGGGATTTACTTTAGCATTTCCAGTAAATTTGCAACTGTGTTTAGATTCAGCTGGAAGTTAGTGTCACTGGGAAGTGATCAGGGGTTCTGTCAGTAGCCATAAGATTAAAAATGTGTAACTATTAATTAATCTGAGATAAAATACCTGTTGGAGTCAGGTTATAGATTTAACCATAGTACTCTACTCAAAATCTTTGATTACCTTTTTGTTTTTTAATATAATTTTGAGCGTTAAAAGCAAAGTCAAGTTGTGATATTTTCTTTGCCAGCTGTGTAAGAAGGAATTCCAGTACGGTGCCTCCCTGCGGGCCCACCTTGTCCGGCACACTCGGAAGAGCGAAGCCAACCCCGCAGCTACGAGTGCAGAAGGGACGGGTGTGTCTGCAGTGAAAGGGAGAACCAAACGGGAATTCGTGTGTGATATCTGTGGGAGAACTCTGCCTAAGCCCTACTCTCTCAGAATACATATGCTCAAACATACAGGTGTAAAACCACATGCATGCAAGGTAAAGTCGTTTTACCCTCAGAATCAAATCAGTAGCGGTCTCTTGATATTTTGGTATTGATGCTGTGCCCTAAAATTCATGTTAATTTTAGTCACTTCAGAATAGGGAATGCTGCTGTAACATCCTGATGAAATTGCTTGCAGTCCGAGAGCAAGAAAACTAGAATGAATTTGAGTCGTTAAAGTCCACATTCCTGTGTCTAGAAGAATGTCTTCCCTCGAGTATTCCTTTTTTTAACAGGCCAGTTCTGTCACTGGTGCAAAATCACAGGCATGGCCATCCTAGTTCCCAAGAAATACAGGAGGTTTTGTTGTGTTTGAAGTTAAACACATATTATATAATGATTTTCGTTTGTCCTGTTTCACCACGTACGGATTTTTTTAGGTTTGCGGAAAGACCTTTACATATAAGCATGGATTAAAAATGCACTTGGCTCTCCATGAAGTACAGAAACAGTTCAAGTGTGACTTGTGTGAAAAGTCTTTTGTCACAAAAAGAAGTCTTCAGGAACACATGAGCATTCATACAGGTAAGTGATGAGAAAGGGAATCCTTTTCCTTTGGCTGGCTGTTCTGTGCTGCTGAACTTCGTTATTGTTCTTCAGTGTCAAAGGCACTGTTTAAAAAAACAAATGGCAGTTTCTCCTTTTTCCTCTAATGGTCAGGCAGCAGAAATAGAGGGAAGGAGTCATTTTCTGGGCTTATTTTTCCATAGCTTAATGTTATTATGCAGATGTTCTATACAAGAACAGGGAATTGTGGTTGGTTTTTCCTGTGGTTTTATGTACATATTAATTGTATCATGTCAATTCAACAAAAAATAGACAGCAAGCTGGAATGTTTTAGAGCACTTACACTTCCAGCCTATACTTCTAGAGGAAAACAAGTTAAATCTCTCAAAATCTCCATGTACGTTTTACAAGACTTGCTGAACTAATGCTGACATTTTAAAAAGCCTAGTGTCTTGAAAGATCTTAGGATGTGAAAGAATGACAGTATAATAATTTAATACAATTATATATTATATTTAATATATTAGTACTCATCACTCCTACATTGATGAATTGGAGCAGAAATTTTTATTTTAAGGTATTGTTCCACAAGTTCAAGATTTAATACAATTAATTAAGCAATGCTGTGTTGCTGGAAAAGTTGCATAATATGTGAACACAGGCAATTGTGGGGGGAGGGTTTCACACAAGAGGGCAGTTTTTAGGCTGCACTCTTCTCATGACTGATTAGTAGCTGCAATGAGGTACTTGTGTGTAAAAAAAAAAAATGAAATAAAGCAGTTTAGAGCTGCTACTCCACTCTTTGTGTGTTATTGCATTAGCACATACAAAATACACTTAAAAATTCTGTCTGTGTGATTAAACCAACTTCTCTTTGTAGCACTGCTCTGATTACTTAAGATAAACTATATGAGAATTAAAAAAAACACTCTCACAAAGCACTCCAGAGAAATGGAGGCCTGGCTTGGTAACATATTTTGTTTTGCTTTTTTTTCAGGAGAATCCAAGTATCTTTGCTCCATCTGTGGAAAATCCTTCCACAGGGCATCAGGGCTCAGTAAACACATAAAGAAACACCAACCAAAGCCTGAAGTTCGTGGATATCAGTGTACTCAGTAAGTTGGTTGGTGGGTTTCTTTGGTGGGCTTTTTTTTCTTAACATTAAGATCCTCGTAATTTTTAAGGTCAAAAGCAGCTCCTTGATGTAGTGTAAAACTATTCCACTGGCCTGGGATAAGACTTTTAAAGCATAAAAGTAAAAAAATGCATTTTTGTAAAGACGTGTTGGAGAGCAAAAGCTTGGTTTTAGACTGTTACCTGGCTCTGGTTTCACACAGCTGTTCTCTAATGAGTGTGTTTGCACTGTAATAGGTGCTGGAATCTGTAGCTATGTGGGTTTACAGCTCCTTTGTAGGACAGAGGAGTGGTAAGGTTGTCAGAGGCCAAGGGCCTTCAGCCTGGTTTTGCCCTCTCTAAGTGTGATAGGTGATTTCAGTTTAATTTGAAAATGTCCTGTATAGTCTACAAGGTCAGGTACTTGTGTGCATCATAGTGCACACTGTGTTTAGCAAACAGCTCTGCGGGAACATCATCATAAATCAAGACTCACTGACTGTTGCATTTAATTTGATTATAAAACATACAAAACCACTTAAATATCTTTGCATTATGTACTTCAGTTTAGCAGAAAGTGTTCTTGGAAAGAGTGCATCTCTTAGTGCATTAGTGAAACGTGGATACTTTTTCCATGACCAAGCAGACTATAGGGGAACCTTTCAAGTGACCAAGAAGGACAAATAGTGCTTAATTTTTTTGAACTCTCAGTTAGGTCCCTGGGAAGCTCTCTCAAGTATTAAGAGGAGTTGCACAATTTATGAGTGCCTGTAGCATCTCAAGGTTTTAATGAAAGCAGTAATCTGAAGTATTGTTAAAGGTATCTCTGGTAGTGCTGCTGTGTGCTAGCAAAAGTAATATTTTCTGAGTGCTGAAAACTTACTTTAATTCTGTCAGCAATGTTTCTTAGAGCTTTTTAATGCTAAAAATATTAATTATAGAAATACAAAGCACTAATAGAGGCCACAGACACTATTTCATGAAACACACTAGGGAAGGCAGTTTTGGTTTGAAGGCGAAATATATTTTAAAAATGAATTTTTTTTATTTAAGGCAGTAGAGTAATGGATGGAAAAGATCACCTAGACAGAGAAGATATTTTGAATCCCCAGCTTCTTCAAGACAGACACAGTCCTTGCTGCTTCTGCTGCAAAGATCTCTACTAAAGATATAATTGATGTTTTCACAAATGGTTCAGAGACCTTCACTAAGCAATAACCAGACTTTAGTTTTTTAATTTGGTGGCTTGGAATGGAAACATCACTGCCAGGCTTTAGTTTGAACTTCTGGCCAAGCTGAGTGAAGCTGAATATGAGTTATTTTCCTAAGATGGTCATGGAAGTTTTTCAGTGAAATATGTGTTTGATAAATTGCAGTAATGTGTAAGTGTTAGAGGGTGGTGGTTGTTTGAGTTTTGTACTTCTCTAATGACTTCTCCAAATATGCAATCCTTGAGGAGAGAGCACCGAGTGCCAGTCTTTGTGATACTTTTTGATGTGGCTCTGTGAACCAAGGATCTCCAAGAGCCCCATTTGAAGAGGAGCTGTCAGTTTTTCCAGCCTAGGAGGAGGAGTTTGTTTGGGTGGCTCAAGGATCATCACCTATTTTCCCCCCTGCCCTCAAAAGCAAAGGAGACTTTTTCTCCTGTCCAGAATGCCCATTACTCAGGAAATGTAATGTAAAAAGTTTTGTTCCTGCGTGGAAGCTATTTTATATTTTCAGATTCCACTGGAGGTTGAGAATTCTGAGATTTCCTCATTCCGGTGGTTGATCCTCTACAGAAGTTGAATCCTCCACCTTTGCTTGCTGACATTTCTCTGCCTCTGTCCCTTTTTGAGTCGTAGAGCTCTGTGATGTTACATGAGCGAGGAGATAGAGATGATCAGCAGAATTTCTTTCAAAGGGAGAAACCATGTCTTTGATTAGACCAGTCTCTGTAGTTTTCATACCAAGAAGAGCTATATAGTCATATTGTGGCAAGGTATAAATGAAGGAAAACAATAAGGTTGCCTGGGTTTATATGTGTATAAGCATCCTGCTAAGGAATGAGTATCGCTACTTTCAGATGCTTTCTTGTAGGATCATGGATTTGATATTTTCATTTCTAAAAAAACTACATTTGAACATTACAAAGAACAAATTCCAGTTGTCTGTGTATCAGTAATTAATCCTCTTAAGGGAAGAAGCAGCTGTTAATGCCCTCCTATGTTCATATGGTATAACACAAATTTCTTATGTCTCCAAGTTGTTTTGACTTTGATTATTCCCCATCCAAATCACAGAAAGAATGTAGTTATTCATAAGAGACAGTGTGTTTCAGAGGTCCTCAGGTTTTATCCCAGGCTTTCAAACAAGCTGCTGTTCTTTTTAATTTTCCCTAGTTTGGAAAGGGATTGTGCTTTATATAAATATTGATGATGCAGTAGGTGTTCTCAAAGACTTTAGTTGCTACTAAAGAATAGGGTCCCAGTGCCTTTCTTATATAGGGTGCTAAAACATTTACTCTTACAGGTGTGACAAGAGTTTCTATGAAGCTCGAGATCTTCGGCAGCATATGAATAAACATTTAGGTGTGAAGCCATTTCAGTGTCAGTTCTGTGGAAAATGTTACAGCTGGAAGAAAGACTGGTATTCTCATGTAAAGTCTCATTCTGTCACAGACCCTTATAGGTAAGAGAAAATTAACAACTGAAATGTACTAATCAAAATGAGGTTATACAGATCCACAGCCAGCCAACAAGGAACTGCCTAGTCCACTCTGAAAGTACCAATTGATTGGTGGTGACTGGGGTCTTGAGAATGGGTGGGTGACTTTAAATAGTGTGGTTTAGCTGTTAACCTGCTGAGATAGTCCTGGGACTAAGATACATGACATAGTATGAGGATAAATATAATCGATGAAGTTAGAAATGCTTTGTGTGGGATCTCACTTCCCTAGGAGGTAAGTGGAAGCTTTGTGGCTGTGGATAAGAGAAAATGTAATTCAGTCCAACAGTGTTACTTCTAATTAGGGAACTGCTTGTTATATGAGACAGTATTCTCATTAAACTTTGCCTACCATAACTCAAGTGCATTTTGGTTTAAATACATAAGCGTACCATAATGGTTTTAATAGATTTCTCACTTAACCCATTTTAGGTGTAATGTATGTGGAAAAGAATTTTATGAGAAGGCTTTGTACAGAAGACATGTAAAGAAAGCCACACACGGTAAAAAAGGAAGAGCAAAACAAAATTTGGAACGGGTTTGTGAGCATTGTGGAAGAAAATTCACCCAACTCCGGGAATATAGGAGACACGTGAACAATCATGAAGGTATGTAGAAAACAAACAGTGATGATGCCCCTCAACCCCTAAAACCATGGTGGAGAGAGGGATAATTATTTCTTTGAGTCTGTGTATATCCTATCTGGTAAGAAACGTAGGAGTTCTTACAGATTCTCCAGTTAGGTTTAAGCTAGTCCTGGCTTGATACCTTGCTGCCAGTGATTCCCAGAGATGGCTTTTGGGATCTTTCTAAAACTCCAGTCACACACAGGGACAAGGCCAATTTGTCTTTCTCAGAACTTTAATGGAAGAACTTTTTTACAAGGGATTAAAAGGTGTAAATCTGGCAAAGAATTGGATGTCGTAAAACATTCTCCACACACAGTTAAAATAATCTTCAGATAGGAGAATGACTGGCCTAAATTAAAAAAAAAAAAAACAAAACAAAAACCAATGTTGGAAATTGATCAATTTCTTGATTTTTAACAAGCAGTAAACTATGGGATGCTTGGTGAAAATATGAAAACATTTTACAGTTTTCTTTTTTAAAAGTATGTGCATTTTTACTTTAGATGTGAAGTATGAAATTGATTTTTGAAGTATGAAATTTGATTTTTGATTATTATGTTGTTGCAGCTGTGCTGGGAGTCTATATTCTCCTATTGGAGGGCAAATCCCACTTTTTGGAAGCATTTCTCCTTTTAGAGAGCTCTTATGAGTAAATCTAATAGCTGTCTAACTATTGAGGTGGAGATTTTTTGTTTGTTTCTAAATAAAGTGTCCTGCAATAGCCTGATCTTCAGTAACTGTGACTGAGGAAAAGCCAGTATTGAGATGGCATTGGTCACCACCCATACACCCCGTTAGATATTACAGACCATGGAACTTGGATGTTATGAGGGAGAATAAGATTATAGAAACATCAGGTGCTGTATTTGAACATATGCAGTGTAGAAGAGGAGGTGAAACAGGTGTAGGTGTACAGAAGGACTTACAGAAACAAAGGGTAGCTAGAAATAAATGTAAGTGACAAATTTTGTGAAGTAAAACACGGTTTCAGAAAGGCATCACCAGCAAAAAAAAATAATTAGATTTGATATTATTAAGTAGTGTGCACTTAAAACAGGGAAGAAACTTCATTAAAAGGAATCCTGAAAAGTTTTGAAGAAGTAAAATGTTAGATTGGTGTCTTAGTTTAACAAGATTACAACTTAAAAATTAAGAGACTTCAGGCAGAAGTGTGGAAAAGGAAAAGAAACAGCTTTTTATTAACAAAATCTGAATAAACAACAAATGGTGCAATCAAAAACTTTCAGAAGAAACAGAACAAAGTCCCAAACCCCAGATGGGGAGGAAGAAACCTGCGGCAGCCCGGGGGAGAAATGCAGGACTGTCCCAGCAGTTCAAAAGCTGCTCGCAGCCACGTGTGCTTGCAGCCAGCAATGAAAAAAGAATGAAGTCCTTTTCCCACAGGCAGTCTTGAAAGCAGAATACTTTGCTCTGAGATGGGTTGGTCTCTCTCAGTCGTCCTCCATGAGGTGTCCTGTGGGGAAAAAATTTCCTTTCAGGAAAAGAGAACGAGGCGGCCAAAAACCAGGCTCCTGCTCTGTCTGGTCCCAGACCAAACCCCCAAAAGCCCCCAAACAAAAGACTCCAAGCCCTCCTCGCCCTGCGCAGCTGTGCAGCTTCGCTCTGCCCCCACCTCCATCCCAGAAGAAACAGATGGGGGGGCGGGGGCACCACACTGGGAAAAAATTCCAACATTTCTTTTCAAACCTATGACAGTTGAGCTGAGCACTTGTTGAAAATCTTACCATTGAATGTATTATGGTTGCATTATATTGTAACCCAGAAGTGGTGAACAGGATCTCTTTCTTACATGGCAGATCTTAGAGCATTCCTTTTGTTCTTTCATACTCCTCTTTTCCCTGTCAGTTCTCGTCATGGCTCATGCCTGTTTATGAACTCTGGTGGTCATCTCTTCCTTGCTTTCCCCCGAGCACAGGTGTGAAGCCCTTTGAGTGTCTGACGTGCGGGGTGGCCTGGGCCGACGCGCGCTCCCTGAAGCGCCACGTGAGGACACACACCGGGGAGCGGCCGTACGTGTGCCCGGTGTGCAACGAGGCCTACATAGATGCCCGGACCCTGCGGAAGCACATGACCAAGTTCCACAGGGACTACATACCCTGCAAAATCATGCTGGAAAAAGATACTCTTCAGTTTCACAACCAGGGGACGCAGGTGGAGCACGCCATCAGCATTTTAGCGGCAGACGTGCAGGAGCAAGAAACCGAGATTAGCTTTGGTGCTGGTGAGGGTGAGACTGTGGTAGTGACAGGGGAGACGCTTGAAGCCATCGAAGCAGTTGCAGCTACTGAGGAATGTACATCAGTCTCTACTCTTTCTGACCAAAGCATCATGCAGGTGGTGAATTATGTATTGGCACAACAGCAAGGACAGAAAATGGCTGAAGGGACGCAGGCCATTGAAACTGTAGAAGTAGAAGTGGCCCATGTTACAACAACAGAGTCCATTTAGTGTATGAGAGAGCATGAAGAGTGAGGTGTTACAATCTGTGAGAGGCAAGTATTGAATGGGTTATCTGGGGCTTTCAGTGATGCCTGTTTTCAAACAGTTACTCCTCAGTGCTGAACATTGTGGTGACAAAATACTGCACCACGCACTAGAGGGAAAAAGTTAAGATGCTCCAGTGTGGGCCAAGGCTTTGAAAGCTAAGATGTCTGTACTGACCATAACTGAAAGAAAAAAAAAGTTAGAATAATGTTTTTTGTGTCATGGAGTAAGTATCATGCTGTAACTTAAAAATTAAAAGAAAAAAAACATATTAAAAGGCTGCACTAAAAACTAGAAATGCACAGCTATCGGTAGCTTTCGTTTTTTGTTTTAATGTGCATTTCCTCAGGTTTGTGAGCAAATTACTTCTATTGGATTCTGTCTGTTTACTCCCCAAGACAAGGGGGTGTTAGAATGCTTTGTGCAGCATGTGCTTCATGTGACATACAAAAAAATTGAGGCTTTTCTATTTGGGCAGAGGCACCATTGGCTGTTAGTGAATCCCAGTTTGAAGAATTGACTTAAATTCCGGGTTGGTGGGTGGCAGTCCAAGGTGCAGCAAAACACTGTTAAAATCTTTTACACATAATGGGCAGGGATCTTCTGAAGGCTGAGGAAGTGGTTCTCCAAGATGATTGTGAATTCAGGTTGACCAGAGGACAGCCTACTGCAGGGAGACTCCTTAGAGAAGTCAACTCCTTTTCATTTGTAAGGGAGGAGCTTTCCCTGCAGCCTCCGTGCACAGCCGTGTTCAGGTCAATGTTTGGTTGTCTAAAGGAAGCTGTCGCCAGCACTGGTGTCTGTACCCAAAGCAGGCAGCCTAATGAGGGATGTTTCTAGTTTTGCTTTACATTTAATGTACAAACTCTCAAGTGAAAAAGGTGTAGCAGCACACTTCTTTGGGAATGTAAACACGGTGAAGAAGTCCACCTAGTTACGATCTGATCTTGTAAGGAGGAGGAGCCTTGCTAATTCCCAAATAGGACACACAGCAATATCAGGATAGAGAAATAGGAAAATCTTAGTATGGGGTAAAAATCAGATTTGTCTCAAAATTACCAGTGTCTCTAGACCTTATTACTGCTGCTGTAAGAAAATACTTCTAGGGCCAGTTAATTACCCAGTGTTACACCACATAGATGGAAAAATCCTTACTAGGTGTTTCTGCAACCACGTGTGGCTTGGCCCAAGTTTACATGTTCCTTATTTAATACCACCAACAGTGCACATCTTGATGTGTACAAGGTGTGGGTTCTTTTATTGTTGGTTGTTTGGGTTGTTTTTTAAGCAAGCAGATGTTTGTTGAGGTAACTGAAAGTGCTTTGCATATGAACAATCAGAACTGTCTTTAAATTATTCTCAGTCTATAGTGGTATCAAATATTTCCTCATTTGGACAGTGGCAAGATACCCAGGGAGCCAGAAACCTGTACTATTGCAGGGTAAACTTCATTAATAAAACAACGTGCATATAATTCTGTGCTACAGAAACAGATCCACTGAAGAAAATTTAAGAAACCCTATGGCAAAGTAACCACCTCATTTGAATTAGTATTTCTACCTTTCACCTTATTTAACTATGTGAGTATCTGTCTACTAAGCTACAGAGTGGACTGTTCTTTTTATACTTCGCAATCCTGTAGATAAGCAGTTATTGAAAATTTTTCGGCAATGTGTAGTTTGAGTTCCTGTCTTGGATCCGAATTAATTTGTAGATGTCTATTTCAAAGGTCAGGGTCTTCCTTCAAAAAAATAATGTAGTTATTTATACATCCTGCAGCCCTTTACAGTTGTATTATTTTCTAATTACCAAATGGAATAAAACTAAAATTAATATTTAAAAAAAATACTGCTAGCTGTAACTTGAATTTTTTATGGTCAAGAATCTGGAGATAGCCATCCTGCTTAAAATTAAAATACTGCCATTATGATGAAAAAATATTTAAAAGAGCACTAGGTAAAGTTTAAATTTACTTAAATTTACTTGTTTTTATTCTACAAATTATTACTAAAGTGAAGAAATGTTCAAGGAAAAATAGCTGTAAATAATGCTAGAACATTATTTGTATATTTAGTGTGTTACCTTACAAAAAGAATATTACCAGCACCTTAGTTTAATCTTTGGTGCATTTATTTATTTGCCCAACCTATGGAAGAGGCAGAAGTGAATGTGAATTTCAGAGCCTTCCTATCCACTGTAAAAATGCTGTAACTGACTCAATAGACTGCTCTTTAAAAACAACAACCAACCAAACAAATCCCAAAAGGTTGTTTCCTAAACTAGGTTCAGCCAGGAATGTCAGAGCTGAATGTTGTGCGCCCCTTTCCTGACACGCTGTGCCTTACCTTTCCAGAACGGCGTGAGGTAAGTAGGGAGTGTCACTTTTGGCTTTGCTGTTCCCACGTATGTGTTGCCTTACATTTTTCTTTAGACTTCAGCACTTAAGATGTTCACTACCCTTCTGCAATCTATTTGAAGTCAGACTGCAAATATGCAGTTGATATTTGATTTTTTTTAAATAAAATTCATGAGAAGTGTCCATTTATTAAGTATTCCTGGTGAATTCCTGTACATAATTAATTTGATTTGTACATTCTGCTCTTTTTATTTAGTGTTAGATGTATAAAGTTATGGTTAATTCTGTCATCAAATAAACGGAGCTTTGCCATGAATTACTCTTTCAAGAAACTTTTTTTGGCGGATGAGGAGGAAGGGGTTGCAGAATTGTTTATTCCTCCTCAGTATTTCTTTCCATATGTAGGCTAATGTCTGGTCTGAATAGTTCTAGGAAGGCCTGCTTTTTAATTTCTGCTTCAGGCTCAAAGAATTAACATGGATGAGGAAAGGAAACACACTGCCCTCCTGCATTTGGTCAGAACATGGCTCTGCAAGAGCACAGTGCTAACAAAACACCGTGTATATTGATACTGAAATCACTCTGGCTGCAAGGCCTCTTCCTGGGGGAGGCATCTGCTCGGCCCCCTGGCCCCCGCTGTAACCCCTGTGGTTTGTTTCAGGTGGTGGTTCTCTTGACTTGGGTTTCCATACAGCACTGGCACCCCAAGGCAAGCATCAGACAGCACTTCCACCTTGGCCTCTGCTCTGGGATGCATATTTGAGCAGGGGTTGTGGGGTGGAAATTGTCCTCCAGTGTCATCCTGGCTGAAGGATGAGCTGTACAGCTGCTCCTGGGCTGGGAACAGTGTCCTGTGCCTTTCCATTTGCTGTTACAGGAACTTTCAAGGCAACAATGGTGCAGAAAGGCTGATTATCTTTTGTGGTTCATCCTGATTCCTCAGGGAAGTGATAAGGGAGCTTTTTAGTGTATTGGCTCTCTGTAAGTAAAAAAGCAAGTATATAATTAAACAAAAACAGGTTTCAAAGGCTGAGTGCTGAAGGAGTAACGTAGCCCACTGTTGAATTACTACTCTTCCACAGGGATGCAACCATAGATGCAAAACAGCCACGTGATGTATGGATAATTTTCACACCCCCCTTTGTTTCTACTTGAGCTAGAACTGTCATTCCTGGCTGTTAAAGGAAGCATGGTGAATTTCTACAGTGCTGGAGAGGTGTATATCATGGTAACGTTCAGGAGCCAGTCTTGGAGCTGCTGCTGACAGCGGGGTGGAACCCAGCAGCTCTCAAGCAGTTCTTTACCAAGGCCTATTCTTGTGCAGAAGAGTTCCAGCTGCGGAAGGCGAGAGGCCCCTGGTCACTCTGTTGTCACCCTCAGGCCCAGGGCTGTTGGGGAACATGCTGACAAATGTAGTGTGACTTTGAAAGGGCTCTGCTGAAAGTTAGTTGGTCTTCCTCCCCTGGGAAAAGTTTTGTCCTAGGGGGGCAGTATTTTGCCTTACAGATGGTAACAGAATTGCTGAATGATTTGGTGCTTTTAGATGTGCAACAGTCCGAGCTCTTGTCATGGCTTTAAATTTTACAAGTGAACAGGACTCTTAAACAAGCATCGAAGTAACAAAAGCAAGGCACACCCTGAGACAGGCCCCAGTTTCACAACTGCCTGTTACTCACTGCAGTTCTAGACAGTGGCAGCTGGTCTGCCTGTGAACAAGGAGGACCACCACAGTCACACTTCTTTCACAGGGGCACAACTGTGATTCTGTAACTACTGAGCATCAGCCAACATGGTTTGTGCGACTGCTATGTTTACTAATTATGGGAGGCTGGGGGAGAAAAGGAGAGATGTTTTTATTAGAACTTGCATTACCTTTACATTAATAAACTTGTGCTGCCAGGAAAACATCAACATACGCTCATGACTTCAAGTTTCAGTGGAGCTCTTGCTCCATTTGTGCATTTGTCACATCAGGAAATCCAATCCCAAAAACCAGATTTATGAACTACACCACAAGCTTAGCAGATGTTTTTAAGACCTCACTGTACAACACCGCACCAAGAGGTTCATACTCTGATTAGCAGCGCTGACAGTCACTGCCAGTCCTCCCTCCTCTCTGCCCAGCCTGAAGGCAGCTGGCTTGGAAGTGTCCAGACCTCAAAAAGGCGTGTGCTGCAGTCTAAATATTTGCTTTGGTGACTAAATCTTGCTCGGACTCCCCCCACTGCAGACTGTTAAATGGAAGTTCATAAAAAGAAACTGAACATGCTATATCCAGAGTTTAAGGGTAACGGTTCATGTTTCATGCTTTTAATTCCATGGATAACTACACTTCTCCTCCGAGGCAGTGGCTCCACATTATCAGATACTAGCAGCTTTCCTAGGTAAGCACCATATAAGATGCCAGTATTTCAAAATTACAGAACAGTAGGAGATCCCTTCATTAATAAAACCAGAAGAAATAAGGAATGTTTACAGGATACAGTAAAAGGCAAATTGTTAATTGTCCCATATTTATGGTGTTCTTCCATCTCTTGCCAGAGGAACTAGACAACAAATTATCGTGGTTTTAGAACATTACCTTCCCTTTTGTAGCTTAAGGGCAGGACTGCTCAGCATCCCTCAGTTTGTAATTTTATAATGAATTCAAAAAAACCCAACCTTTTTGCAGAACAGCCTTTAGGGCTGCTTACTACAGAGGAAAAAAGCCTTCTTAAAACTCTGCTGCTTCTCCAAACAGATGTGTCTCACCTTACTCTAGACAGTTGTACTTACGCCAGTGATTTCCAATAGTTTAAAACCCACCTGCCTCTTCAGGAAGCAGAGACTGCCCTTTTCTCAAAAGCTGACTTTTCCTCCAAGTCTCCTCACAAAGCAAACTTTGGTGAAGCCACAGCCAGCACACAGAGCTCAGCACAGTCCTGTCAAGGGCTGCTCTGCAAACCTGCCAGACACAGAGACGGAGCACAACACATCTGGCAGCAGCTGTGGCTGCTGCCGTGACGCTCACAGTGGGACACAGAGAGTTGGTTTTGCTAAAGGTCAGTGTATCCTGTGACTGGCCATCCCTGACATGGCACAAGCCTGAGAAATGGCACCTTAGAGACACGCTGGCTGGGACTTCTTCCTTCTAAAATCTTGATTCTGAGAATCTGGACAGTGCACCTCCCACACTCTAAGGAGTGAAATTAGTCAAGCGGCTACACCCAGGATTGCCTGAAACACTGCCAGCAGTAGTACACTGTGCTGTTCTGGGGTTGGGTTTTGGGGGGGGGGTTGCCTTTTTTTGTTTGTTTTGGTTCTTTTTCTTTGGGTTCTTTTTTTTTTTTGATTTTAATATAGTTAGCATTAGATGAGTTTGGATTCATTTACAGCCCAGCAGGCCCAAAACAGCCCAGCTGCAGGGTAGCACAGAGGAGGAGACCAGGTAACTCCTCACATCACCTCATGTCTTCAATGTTCTGCAGGCTGCTCAGGTGCTAATTCCTGCTAAGCAAGCATAAGCCTTCTGAGATAGAACTACACAAGTTAGATGGATAGACATTTCAACCACTGACAGCTATACATACCTTGCTATTCTAAGAAATTAATGGTCTCAGCACACCTCCCGGAAGCACTTAAAGACAGCTAAATCAGATAGTTTACCAGGAGTTTCAGGATTCTTGAACATTCTTAGAAAAAAATAAATAAAAAAAAAAGAGGCTCTCTGCACACAAAGACCATGACTATTCTAATATTCTAACAAGAGCCCACAGCTTCAAGTGAACTCCTAGGTAACATTTGCCTTTCAGGTCAGTCAGTTTGTTCTTACAAGTATCAGACATTAAACACCAGCAGACACCTCGTAGCTACAAGATCCAGCTTGTCCGGCACTAAGTCCCACAGGGACTGAGGCCACCTTGATCAATGCTCTTCCATGAAGCATCAGGAAGAGAACACTTGCATCAGGTGAGGCAGGAGCACTGAGCTTTAGAAGCTTCTGCAGTCTCTCCCAGTCTATAATTATTTACTGACCATAGGAGTAAGATAGATAAATATAACTTTTGTTCTCTCACTGGCATGGAAGGTATTTCCTAGTGTGTCTGCTCTTCTGCTTGGCAATTTCCTAAATGATTTTGAAGTACAAGGAAACTCTGGATATGAGTGTCTACTTGAGCCAAGATGTAGGAGACAGTGGTGGTATGTCAACTAAAAAATTACCAGATCTCCAAGCTATCTTCTTATTCAAAATTCTGTTTTGCTTTTTTCCTAATACAAGTGATCAACATAATATGGAGCAACTACTAAGGAGCACGAGAAAATAGCTGTTCACTATGAATTACCACTATCTTAAAGGGATTTATTTCAACAAACATAACCACATGTGATGAAAATAAGTGAAAAGTTTGCCTTGCCTAGTTCCAGTAATGCCCAAATCTGTTTTGGAAGTCCTGAAAGTCAGTTTTGAAAGTGTGTTTTTAAAAAACCAAGTATTTCTGCTATGGAAAAAAAAATAATGTATACATTTTTATGTTACGTTTATAACAAGGCTTTTAAAGAAAACAGTTACAGGTATTCAACTGCATCAGACTTCAAAAGAAAAAAGATTACACATACAATACAAAAATACAAAAAAATATTTTTTAGAACTTACAAACTCAAAAGTCTAAGTGGTCAGAGCTTTCCTAAAATAATAATAATAATAATAATAATAATAAAAAAATACACTTCAAGATGCACTTTCCTTTCTGCACTTGCAGGTTCAACTTCAGTACGAAGGTTTTAGAGGCAAGATAAAAGCAATTTGTATACTGAATTCTACAACCAGTTCCTGGCTGAAATTAATTTAGGGATTGACACTATCAGGTATTTGAGTTTAAAAAAAACCCTTATGCTTGTTTGGGGTAGGGGGAAAGCAGGTGGTGGTGTTGCTGTCGATAAATTTGTTTAACCAGTTCTGATAGTACAATGTTTTAAAAATATGCAATCTAGATTAGACTAAAATTTAGACAGTCATTACTAAAATCCTACAGCACTGTTCTGCAGTATGAAAGCCAGGAAATTAAACTGACCAGACTAATGTCATGGCTGAAAATCACTGCAAAAGGCAGACAGGCAGGAAAAGGTCAAGTTTTATTTCTGAAGTCGACACTTGTTAGAAGCATTAGAACTGCAGACAGAGTATTCTTTGACCTGATAGTGTCCACTGAGGTCACAGCATCAAGGCATTTTGTTTTAAATGGCAAGACAGGGAAAGTGCATCTTGGATTTTTCATACTTAAGCAGTGAGTTACTGATTTTTGGTGTGGCTTTTATTCCTTCTAGGCATAGTAAAGAAAAATATTTCAACCAAATGTGAAGCTTAATGTACATTAGCTTGTATTTTTGGTGGTGGCTTTCGTGTACCACTAGGAAATGCTAACAAGCACTACTCAAGGCTAATGATTTAAGAGGAGCACACTGAAAATACTGATTTACCTTTGTAGTGAATATTCTTTACAGACTGTATCTAATATACAGACAAGGCCCATTTCCTTAGGATGAAACAGGCCACAGAAGGTTACACATCCTACATGAAGTTTAAAACAAAATTAGAACTAAGTTACCAGAGCCACTCAGAGCAAATAATTCCTACTTTGCGGAGACTTAACAAAAAGGTGACTGCAGGGAGAAAAAAAATCCAGGTTCTTATTATTTCCTGTGTAGATTATATTCAAATTAATAGTCCAGTAACACTTCTAGCACAAAACAATGCTCTCTCTTTAGCAGAATTCCTAGAAGTCAACTGTTTCTCCTGTTATGAAGAGGGAGCCAGAAGTGAGAATGCACGGGCATTCAATTTTAACCTGATTAAAGAGACAGTAACCTTTTTCATCCACCTTATTTAATCACTGACCAAAAAAAAAAATTCTTAAAAAGGTACCACTCCAATTTCTTTATTATCTGTAACCTTTTGAAACTAATCACATGAACTACAAAATTAGCAAATGCCTTGAAATCTGTATAGAAAACATAAATTACCTCTAATTTCAAACTAATTCATTAGTGTACCACTCAAAATCTTAAAAAAGTGGCTCCAAAGATAGTCTCATACCATTCTTAAAAAAGGAAACTGTTCCTTTAACGTTACACCCTCCCCTCCCCCCAAACACCCAACTTGTAATCCACATCATTTAGTTATTTTCTTGGTCATGGACATTTCCAAGATGAGATTTTATATTTCGTTCCCATAGCTTCTGGTTGTCAGAAAATCCATGCTTTCCTTTATTGAAGGAATTTGGTCCTGCTGAAGTTGGTGTATCCCTGTGAAAAAGTAAAACAAGGACAGTTAAGAAAGTCAGCTCAACTACAGCAGTCTGTGCAATGTGACACTGAAAACAACAATTTCAAGTCCAATCTGCTGCCAGAAACTACCACACGTTTCTTTCTGTTACATCAGGAGTCCTCACTATCAGCAACAGCAAATTGGCCACAGAACTGATCTCTCCACAGCATCTCCAAACAGAGCAATGAGATGGGGCAGCAGGAGGTGGGAGTGGCAGTAACTGCTGCAGCTGTGAAGAATTCTTCGCAAGGATTAAAAAACTGAGGATCCAAATTTGCTACTGGAGACAAAAACCCCCACGAAACTAGAAAACCTCCAGATGGATTAACTTTAAAAGCAGTCTATCGTGATAAACACCTTTAAAACACATATTCCTAAAATTCATCCCTAATTTAAGCAAAGCCTACTCTGAAAAGGTCCCTATTAATTTTAGGATTGGCCCTCTACTCAAATCTGTAGCAAGCAGAAGAACTACATATATTTGTTTAAATAAACTTTTTTTTTCTTTCTGAAAGAGATGATTCGCATCTTCCCCTTGTACAGAAGTTAAAAAACCTCACCAGACTGCCCTACTTCAAGGCAATTTACAAAATGGAGAACCAGAAAGATACACAGTGGCAAGCAGGAACTCCCACCCACTACCTTCCCAAGAAGAAAACAAGCTTCTATTTAATGCAGAATCAATTTCTTCATCACAAAGGCAGCAAATAAGATTCAAAGTTCAAATGTAAATGTACTACTTTTAACCTACAGACACAACATTTGAAAATTTTCCCGTTTCCGGGAAAGAAAAATTTCTGAGCCCATTCTATCTTCCTGCATTTCTAAGACATCTGCAAGATGTGACCTGTGCTGCAGGAGGTCAGTGTCATTCTCACACACTCACCTCTCTCCAAACCACAGTTAAAAGCTGACCTACCTTCCAATGTTCTTCATGCGCATCTTGGCTTCTGGAGGCATTTCTTCTGGTTCACTCTGCAGAGAGAAAGGAGGTCAGAGCATGGCTGGGCACTTGCCTTTGAACATTTCAAATGCCTGACAAGATAAAGGATGGACTCCAGCCCCACAGGAAAGCAAAGAGACTTAGGACAGAACAGAGGTTCTACAAGGTTATAGACCGAAATACAAATTCCTTTGTTGACCTCTGTGTAAGAAGGAGTAAGATATTTATGACATGACAAGATATTTAGCAAACCAGAAGCACAACTTTCCTTCACCTCCCCTTTATTAAGCCCAGAAAAAGCAACCCTTAATTCAAATTATATAGTGCATCTCATTTTCAGGTAAAAGTTATCAGCACTTTAATGACTTCTTGAAGCAACACAGAGCTACAAAGTTGTACATTCTTAAGCAGAAACAAGAGAGATGCTTCTAGGTTGAAAATTCCTGACATTTATGTAGAAAACTTTAAAGAACCCACTCTCTCTGCCTCCCACACCAATGGTATTTTGTGTTGATCACTGGCTTATTACTCACATCTTCATCTTCATTGAAAGCTGCTGCTACAGAAAGGGTTTTTGGAGCCAGAGTTGGAACAGGCTCTTTAGGCTTCTGAAAAAGACCAAATAAACAAGTAAAGTAAGTCTACTAACTCAAAAAATCTACCCTTGGTCTTTAAAATATTTTGGTAAATGAAGTCAAACATCTTCACTGAAATGGGCAATCAGGGGGAAAAGTTTTTCTTTGAATCAAGCACATAAAGGTTTCTCTAACAAAAAAGGAAAAAGGACTGCTTGTTTAAGTATGATACACTCTGAGCAAGCTCAGCCCTCTCATATTACAGCTCCCCACAAGCAGGTCTTAACTTTCTAGCACACTGCAAGGCTACTCAGCCACTGGTGCATGACATGAACAATGAAAAAGATCCTGGGTAAGTTGTGGTATTCAAAATTTTACTATGTCACTGTTTCCATTATTCTTTTGGAGTATTCTTATTCATCAATGTCAGAAAGATGAATATGTTTATTCTCCGGTATTTTAACAATATAACAGCTTTTTGGCTTAATTCAGTACTTTCAAATGAGCATCAGTGTGTATCACACAGGCCAATTAATATAAAGCTCCTTTGAAAAGTATTATTTTTATTTCCAATAAAAACCTTCCTCCATGTAAAAGTGTAGAAAGCTGTCAAACTCACAACTGTTACAAGTAATACAACAGCGGTACCAAAAGTTGTTTTGACACCACTAAGAGCCAAGTCACCAGTAACAGTTTGCTTCTATAGTACTACCAATTATCTAAACCAATCACATACAGTGCTTTCTCCATTTTTACTTTATTGGTGATTATTTAATATATACTCATAGAAGCTGATACTGCAGCAGAGTCCTTATGCAACTGTCTACAGCTGTTCTTTACTGACAGTGTACAACAGTAACACACCGTACCATATTTAAAGCATCTGCTCCGCAGGAATGGGTAATGTTCTAAGGGACTAAAAATGACTGGAAAGAAACAGGATAAGTTTCAGCACTGTCCCATCTGGTGCACTGTCAGTCACCCACTAAATGCAGTGAGCCAGAAATCCTGAGCCCAATTTATTGCCACTGCAAGCATCTTCTGACATAAGAAACTGAAGCATGCTGGTGGCTCAGAGAAGGCAGCTCTGTCAATTCTTCCTCAGCCTGAGCTGACCTGATTGCATTCATACCCTAGAACGCTGCCAGCCCACATCTCCCATCTCAAAGTAACAGAGCACTCTTTTAATCTTTTGCAGATCTGTAGAATGCTGGCACTGCAGGTGCAAGCCTTTCATGATTACAGTTTGAATTTAACGCAGACAAGGATTTATAATGTATCCATCACAGTGGTAGGCAGGAAACCTAAATGAACTGTATTAGATGGAGAGGCAGTGCCAGGCTTGTCCTTGCCCAAGCTATAGAGGACTGCTTTTGAAGTAAAGAGACTCATCAGATTCACATCTAAACAAGCACAAGTATACCTTGTACCAGACAATAAAGGGCATCAGAATTCCTAGCAACCTATGTAACGAAGCCTCGTGTCTTGCATAATGTACAAATGAATCATACTGACCTTGCAAAGCACAGGCAAAGTCATGAAAAATCAACTGTACTTCCCCATCCAGAATAAGATCTTTGGAGTGGAAGACAACCTATTAAACCATCTAAGAGATGCTTGCTTGCAGCTTTAAGCATCCTATAGCATGAGGTTCCCAGCACTCATTTCAAAGTAGCCTGAGCAGTTTAACAAGTCTGCTCATTTCCCTCAGGAAATTATTCCAGACTTATCAAATCTCATTATAAAATTATTCTCTATGTTCAAAGATCAACAGTTCATTTCAATCAAGTCTTTTGCTTCCTAAGACAACTGACCTGTTATTAATCACCCTGAAGTACTTACACATGCACAACTAGTTGGCCCTGCAATGCCTGCTTAAACTTTATCCAAGTTACCCTCATGGAGTTCAAGGTTTCCCTTTGCAAGGAAGCCTTCCCAAAGTGCTACCCTTTTCACCTCAGTTTCCCTAAAATTAAAAGCCCTTGGGCAACTTACATTTGCTCCTAGTTTGATGGATATTGCAGATGCCTTCTTTGTTGTCTGACTGCCTATGGAAAATCCAAACTTGGACATTTTGGCAGGAGCAGGCTTTGTAGTGAAGTCTTCGGCTTCTTCATTAGCTGCCCGTTTCTCTGCGCTGCGACTCGAACTTTCTCCTCCATTACTGGAAGAAACAGTCTTAGTTTTCACAGGTTTTTCTGCCTCTTCTTCAGGTCCTGGTGAAGTCGAAACAACTTACCAAGATGAGCTACTTTTACTGAGCAGATTGATGGGAGCAGCAACCTCAAAAAGCATTATACTTTGGGTGCAATAGGTAAGGTGTTTTTAGTGACAGCAGTTTCCACCAATGTACATTTAGTGGACAGCAAAACACAAAGAGGAGAAGAAACTGCAAGCACTCCACTACTGGTAAAGAACTTCTTTTGTATGAGCCAGGAAAACAATCTTGAAGCACCATCTCTTTTATTTAGTACGGAAGTCAAAGTTCACGTAGTAAATTACATGTAGATGACTAAATCTTTTTAGGGTTTTAAGTTGCCATAGATAAGCTTTGATAACTGGAATCCCAATTCCAAATCTAGAGTAGATAATCTAAGTTAAAATTAATTCTACTAAATTTCTACAAAATCATGTCCATGCCAGTCTCTAGGCTTGTCTGGCACAACTCTAAAACCACGGGAGTGACTGCAGTGAGGCCGGCTGTCTCAATCATCTTTCAAGTCACTGCTTGTCCGCATCTCATCTGTAATAAATCTGCCAAGCTCTGCTTGAGGAAGGAATCAGCACTAAAAAAACATATATATATATATTTCACCTTTTCTAGGTTTGTATAAAGTCATGGAAAACATAGCAGCTGAACAGTGAACCACAGATTAAAAAAACACTCCAGTAACATTTCCATTCCTACATTATCAGCTTCTTCAGCTACACCAAGAGACAAAGGTGTCCTTGGAAAACTCACACTGAACATAGTAAATGCTTCAGCAAAAAGACACTTCCCTGCTGCTGCAATAAGCAAATCCCTGCAGTAGCAGGAGGAAAAAAAAACCCCAACACACATTAGGGAATGGACAGGGAAGTGCTCACAGTAACAGTTTAAGAAAAACTGGAGTTAGCACCAGTTCATCATCGTATCAAGTGGAGAATAGGACATTCCATGCACAGCAAGTTCAGACCATCAGGGCAAAAAGCTAATGGCAAAAAGCTACTAAGTAAGATGGAGCAATGGGAGAGAAGAAAGTCTGAACTGGAGGTCAACAATATTGTAGCTCTGAGGAAAAAAAGCAGCAAACAACATCAGGACAGAGGAAGTCTAGGGACACCATCTATATACGTGTATTTGCTATTTCCCAAATCATAAGCAGCAGAATATACCATTTCAGTAGCATTTCTACCCCACTCTTCCAGCTATCAAGATAAGTGATTGAAACAAAAATAGATTTACTGTTCGCCTTTGGAAATATGGCAGATCACAAAAAATATTTTGTAACTTTAATCAGTTTCACTAGAAATTTGACCCACAAAGCATAGATATAACAGTGAAAAACCAAAGAGGAAAGAGAAACAAGCAAATTTACACAAGTGACCTTGGGTACTGGTACCTGACTTAGCACAGTTTACCAAACAGCAATCTGCAAGACTAGAAGGTCTTTACAGCTAGTCCATGGAACTACATTAAACAGAATATTCCAAGTCTAGCCTAGGTACACTAGAGAATGTGACTCAAGGGTAGGTAGGAGATTCACTGGCCTTAAAAGTGCTGGAACCATGGGCCTAAAAGTCTATTTTTTCATAATATACAAAATCCACAGCAGTCCAAATCTCAGGGCGCACAGGACCAGTCCAGGTTCTGAAACTAGTGCTAGCTTGAAGCTAATTACACTGAAGCTTACTTCTTTAAGGGAAAATTCTCAAAGACTGCTAAGCACAAGGTGAAGCCTAACACAACCTACTCACATCTGTTTTCTCACCAAATTTTAGGGAGCATCTCTCTCAAAATTAGCTCCTATCACTGCATTCTGAGTTTTACTTCTACTAGGCTTGATGTAGGATGAACTGCAGAGCTGTAAGGGGCACAGGACAATTGGGGAAGGTGGGCAAGGAGCTGCTGTGCTGTTTGATTTCTGCAGAAAACAGAAATGCAGACACGTATTAACCATGAAACAGGTCTCTCCCATGCCAATGCATGCATATATATATATATATATATGCATTCCAAAACACTAAGGTTTCTTTATTATTTCCTAGAGATATCAAGGAGATCACACTTCACCTACAGAAAGCACTAGCACTATTTCCAAAACTAGACTGATCAGTGCTGTTTTTGTGGATCACATTAATAAAAAGCTGTCCTACTGCACAGAGGAGTTTTACTCATGTGTAACAAACCACACGAGTGCACAACTTCCACTCTCCAGGTGGTTGCAGTGACAAGACTGACAGTGCCAGCTGCACAGCATTCCAGGATCTCTTGTCTCCAGGAGTGCGACCACTGGTGGAGGTGGGAACAAACCAGACACAACTAAGTTAATTCTAAAATAAACCCCACTAACCCTGGCAAAGGCTAAAGATTCCAAACTGCTTTCAAAAAGAGCTAACTATTCTTCCTTAGGGCCAAGGTACCATAACTCATTAAGACCATGTTGCAGCACACCAACCAGTACACAGGGCACTAAGGATCACTTATGTACTGATGCTCTCCAGTTACTGTACTACTAATACAAAAAAAAAAAAAAAATCAAACCCAAAGGCCCACCAAAAACCAACAGAGAACCAAGAGTCAAGGAACTACCTAAAAATCAAGTATTCCTGTTCAAATGTCAGTGATTATCAGAAATAACACTCACTGTTGAGGCTGTCCTAACTGGTTTACAAGCCTGATTTAATTTTTCAGCAGATCAAAGAAATGCCCTCTGTCTACAGATATATTTAAGCTGAAAAAAACCCACCAAAACCCAAATACAACACAAATAAAAACACACCAGGAAAAAAAAGTTTTATCTTTGAAAAGACATTATCCTCTCAACTTTAAATCAAGGGAAGAAAAAAGAAAAGAAACATCCCATTAAAAAATTTCGAATAGTGCAGAAAAGACAAGGCTGTCCAGTCACAATATAAATACTATAAAACCAAACCATAAACTTACAGGTTGCTGCCAAAGCAAAAAAAAACCCAAGATGCTTAAAAAGGCAATTAAGGAATATTCACTGTACTCATATGTAAAAAAGGTACCGCGGCTGCTAAAAGTAAAGCTTTAAGGTGTTGTCTTCATCCTTGCAGGCAGCAACAACCGAATTTCTCTCAAAACACAGCATAAGTATCCCGCGTATTTTTAACAGAGAGAAATAGCACATTTGCGTGGAGAAGATGTCGCAGTTTTACAAAAGTGCCTGTAAGGCTGAGGACAGCAGGCCCAGACTCGGCCTATCCTCCAGCGCAGCCCCCTCAGGCCCGGGCCGCCCCCTCTCCTCGCAGGGCCGGGCATCACACGGCCCGGCCCGGGCCCGCCCGGCCGGGGGAGGCACTCCTGGGCCCTCCCCACCCCTGCGGGACCAGCGCGGACCCCATTCCCACCCCACAGCTCCGCGGCGAGAGGCGCTACATGTTCACCTCCTGCGGGCTGCGGCCGCTTCGCCTTCTCCCCCTCGGCTCGGCTCTGCCGTCCGCCATTTCCCCCGCCTTCCGCCGGCCTCCCGCGCCGCGCACGGCGCCACGCGCCGGCCCCGCCCCTCCGCGGGGCCCCGCCCCTGCGGCGCGCGGGGACGCGCCCGGCGGGCGCAGATGGGCACCGGTCTCCCCTCCCCTTCTCTTCCCTTCCTTCCCTCCCCTTCCCTTCCTTCCCTTCCCTTCCTTCCCTCCCCTTCCCTTCCCTCGCGGGGAGCGCCAGCCCCCGGCACCGCCAGCTGAGCCGCTGCGTCACAGGCGTGTGGAGGAATCGCGGCCGCTGCCGCGCTGACCGGCGCGCCCTCCCCGCCGCGCGTGGTTTAGCGGTTACGGTCCGTATTTCACCAATATCGTGACCTCGTTACCTCGTCGGGGTGTATGAGCATCTATGGGCAGCGGGGGCGGGAAGTGCCAAGAGGATGGAGCCAGGCTCTGCTCGGCGGTGCCAAGCAGTACGACAGGAGGCAATGAGCAGAAACTGAGGCACAGGAAGTTCCAGCTCAACTTAAGGAAAAACTCCTTTACTGTGCGCCTGAGTGTGCACTGGGACATTGCCCTGAGAAGGTGTGGAGTCTCCCTCACTGCATATTCAAGAACCATCGGGACACAACCCTGTGCCACGTGCTCTAGGATGACCCTGCTTGAGCAGGGAGGTTGGACCAGATGACCCACGGTGATCCCTCCCAACCTGACCCGTTCGGTGATTCTGTGACTGTAACAGGAGCTCAAGTGAGCAGTGACACCATTTCCCCTCCCCAGTGTGCAAACCAGTCACAGAAGAGGCTGTATGGCAAACAGCAAAGGACAGGAGGGTCAGGTACCCAGCCCGCAGCGGGGTTTTGGAACTTCTTTAAGGCCCCTTCCAACCCAAACCATTCCATCATTCTATGGCACGCAGCAGCTCCATGTTGTCTCTTCCTCCTGTGAAGAAAAAGAGGCTGCCCAAGTGTGGCACAGACATTCACACAGCCCGTCCTTGCACCTGAGGGCTTCATAGGAGCTGAGGACAGCTCTCAAGCAGCACCTGAAACACCACCCTAGGGTGAAGCTTTGTGTACTGCCCAACCATAGACAGCTGAAAGGAACCAGGTCTTTCCATGAGCCAGGGGTTATCCATGCCTGGAGACTCCTGTGCCTCACAGGCAGTGAGAGGCAGTATTGGTGTAGAGAATCTTCTGCTTTCCAGTTCCCCCCTCGAAACGATGTGTACCAAGAGGTGAGACAGGGAGTGCACACCACCAACCCCTGGTATATTTGAAGTCTACTCTGTGAAATTATACTCCCCTCTCCTAGTTTTTTTAATTTTCAGGACCAAACTCACCACCTGCCATCACTGACTTCAAGCATCAGGGTAGTTGACTAAATTAACAATTTAAGCGCCCTTTAAAACCCTTCTCATGCTCCAGACAAAAGGGTCTCTCCTCCTGAAATACTAATAGGACATTTTATCACCTCAAAAGTTCCAACACTGTGGGAAATTTTACATGGCCTGAAAACACAAGCACTCAGGGATAAAAGCTTTTTTTTTTTTTTTTTTTTTGCATGGCCAAGAAATTTGATTTATTCCTTTCAAACAGAGACTTGATCTGTGCCAGACAGAAGATCTAGAAATAAAATGGGCAGCTCCACAAACTCAAGCAAGGTTTTACCCATTTGTTTTTAGTTCAGCATCCAAAAGTCAATGCATCTGCACATCAAAAGAAGATCGAGGAAGTAATGGGGAGGTCTCTTCTACTTCACCTTAGTAATCTTTTAGCATAAAACTATAGACAGCCTCCAACCACTGCAAATCGAAAGCAGGGAGGTGTTCTCTGAAGAATGACCTTTGCATTCAGTTACAATCACCCTTGTCCCAGCATGGTTCAACAGAACAGACTGATATTCTTTGTGCAGAGTAATTTTTTTAGAACATATTATCTCATTTCTCTTACATAATTTCAATAATGTGTGCATAAATTTAAACAGCTGGACTACTAAGGTAATTAAAAAAAAAAAAAGGCAACCCTAACAGCAGTCATTTCAAACTTAAGCAACAAAGACATGTTTTGAGATAAAGAGCTGAACAGAGTTTTAAATGTCCCAAGAAACTGGAGCATTAAAGGGCACAGTTTGCCTGTAAAAAAAAAAAAAAGGTCATTCTCTTTCCATCACTCTACTTCTGCTTTAGTTTATACTTCTTAGGGTAGTTCTTGGCAAATTGCTTTTGTACTTCTTCCTGTCTCTTTCCAAGTTTAAGCGTGTTCACCAGGTCTAAGGTTTTTTTCAGTTCACTTACAGGCTTGGTTACAAAGCCACGATATTTCCTTTTTGGAACAAACTCCAGAGCCTTCTTCCAGTCGGCAGTATCTTTCAAGGTTAATAAAATATTCATCATTTGATCCAGTGTAAGATTTTTGCCACCAGTATTCCAAAGCAAGTATTTATCCAGCGGAAGGGCTGCAGTCTCCAATCCCAGTCGCTTCGCCCGTGCTAAAGAGACTCCTGTTTTTATGCTCTTGTCAACCATCGACCCGACAATATAGATTTTATCGTGATCAAATGTTTTCATCACTTTGGGAGAATCAGCTGTCAGATAGATGAGCTTATCCTTTGGAAAGACTTCTGTGTAGCACTGCTCTGTCACAGTGATAAGCAGCTTGCCCCATGCCTCTTTATAATGCTTAAGAAATTCCCTGTGATAGAGGCTATCATCCTTGAAGTTACAGAGGTGGATGTGGAACGGATCCACAGCCCTCCGATTGCAGCCTTCACTCTGGACCAACTGTTTCACTGTGTTTGCCACTTCTCGGACAGACATTTCTTTTTCATAAGACATGTCAAATACCAGAGGCTGGCCAAAGATCATGGACTGAGCAGCCCTCCAGTTGTAGGCTTTATCCATAGTGCTGGCCCACAGAGATAAAAATGGACTTTTTTTGGTTTCATCCATTTTTGAAGTTTGCTCTTGTGGTTCCAGCTTCCTTTCCCTTTTCTCTTCCATCTTTCTTTTGTCATTTTTCTTGTAAAGTTCTTTGAGATACAAAAACTTTAAATACTTCTTTTTGGCTGACTTGGAAGGACACTCCATAAACGTTTTTAGCTGTTCTTCACTGACATTTTCTGGAACTAATTTGCCAGCTAGTCTCCACATCTCCAAAGTCTCACGTGCAGCAGCCAAACTGGAAAGCTCCTGAGGCTCAGAGACCGTCTCACTGACCTCTTCTTGCAACCCAGACTTCATTACCTTCTTCCATGCATCTAAATCTAGTTTTTCTGAGGGTTTGCATGAGTTGTCCTGCTTCAGACAAAGTGATAAACTCAGAGTTCTACTGAGTGGAAACAAATCCCTTTTCATCCCATGTTGTGCAGCAACTGGAAGGACAGAACTTCTTACTATTTTTTTCAGAAGCATATTAGCAGACTGCATACTTAGACATGTGCTGTGTTCAAACACTTATCTGCAAAACACCAATAGAAGGAAAAACAACTTGTCAGAATTCACAAAGAAAACACGCACTAATTTTTATTCTTAGTAACACAGACAATAGCTTAATTCTTGGAGAGTACTAGAAATTCCTATTTCCACTATTACTTTTTTTTACTGTTTCCTAAATAAAAACAGTATGTATGACACTGCTGCTTAAAACAGCTATACTTACTGCAATTCAAAATGTGGTCAAACAACCTCCAAGTACTGTCCAAGATCTGTACCAAGTTTTCTGTACCATATGATGAGTAGGAGCCTTTTCAACCCAAGTCAGTGAAATGCTGCATGGACACCAGAAATATTTTTATACACTGAATTTATCTATGCTGTGAAAAGAGAAAGAAGAAATGGAAGAATAAGCAACCAATATATGAAAGGGCCATCTTTTTTCTTTTTACTAAACTGCCCATTAAGTTGGTATTGGCACATAAAGCTAAGGAGATAAACCCTACAGCCCCATTAATTTCACATGCATTTGTATTTAAATGCGAAAAGTCTGCAGAAAAAAAACACCCAAGACTGTTTAATATTTTCTTTATCCTATGCACACTACAGAACTAAAATCAGTGAAGTTTCAATGCTTGAGAAAACATGATTTGATCAAAACTAAAATTAGCTCAAAATTTTGAAAACAAAATTCATGATCTCCCTAATAACCTAAAAATAATTTGATGTACAGAAGAACAAGTTAAATCTAATTTTGGGGTTATATATATGTACCTGCTCAGATGAGGCACAGAAAGAGCTGTGTATTAAGAAATGTGACATAACCTGGCCTGCTTTTACTATACAGTAACTGGTCAAACTGGTGACCAACTTCTCATTTACTACTGTTCTTAAGATAAAAGGAACAAAAACAAACAACCAACCTAACAATGTGAAAGTTGAGAAGTGTTACTATAGAGGTGTTCCTAATTTTACATTTCACCATTAAACCTAATGGCAAAAATAATAATCAAAGAAGTATTTCGTCCAGCTTGGAGAAATCAAGGGATAAGTTCCTCAATTAACTTATATTACTGGAGCTTCAATTAAATCAATATTTAAACACCAGATTTACACAGTCAGAACACTTGGTGACAGCTTTTGATAGAGCCAAGTTACCTTCCAGTGTGTCCAACATTCACACTAACATCATTACTGCAAGATTCAATCTAAACCTCTTTTAAGAACTTAGATTTGTAACACATAAATGTTTTTTTTTTCTTTTTTAGCATGGCTTCACCATAACTAATCTCAGGCACAGAAAAGCCCTTTACTGATACTTCAGAGACTGAATAACTCTTCTTACTTCCCCAGCACAGCTGCCCACACACGGAATCACAGCCTGGGACAGGTTGGAAGGGACCACTGTGGGTCATCTGGTCCAACCTCCCTGCTCAGGCAGGGTCATCCCAGAGCACGTGGCACAGGATTGTGTCCGGATAGTTCTGGAGTATCTGCAGTGAGGGAGACTCCACACCTCCTCTGGGTAACCTGTTCCAGCGCGTTGTCACTCACCCAGTAAAGAAGTTCCTCCTCATATCCAGGAGGAACTTCCTGTGCATCAATTTCTGCCCAGTGCCTTTTGTCCTATTACGTGGCATCACCGAGCAGAGCCTGGCTCCGTCCTCTCGGAACCCTTTCTTTAGATGTTTATTCACATTAACGAGGCTGCCCGTAGGGGGACACGCCAGGCCAGGGCACGCAGTCATGCGGCTCTTCCAGAGCAGCATGGCCCGCTGCTGAACAACTCCTAAACCAGCCACGATCACCCGAGCGATTACCCACGCCAGGTCACCCTCCAGACCCAGCTGTGCCCTCTCCCCTCCCCACAACACCGGCGCGCCCTCCCCACGCTGGGCGGGACCCACGGGCACCGCGGCCTCCGGGGCACCGAGAAACACCTGCCCGAGCTCCGGCCGCGCTCGCCCCGCCCCGTGCTCCGTCGGGGCAGCCAGGCAGACCCCGGCGGCTCTGGGCGCACCCGGCGGTCACCGTGGGCGCGGGGCCGCTCCGGCCACGCCGCCATCAGGGCTCACCTCGCGGCGCCACTGCGCCTGCGCCCGCGGGGCCGGCCCGATTCGCGGTGCCGTGGCCCTGGCCTTTCCGCCGTGCTCCGCGGCTGCGCCCACCGTTCGGGCTCCCTTCGTCCCCACGGCGGGGCCTGCGGCGTGCGGTGATCCCAGCTTTTCCGTGTTCCATTCCGGGGGCGCGGTGGGGTCTTGATGCGGGGCAGGGTCTGGCCCTGCTGCCACGCTGGTCTGGGACTGGGGCGTGAGGCAAACGCTGGGACCCGAGGGGTTTGTCAGCTCGGCGTGGTGGTCTGTGATTTCTCTTCCTCTCTCCTTGTCTGCCCCCTCTCTCTGCCCCTCTCTCCCCAGTCTCTCTCTCTCTTTTTTTTTTCCCCCAACTTTTTTGATTTAATACCGCGGAGAAGTTTCGCTTATTTTTGTCCCAGGTGGTTGTTGTTGTTGTTTGATGGTGCGTTGTTCTGGTTTTCTGTTGTTTCCCGCCCCCCCCCCCCCCAGCTGTCAGGTGGGATTTAACTGGAAGCGGTGATCTGTCGTGATGAGTTTTCTGCTGCCCAAACTGACCTCGAAGAGGGAAGTGGATCAGGCAATAAAAGGTGTGGCTGAGAAGGTTTTGGTTCTCCGTTTTGGAAGAGATAGTGATGCTGTTTGTCTGCAGCTCGATGATATTGTAAGAGTAATTTTTTTATTTTTTTTTTATGAACTCCACAAATACAGCTGTTGCATACAGGGGAATATCATATGTTGCTTTTGGCTAGTATGGTGCCTCATGAAAAACTTGTTGACAATTAAATGTAGAATGAAATTATACTATATTCATAAAAAGGTTTGAAAAGCAAGTAAATGTTTGTGTTATTATTGTATTGAGTGTAAAAAGTGTTTGAGGCAGACAAGACATGATATTCTAGCCCTGCTTAAACTGATAAGACATAAGAGAAAGGGGCTTTATCAAGCTTGCCAGCCTCTTTTCCTCTTGTGTCTCAGTCCATTTGTCATGCACTTTTCTCACTCTTTTCAGCTTGCAAAAACAGCTCATGACCTAAGTAAAATGGCAGTCATTTACCTGGTGGATGTGAACAAGGTCCCAGTGTACACCCAGTATTTTGACATCAGTTACATTCCATCTACTGTGTTTTTCTTCAATGGACAACACATAAAGGTTGATTATGGGTGAGTCATCCTAAACATAACATCTCTGTTGTGTTTGTAAGAACAATCAGTCTTTCTCTGTTACCATGGGAAGGGAACACGTAAAACCTATAATGTTGTTACCAGCATCTGCACTGAGAACTCTGTGGGAAGCCAGAAGAAAGTAAAATAGAGAAGCATTTTGAAATATGCTCTGATGCAGTAAGTGGGTGTTGACTGTCAAATATGCCTGACTCTGCAAAAATAGTAAAAAAATGGTTAAAGTCTGAGATGTGACCTGTTTGAGCACCTGTTTGAGCTTTGGAGGTCCCAGTATATTCCTGGCTTGGTTGTGCCATTACAGGGTGTTCATTCTTTCAGCATGACCAGATCAGAACCCCTCATGTCATCATACACATTTTCATGTCTTTAGGTGTTTTTGCTTTGAACACTTTAACATTATAATTCTACCTTTATCTTATGCTTATATTTAGGTCTCCAGATCATACCAAATTTGTAGGAAGCTTCAAAACAAAGCAAGACTTTATAGATCTGATTGAAGTGATCTACCGTGGAGCAATGCGCGGAAAGCTCATTGTGAGAAGTCCTATTGATCCCAATAACATTCCTAAATACGACCTTCTCTACCAAGGAATTTAATGGGTTGACCTGAGGTAAAGAATTACGGAAATGGACGATGTTCTAGATCCTTTTTTCTTCACCTCTGACGCGGTGGGACAGTTTTGAGTGTTTATGCTGAAGGATCATATTGGTCTCCTTCTGAAGACAGACATTCTGTCACCTCATGCTTTTCTCATAAATAAAGCTTCGTGTTCTTGCATAGACTTTACACAAGTGACTGTTCTTTGAGTTTCATGCTGACCAGCCCCTATACAACAGGCAGGTTGTGTGCATCCTCAACCTTCTGAAGTGAACCAAGGCACTGTAAAGTCTATTAGGTGTCTATTCTGTACCATTTTCATTCACATACAATGACAGTAAACCTTACTTTATTAGAAAAGCTGTCCTTGCTCTCAAGAGCATTCAACTAACTGTGCCTTTCCAATGGAATTTTGCACTTTTACCCATGCTGGATAACAGGACAGAAGCTCCTTCCAACAGTATTAGCGATGACTGAAATCTGAAATGGATATAAACACAAAAGGGAGGTTGATCTTGTTCTCAAGTATTACTGTTCAACAGGTTTTTTGACTGAGATGGGAACCTACTACTACACTTGCAGGAGAAGGTTTTGCCATCCTTCAAAGCTCTTTTGCAGCCACTGAACACTTAACTCCCACAAGCAGAATTAACTGGTTTGTTTACATTCACTTTAAAGATTATTTGAACTTCTGCTTGTATACATTGCAAACCTTGAGTATGTACATTTAAAAACTGTTTCCCACCTCTGTGTAAAATTAAACAGCTGAGTGGAAACAGCAATGTCGTTCTTTTGCGTTAGTTTGGTAACTGCAGGCTGCTAGAGTATTGTATTTCTACAGCAGCTCATGTCCAGTGTTCTCACAGGCCTAGTTGGCTTTAAATGGAAATTACCTTAGCTCACTGTATCATGTTTGGGGCACACCAACTCTGACTGGAGGGAAGGTAGTAGTATGTAGTTCCCTGAAGTATTGTTCAACTTAACAGTAAATGTTTCAGGAAGGAAGGTGGATGCTCTGGCTCTTGAAAGATTTTAAGCAATGTATGGTACATAGTAAGGAAGAAACAGATTGTTTACGTGTTTTTTCTATTCCAGATTTGTCCTTTTAATGAAGCTAGGCACTTAAGCAAGTGTTTCACTGCTAGCTTAGTCTGATTATAGAGCCATAACTGTAGAGTGTTTATTTTTAAAAATTATATACTTGAGTTGATATGCCTTATAACATCTTTATTGTTCAACTTTAAATTTCACAGCTAGCCAGAGGGTTGTGGCTTAAGGCTTTCAATAATGCATTTCTTTCCTAATAGTTAACTTTAGTGGTTTTTTAATCAAAAACAAACAAATTAGCTTCAAACTTAGAACTCTAAGTTGCTCCACAGTGAGATGAAGGTTCTTAGGTGATTGAAAGGTGTAGAGGCAGTTATGAAAGGAAGAGACTACTATCAAGAACAAACCAGTGTGCCTTTATTTATTGGCTCTCTTCTTCTTCGTGCTGTTTCTGGTTGCAATAGGTGAATGCCTAAAAGCTGTTATGGTCTTAGCTTTCAGGGAGCTCTTCAGGTACCTAAAGATGGCATGGAGACAGCAGGAGGGTGCTAAACCATACTTTTCCGTTCCAGCAGAGACAGTGGGACAATTTGTTCTCAAGAGAAAGTCCACAGTCTTATTTAGAGGTTTACTGTTTGACACCCACTCGCGGCAGCATTTCAGTATCCATTCCTGTATCTGTGGATTGTTCCTGGTCTGGTGCTGTGTGTTGTGCACAGAGTCAATGAAGGCCACGGAGAACACTTTATTCATCACCTCACATGTTCTCTGCACCAGCAGATCAACAAACACCAAGCCACCATAACCATGGGCAATGAAGGCCACATTCTTGGCTGCGCTCTTTGAAATGAAATGATCCCACACATACATGGTGTGCTCCTCAGGGCTGCTGCTGCCCCTCTTGGGGATCCACCAGACAGACTGTGTAAAAGTAACTGCTTCTTCCCTGGTAGAAAAGTGGTGCTTTTCAGTCTTCAGATCCGCAAAGTTGTCATTGGGATTCAGTACAATCACTTCCCAGTGGCTTTGAAGGGCCATTTTGATGAATGGTATTTGTGTTCCATGTCTCAGGCCATCACTGACAATTGTCTTTTGCCCCCACTGTCCAGCACAGAAAACTCCACGGTCTTGAAGAAGTATAATGAGGCTAGAGGAACTTGTTAGTGCATTCTTGCTCATGAAAAAGAAACTTCTTGGTTCATCCTCTGTAGCATCAGTAGGAATATAAACCTTCTGTAGCATGCAGACCCTCTCCAGGAGCTCATAAACATACTGGGTAATAAAACGTCCCAGAACTTCGTAGCGTTTATGATTCTGCTCAAATCTGCTCTTGTAATAATTGAAAACAAAGGACTCATTTGTATCCAGATGCCTCAGTTCCCCTTTTATATTGAAGTCATACTTCAGATCCTCTTGATACTCCGAACCCTCTATTAGTTTCCTCAGGCTGAGTTCGTGCCGTATTTGTAACCACTACAAATTAAGAAGACTATGTCAATGTGGCAATAGACCTCCATACAACACCTGCCTAACCCCCCCTCCAGCCTCTGTATTAGAATTCAGATTTAAAAGCAGTTACAAAGAAAATACTTGTTGATCCAGACTCTCTCTTGGTGATGTGTAGTAAACCAGCTGCTTGTAAAATCTCTTAAGAAATTTTGGTTGCTAATTTCCAACAGCAGTAACATATCTGCCTTTATTATGTCTTGATTTCAGTTTGTTAAAGTTTGTAAGCTAGTTTGTTTGTTTAAAGACCTTTTTAAGCTAGTTTGAATTAAAGACCTTAAGGAGGAAGTTTGTGTACCTGGTTCATTGTTCATTTTAACAGCTCTTCCATCGTGCTGTGTCCTAGACATTATCTTGAAACTCTGCTGAGTTTCAAGACTGCCTTTGAAGTACATGCCTTGTCAGTTGGAAATAGTCCCGAGTATCTTACTGGATCCTAAATTTTTAAAGAAAATCAAGCTGCACTTACTAAGGACTTCAACCTTCACATTGCTTGTGTACCAGCACACTCTCCCTGTTCTACCTTCAAACTGCACTAGCACAGATAATGCATGTATGTGTTTGCTTTTTACTCATCACTCCAGTTATTCATTCATCATTGCAAGCACTTGCCACATGGATGGGAATGGATGGCAGAATAAGCTAGCCACTGTGATCCAGGAACAGAAGAAAACAAAATCCATGTAGGTTGGAAATATCATGAGGTTGGATTGAGGTCTCTAGTTTCAGATTATCTCCAGTGAATTATATAAGTTTATCAGAACTTCCTATTTTCCTAATAACTCTTCAATCTACTCTGACTGTCAGTGGCTGTAGAATGCTAAACAGTGCATGACCTTTGGTGTGGTTAAAATCCTACCTTTTCAGGAGTTTTGTCCTGACACAGTAATTTTTTTTTAAAATGTTTTACATTAAGTTATATTTGTCAAGTTATTTGGTACAAGCTACTCTATATCTTTAAGTTTTTCTTGCTGAACTAACAGAGGTTTTTAGAACACAGTAAAGCACCTTCTGTGTTAAAACTCACTATACCATCTGATAAAGCCAATTACTAGGACTAAAAGTGATCTGAATATTTTCATGTAAGCCACTTGAGTTGGAACCCAATGCTTTCAAGGAATGCAAGTTTCCCTGAGTAAACTGATTACCATATTGAAAATTATTCCTTAAAGATCCAAATTTTAAAAAAGTTTTTAGCTTTTCAACATAGCAACATCACATGCATTTTCTTTTTGAGCAATCTCCATTGGGTTAATAATGTTAAGTCCTCTCTTCAGGATCATTCCTGTCTTCTGATTAATAGAGAGCAGGCTAGAAAATGGTACCTTCTCCTTTTTTATCTCATGGAATCAGTACATATAGAAAAGGGGGGAAAAATCAGATTCTAAGACACATAATCTATTTACTGTCTTGCCCGTTTCTTGAAAAGGAAACAGCACAAAGAAATTGCAAGTGCACATGTTCATCTATGTTTTTTTCATTCTGCAGGGAGGCATGAAAGACACAAAGGAGATGGCAGAACACTCTTTTTGCTACACTACTGAACTATGGGCAATTCATAGAAAAGAGATCATATTTAGTAGGGAAGAAGCTATGCATATTCATGTTGTTGTCCCCAAGTGATGAAGTGGGAGAAAAATGGACATATTTTAAGGGAAGATGTCTATGGATAAAGGTGAAGCATTCTATAACAATTATGAATAGATAAATGCTATTTCCTTACAGAGTGGCATGCTGTGGATCACTTCTCAGTCCCTAAAAGGTTGAAGACTAATTTCCCAACTTACCACGAGCAGGAAGTTACTATTCCCTTACTTCAGCTACTAACAACAACATTGCTTTTTCAGTTCCAAAACAGGGATATGTGATTCCAAATTAAACCCTGTGTATGTAATATTGAACATCTACTTTACAAAGCACTGTGAAAGGTTTCTGAAGATTTCAGGAGGCAGAAACACACACACAAAAAAAAAGTTTTACATGAGGTGTATGTATGACTTCCCTTCCTAAAATTGCCTTCAAGGTGTGAAATAAGAAGTTTTGAGGCAATTTATACTAGTTTATCACTTAAGAGTTTGCTTGAATAGCATATTAGTCCAGAGCCACAATAATGCCATTTACAGAAAAAATAATCACTCTTTTCCTTCCTCCCCCATTTCTGTTTGGATTGTAAAATACTTCAGCTGTAAATTCAGCTAGTGTTTGTTACAGCAAGTGGCGCATTCTAAACACTACTGCAGTGTAAGCACTACTCTTTATGAGATCTGTAAAGATTTGGGGTTCTTTTCTCTTTAAAACCACTTTCTAAAAGCCCAACATTACCGTATGCTCTCCTGTAAAATCTGTCATCATCGTAGATGGAAATCTTTTTCTCTCTGTGAGTGTAGATAAGTCCTGTGCATGAAAGAAAATAAACCCATCACAGTTTCAGGTTTCATTACTTTATGTAGTGGGGTGTATATCTGTAAAACCTATCAGTAGGTGATAGGGCCACCAAAAGCACTCAAGATAGTTCCGAGTTACAGGCTAACACCCTTCGTTTGTAATTTACACCTAAGTTAAAGCTAAAACCTCTTGAGTGTGAGACTAAACACTTGTCCGAACCAGTTTTGCTTCCCACCACCCAAGAGGACAAAACAGAAAGCTACACACATAAAGCCTACAATTCTGAAGCTGCCCTGGAAAAAAAACCAGCAAAACCAAACTCCCCCCCAAAAAAAAAAAAAAAAAAATAAAAAATTCCAACCAGTAAATCTTTGTCTCCTCTTGGCTGTTAGGAGGATTTCCTAGGCCATCGGCTGCAGACCGTGGCCACAGCTGGGTTTATAAAGCAGCCGAGCCCTCCGGTAGGGGATTAACCCCCTGCTGGGGTCCGGCTGCCAGCTGAGGGAAACCTGGTTAGCAAGGGGAAATCTAAATCTGCCCCGGGGCGGGTTCTCGATTGCTTCTCTAAAAACAATGAGGTTTTCTCCCACCAGCGGCTCAGCACCGAGATAAACTCCCGAAAGTTAAAGCCCATAGCGGCTGAGGGGCAGTGCCCGGGCGTGGGGCGATCCCGGTGCGCGGCCCGGCCCCGCGGGGCGGGACGAGGCGGTGCCGGCCGGAAGTGCCCGGGAAGCTGCCGCAGGCGGCGGCGGGCCCGGGTAAACAGCGGCGGCCGCGGCGGGGAGCGCCGAGTGGGCCGTCCGGTCCCAGCCCCTCGGCGCTGGAGCGGGGAGTACAGCGGGAGCACGGCTGGCAGGCGGCGCCCCGGCGGGCCCGGCCCGGCAGGGGTGTTTCAGGCGAGCGAGCGGGGGACGGAGGGCACCGAGGGAGGGAGGGAGGGAGGGCGGCCGGCGGCGGCGGCGGCGGCGTTGCTGCTCCTCGGGAAGGAGGCTGAGGAGGGAGTGCGGAGAGGTGGAATTGCCGGCCTAGGCTCTCGGCACTTGTGCGTGTGTCACTGGGAAGCCCGTTCCTTTCCTAGCGGGAGGAGCCGGCGGTGCGGGGTCGGGGGCTGAAGGAAGCGGGGGTTGGAGATCGGGAGCTGGGGAAGGGGGGTTCGGGACCAGGAGCCAGGCCGGGTCCCGGCGGTGACAGCCCGGGAGGTCCCTTTGCCCGCCCGAGCTGTCAGGAGGCCGCCGCTTGTCGGCTTTCCCTCTTCGGAACAGTAGGCAGTAGTTTGGCTTTTCTCTTTTCTGTCAGTCTGTAGATGTTGCTGTTCCCCACGCTGGGGGTCTTGGGCTTGTAAGTTGAAAAATCCCGCTGAGGTAAATGAAAGTCCCTGAACTTGAAGGGCTTATTAAGAGACTTAAAGCGTTATGCCAGAGTCATACGGAGTATTTATGAAGAGAACAAACACCTATGGATGCTGAAAGCTCTGAAGCTGTGTCCTTCCACTGATGAAGTTTATAGACCACCAGGAATACTTGAATATTATTCTTGGAGCCCCTGTCCTGTAGTGCTATAGCTGTCTTCTGTGACTCCTTTTCACTCTACAGTCAAAGTGTTAAATGCTTATTGATTGTGTGCTGGGGGGGGGGCAGTTGATCATTAAATGGCTTCACTAAAGATAAATTCTTGTGGCAATTTCTTTAATGGTTCTGTCAGTGCTGACAATTCAGAGCCTGGCCCAAGCGTGTGTGGTCTCTTGTATTATGGCTGTCAATTACTTTTTACTAAGGCTTGGAGTGACAGGACAAGGGACAATTGCCTTAAACTGAAAGAGGGTAGGTTGGACCTGAGGAAGAAGTTTTTTTGTGCTGAGGGAGGTGAGATGCTCGAGTGGGTTGCCCAGAGAAGCAGTGGATGCCCCATCCCTGGAAGTGTTCAAGGTCAGGTTGAATTGGCTTTGAGCAACCTAACCAAGTGAAAGGTATCCCTGCCCATGGTAGGAGGAGTGGGGTAGTTGATCTTTTAAAAGTCCGTTCCAACCCAAGCCATTATATTAATGTGTTTTCTTTGTCCTAGTTTGCTCAAAAAAGATTTTCTTGTTCTTTCTTAGTACCTACTGCTGTGGTCCTGCTTCCCTCTTAATCAGTAAACCACAATTTTTTGTTTATTTTGTTTCTTTTTCTTTTTCCAGTAGAGAAAATCATGTCAGGAAGAACATCATCTTCAAGTCACGTAAGTGTTGCTATAAATTACAACAATTAGCAACAATTTATTTTGAGGCTGTGGGTATCCTAGGGCATTCTGATGTGTTTGCATAACCAAATTCATTCTTCAGCAGTCCAGCAAAAGCTGGACAGTTTACTGTGGTAGCAACCAATACTAATGTCTGCTGTTGAACCTGTATTAATACATGATAGGCTTAGCATTTGATTACACATGAACAGGATGTTTTCAGGGGCATTTTAAGACCTAGGCTAAAATACTAGAGTCAGTAGAGTGAGGTCAAGTAAGTAGAGCAGCTGCACAACTGTGTAATATTTGCTAGTGTTTATTTTTTCTAAAATATCTCTATTAGTAGTACTTTCTAGCAGTGGAAGTACTGGTGAAAACAAATGGTAGGCACAGGAACCGGTTTGATCCAGTAAGGTCTGGACTATCTAGTGGTGTAGAAATAAGTTGTTTCCAGCACCTTGTTTATGCACTTTCTCTGACCCTTGTTCCTGCAGGTGACTGTAGCGATTTAATTTGCACAGACCCAGGTTGCATGAACAAACTGAATCGTTTATTGATTACAATCTTTGGTGTATAGATGGGGTCTGGGGAAGGAGGGACAGGCATTCCCTTTATAGCCGGGGTTAGGGGTCAGGGAAACACAGAGAGCTGGTTTTCATCAAACAGGAGAGCAGGCACTTCTACATTACAGTTACAATGATTGATGGTGAAAAGCAAGGCCATAAAGAGATTTACTACAGGGTTTAGAAGTCTGTTTGTTTATCTCAGATAATGCAAGAATTTCAGGGAGTGAAGGCAAACAATTCAAATTGCTTTTGTTTAAATCCCAAGACTTCTTGCTAAGATCTCTTATCTCTGCAGTGCCCTGAAGAATTTGCATTCCTACAGGTGACAACCTTCAGAAAAGCACTGCTGGTTTAGATGAGTGCGTATACACGTATATGTCTTGAGTTAGTCACCTTTTATTTGGGAAAAGGTGAGGCAACTGCATAGGTTGCGTTTAGCATAGATTCAGAACTCTGTTTACTTCTCAATTTTGTGCTTGTTTTGTAACTTAATTGTGGACACTGCAAACCAACATCTGCTTAATGAGTGTGAGCATTGAGAAGATGCTGTATGGTGAGCTGAAAATGTTACTGATGAACGTATCTTGTGCTTTTTATCCCTTTCTGTCAGTCTGTCTGCCTCTTCTTGTCTTCTGAGTCTGGCCTTATCTGTTATTAATGTTATCTGTTATGTTATTACAGAGGTTATCTGAACCTCTTCACCTTTAAATGCATATTAAAATTCTAGGTAACTATGTGTTCTTAGCAATCTCATAATAGAAATCTCTAGTCAGGCAGCTGGTGGAGTTCTGAAGTAAGAAATTTGTACCTGGCCATTAAAGTGCAGATCAGAAGAATGCATTCTAACTGATGAACATATTTATAGGCCACTTTTAAAAGAAAACCAACCAAACAAATTTGAAACAGTCTACTTGTAGAAGTCCTTGAGTAAGAAAATGTTTTGTTCAATACTTTTATGTTGATTGGAAAGGAAGGGAGGTACTTGTATGAGAAGTTGTTGCCTGTGCGTAACGTTTATAATTTATTTTTTAAATTTATAATTTGAAGAATCTGTTATCAAAGGCATATTTGTTATTACAGCCTTTGACCAGCAAAAGCAGTCTGAGGTACTGATAACAAAAAAGCTTAATCTTTGTTTCAAAGAAGTGTAGAGAAGGAATAAGAGCACTCATGATTCAGACTGAAGGACTGAAGTATTATCTCATTATGGTGCAGCATGCTGCATTATGGTCTGTCTGAAGGACTGCCTACTGAGCTAATGGATGTAGTTGATGTATTAATTATTAAGTTGTTAGCACTGCTGTTCTAGAATCCCTGCTTGTAATTTCATGGTACAGCATGGGGCACCTGGTGGCTTGCAAATCAAGTACACTTGACAGCTACCATCATATGGAGTGGCTTCAGCTTTTTCCTGGCTGAGATAGACTCAGTTATGTGAAAGCTTTGCGTTCCCTCTCTGATTCATTCTCATCTGGTTGTATTTGCAATGTCAGGTTTTGCTTCTCAGGATGCCTAGAGAAAAGGCAATGCTTGCACTTTTATTCTTTCAGTTGATATTATTTTAGCTGGTTTAACTAACTGATAGGAATTGCTGTCCTATTTCCTTGTCTTGATGAACTAGTAAGAATTCAGTTTGATAATTTTTGGTTTGAATTTCAGTAAACAAACCTTATTTCCTACATATTTTTTCCTAAATAGGCAAATTTCCATGGACTACTGTTTTCTCTGACAGTAATTACTTTCCAAATGCTGGTTCCATTTCTGCAAAGGTTAGCAATGACAATAGGTTATACCACTTTCAGTACATTGTAGTCTGTTGATGCTAAATTATCGTACCAAAATGCTAGTACTATTGTAAGATGTAATTGTTCTTCATCCTGAATTTTTTGTTTAGTGAGAGCAAACCTGGTGTGACAGTCATGATATTCAGCTATTTTCTTTGCTCTTTATCATTCTCTAAGCTGAAACAACTTAACTGGAGTGTAAACAAATCAGAGTGAACTAAGAAAACTGTCAGTACATTGGTTGTCACCTTTTAGGCACGTGTTCTAAGTTGTGAAGTTAATAAAATAGGAAGAGCTTTTTCAGATGGTTCATGTGTTAAAACTAGCTCCTCATGAGGTATGACTCATGATTTGGGATCAATTCCTCATCAATGAGGAATGCATTTAAACTAAAGTCACACATCAGTGCTTCCCTTACAGCTTAGTTTTGTCTGACAGTTAAACCTTTGTACATGGCAGTATGCCAGCTCATAGCAACAGGGCATAATTTAGTTTTATCGCGTGTGTAACATCATCTATTTTCAGTTTCGTATACCAAAGAAGAAAACAAACACCGAATCAGAGGCTGTCCAAGTTCAGTCCCCTTTGGCAAGGCTCCCAGGCTCCCACCATTGGGACTACCCTTTAAAAGAGGTAAAGAGAAGTTCTTCAGAGTGTTAAGTGTGTAAGAGAATGTTACATGAGGTTTTGGTTCTGGTTTGGATGCTGGCTTTTTTAATACCAAGTGCTGCCTTGGAGAGAAACAGGTGTGTAGGTCTGAAATCTGCCTGCAGGCATACATTTACAGAAATGGAAGCTTTAGTGCCATGTTTCCAGCCTAAATCATTGAAAAGCAGAGTTGGTCTTCAGGTGTAGTTTGAAGCTGTCTTAAAAGTCTTTAATTTAAAGATAAATATAATCATTTTTTTAGTTGTCTTCTGATTTCTGAACTTTAAGTTATATTCAGATCACATAGTAAACTTTTTGTTATGATATGGAAATAACTTTTAAGTTGAGTTTTCAGATAGTTATTGTTTATATCTTAGAGCTTAAACTTTAAGAGAATAAATTAAGTGCTGTATCACTTTTGACAGAATTTTAGGTGCTAATACAGAAATAAATGCCATAAGTACTCTTACAGTCTTTTAGTGTTAATACAGTTATCATAAATTACTGTCTTGACCATCTCAGTCACATATAGAAGCAAATATTTACCTCTATAAATCTGTTCCAAATTCAATGAACGTTTTTAAAATGCCAAATGTTGGAAACATATTTTGCTACTCTTATCTTCTTCAGCTCAGCATCAAGAGTTTGTTGTAGGTTTTAGTGCTTTCAGAATCATGAGGCAGGACAAACAGGCTCGTCCTCAGAGGAATTTTAAAAGCTTGGTGGGGGTAGTTAGGAATTTTTTTGTGATAATGTCCCCTAGGTCTCTTGGTAGGCCAGGTCGTTTCAGCACACTGCAATAGAGACTCACTGTGTGGTTGTATTCTATACTGTTAATTCTTTGAGTGACCAGAGCATCCAATAACAGCCAGATTCTGAAATTGGAGGTAATGTCTCCTGTGGTTACAAGCAGTAGCCTCTTTGGCAGATCCAGACAGCACTTGCATGGAATTCTTTCTGTCTTTCTCTCTGCCTCTGCAAAAACAGTGATTGCACTGGATGAATGGAAAAGTACTTCTGTTTGTTTGTTACTTCCTGTGTGTTGTCTAATTTTCCATTTCTTATTTTTCCTGCCTGTGTCTATATATTTTAGACTTTTCCATGTGGTAAAGGGTTTTATGTGCTTTAAATGCTGACTAGTTTTTTTGTTCTACTTTAAAAGAAAAGCTTGCTCTGATGTATCAGAATTTGGTCTGTGTTGTTTGAGGAACTTGGTGCAGCTTTAAGTGATTTGGATGTATAGGTCTCTACCATGCATGAACACCAGTGATATGAGGTGAAATAGATGATGTTTGAAGGCAGGAAGAGGGCAGAGCACCTTCAAGGCAATTTCTTGCTGCCAAATTTTTCAGTAACGGGGGTATTTTTCATTAGAGTTAGTCCCTTATGGTAGGGAGAAGGTAGTTTGGGATGCACATTCCAGACTTGCACTACAGTTTGTAAAATGTGTGGGCATGAATTTTTCAGATGCCCTTTTACACCACAATTAGACAGAAAGGAAGATGTTTGCTTTCAGCCTGACTGGCATAATTTCCCAACATCTCTTTGGTTTATTATATTTTACATTTAAAAAAAACCAAGGAGAGATTAGCGGGAGGTAATGGCAGAGGGAGGTAGGTTTGGGGAATTGCAGCAATAACTATGTTTTGGTGCAGCTTCATTTATTTAATTTGAAAATATAAGTGCTTTCTGGGAAGGTAAGAAAATTTGGAAAAAAATGAAGTCTTGCTGTTAAAAATTTTTCCACCTCTGTGCCAAACCTTCAAATTTCTTTTCCTTCTCAGAATTTTATATCTTTCTATGGAATACAATTGGGTTAAATATATGGAATTAAAGAAAGTAGAGGCTGTCTCGTGTATTTGTGATTATGTAAAACAGGCCTAATATTTAAATCCCTGTTTGTGATAATCCTTTAAATAGGGAAACAATTGAATTTTCTTGTATTGTCATATTTTTTAGGAGAAGTAAGTTCCATTCAAGATCAGGTGGTATGTGGATGCTTTAAATGAAGCAGATTCATTCTTTTCGAAATTGTTATATGTGCTCTTTGTGGCTCTGCTCTGTTTGATCAGTTACATTGTTTCTATGTCTGGCATTGTTCCATTTTTTCCATTTTTCTAATGTTATCCATTATGACATATTAATGAAGAAATCTGAATCTTGAAACCTACCAATTTTATTTGTTTTGTTTCAGTGGAGATTAAGTGCCAACTACAGAAAGCCTTCCACAAAAGGAAGAAGGCAAAAGGACCGTGACAGACACAGCTCTAATGAGGAAGAATCAGTTGGGTAAGAAGTCACCTTAAAATTAGTTCCTCTCTGTTCATATATTCAGAGTTTTGCAGTCTGTCTTGAAGATGGGCATCTCAGGTCTCTGGCTGGTTTTTTGTGTCATGCAGAGGTGGTTTTCAAGCTGTTGGGTAGCTCACCTTCAGAGAATCGTTCTTCAGTGATCTCATGGCAGTTGTAACTTTTTCTTTGTTTTAACACAACACAAGACTGTGACATTTGAATGGGAGTGCAGCACTTACTAGAGGAATTACTGCTTATTGACCTGCTTGGAATCCTGAAGGGTGTTTGTTGCTCTCTAAGTGCAAATTGTCATTCTAGCTCTAGATATTTTAGGTATTTAGGTATTTAAGAATCTTCCCAGATTATCTTTTGCTTAGCCTTTTTTACCTGGTTGTCCACACTCATTAACCTAGCTTTATCAACTCTTAAAAACAATTAAAAAACCCCTTAAGCAATATGGTGATTAGTAGGGGAAGGCAGTAAAAAAACTAGAGCTTTTTCTCCTCTGTGTTATTGTCAAGACACCTAAGTCAATAATTAAGACAACTGATGTGCTGCTTCTTTATGCTCTGTTGACAAGAGCAAATATCTTGGTTTCTTTGAGATTATGGCAAATAATTTAAAGTTATCTTCTGAGAAGCTGTCAGATAGATAATTGTTTATCCAAGAAACTTTTGAAACTGTAAGTGCTGTAGTTGACAAATAGAAATGAAAATGTAGAACTAGATTTATTAGCGGTAGCTAGGAAACAAAATGACTTTGTGATGAAATGAATTATGTTTGTCTTAATGAAGCAATTATTATTCCACAAATCATTCAATTCTAAATAAATGAGTAAGCATTCTCTGCCCTGTTTTCTGACTGCGACTGAACTTCGCCATAAGTGGTTTCTTGTCAGGAGATGTTGTGGTTAAAGACCAAGTGCACAGGTAATGAAAATGCTTAATGACACTGCTGAGTTATGTGGTTTTGTGACCTATGAATAGTCATTGTTTAGCCTGGTCTGTATATTCAGAATGCTTCAAAGTGTTGCAGGGAAGAGCTGAACTTATAAAAGATGCTGAATTTATTTTTTCATACCTCCTCAGAGGCATAGCTGTGAGTTTACATGGATTTACCTCAAAATGCTTGTGTCAGTAACTTTAACTGAGGGAGCAGCTCACAGGGTCAACCTGGGAGAATTAGCTGTGTTAATTGCAGTTTTCTGAATTTCATTTATGTTGATATCTGATGTCAGTCTCTAAAGGTCTTTCAGTAAACTTTGAACTGATCTTTCAACATTGAGGAGATGGGGTTTTTTTTAAACCTACCTTTGGATCTGTTACATATGTTAATTTTCTGTTACATATGTTTATTTTGATATGTGAGAGACTTTCAAATAGCATTTGTAGGTGTTCCATAATTTTTACCAAAATCTTACCAGCATGTTAATGAGAAATGATTTAGACTGTAAAGAGACAGCAAATATTCAGATATTAAACAAGTACATTTTTCACTTCCGCAAAAAAAGATGTGTGTCTAGAGACTAGCTGGAGGTTCTCTGTAAAATTTACTGTCTGCAATGAAGCTTGTACTTAGTATTCCATCTGGATATTTGGTATTTCTCAGTAAGTCAAAGTTGACACAGTGATCTCATTGCATAAGTAGAAAGAGCACACAGGTTCTAAAGAAGTGGTGTTTGTTGAGCAAAAGTCTGAGAACTGACAAAACTCAGAAGAGGAAAGAGTGAGGTTGCATGCTGAGAGTCTTTCTGATGCAATAGTTTCTATGTTCTTTCTTCCCAGTGAGGAATTTTTCATTTGCATTGCAAAGCAGGAAATAAGTCTCAATGACAAACTTATATTAGGTCCTGGTGTTTTAAAAATGGTCCACTTTTATTGACAGGAGCTCATCTCCAATGTTTAGGGAGACATGTTTTATCTGAAGTGTTGCTTCAGCATTGTTACTGCCACTTCATTTTAGTCAGAAAGGACAAAGTGGATATATTAGCACAAACCCACCTTCACATGTTGTGGTTTTTTGTTTTGGTTTGTTTTGGGTTTTTTTGTTGTTGGTTTTTTTTGTTGTTGTTTTTTTTTTGTTTTTTTTTTTAACTTAAATTTTGGATTATAAAATTTGGTAGTTGGTTGCTTTTGTCAGTTGTACTGTGATGAGACCATGGGGGTTTGTAGCAGCAACTGCAGCTGCTTGCACTTGTATACCTCTGCTTGTGGCCTTGTGCAAAGTTACTGTCAGGTGATAGTTTTGTGATCCCAGAGAGGGCTCTCAGGGCAGCTCACTTCCCTTGTCCTTTTCATATGCTGGAGTTCTCTTACAAATTTCTGTGATTATGTCACAAAACAGAACTGTCATGTAATCTCAATAGTTCAGTTCATTAGGGTCGTGACAGAACGTTAGGTATCGTGCTTCTGTAATTGGTCAGTTAGTGTTTGGTATCCCACTTAGGAAACTTTTTAGTAATCAAGGAGGTGGATAAGACTATTACAAGGGTAGCTATCACTGCCTGGAAATAGTGTTTAGAGTGTCCACTTACTTCAGCTGTATTACTACTGCATTCTCCGAAGAGGGGAATAGAGGTAAATAAAAAAATAATAATTTTTTAAAAATCTGCCAAAAAAACCTCAACAAACCACAACTACTCAAAAACCCAAACAAAATGGAACACTGTTCTGAAATTCAAGCTTCTTGTCCTGGTCTGGTTTTCTTTTAGGGAGGAGGATTGGGAGGAGCACTTAAATAAGACCTGTGTGATTCTTTCAGCTCAGTATTTGAAATGTTAATTGAAATACATGTCACAGCTGAATCAAGTACTGACCCTGTAGCAGTCAGGTTTTTGTAGCAGTCATTTACATACTGGTTTCCTCACAAATGCATTCTGTCAGTATTAACTTCCTGACCCAGCAAAACAAGGAGGTGTTTGGGGATATTCATGTTTGCTGCTTGTTGGTCATTGACTTCTCATCAGTTGGTGAAAGGACCTTGAAGAAGAAAGAGGAGGGACAGAGGCTTTCTTGTAATAGGATGTAGTCAGTGAATGTATCAGAGTTTCCCATTGATGATAGTGTACCACATTATTCCTTTGGGCACTAGAAAGTCAAGGACCTCCTGAGCTGTGTATGTTGCTGCAGAAGCTCAGGTAGCTGGATACACATCAAGTCTATCAGTGGCTTTATTCTGTAAACTCAGGACAGATGTTCAGCTTATATGGGATCTAATGGGGAGACCCTCGAATGGTATGTGACATCCCACTGGCACAAATTTGTATTATTAGTATGTAGAATGTAGGCGTGAAGGTAGTGGTGTAGACAATAATCATTTAGTCCAAAAGGAATCAGTAGCCTCCAGGCCTCATTTTGATCACTTTCTAGTGCAAATTTGAATGAATTGGAGCCAGCAGTTACAACACTGGTGTGCACAAATATGATCATTGAGAAAGGAACTGGATCTAGTAGCTGTGATTATTGTGTGAAATAGAGGTCAAACATATTCCCCAAAGGGGCATAAACAATTAATAGCTTTTCATCCTGTGTTTTCTAAGGTAGGATAATCCTTTTTCGCCTGTGAAAAGTGGTATGAGACTTGCCAGGAGCAGCTAATAGCATTTTTCATAATATGTTTTTTGTTTATTCCATCATTACATGTGTAAGTATATTTTCATTACCTTTGGGTTTGTATTTTTTCCGTTTTGTGGAGGTAGTATGTTAGGTGCTTTAGAAACAGAAATAATTGCCTTTGGTTTTCCCTCACCAAGATGCCTCCAGTTTTACTGTTGTGCAGCTTGCTTGCTGGGTCTGCTGGTGGAACTTGCTTTTGGTGTACACTTTGCTTGCTTTTTTTCTGCTTGACACTAATTTTTATCTTTTGAAATGTCTTTTGTTTGATTTCCAGTAGTTTCATGGGTATGTGCGTGTGCTTGAAATTTTAAGTTCGTTTTTGCAAAAGTTCTTGGTTAAAATGCATAAACCCTATTTAAATCAAGGGAATGGAGACATTACAAATTCAATGCTGAATAACAGTGATTAAACCAAATTACAGAGGAGCCTGGGGCCTAAGGCCTAGCATGATGTGAATGTGAGCAAAGCATGTCAGACCTGAGTTTCCAAGGTGGACAGCAAATTATAGGTGGTGAAATTCTGCTTCTGACTCCTTTACCTCCTGCTGTGGACTTTTTCTATCATTGTGTTGTTTAAACACTCAATGTTGGAATATTTTCTCTTATCTTTACAAATCCTGTTCGTACACGGTCACAGAGTCTTTGTAACATGCCAGGGAGACAATTAGATTTGCTTGCACAGTTGTCAACCCACTGAGGAATAGGAGCCATTTGCTTAAGAAATGTTACTGTAGCATGTGTGTAACACTATGTGTAACAGCTATGTGAGTAATAAAAGGTTTTCTCTAGCTATAAGAAGTCTTGCTCTATGGTCAGTTTTATTTGTTAGGCAAGACGTGCAATAGAAAAAAACAATTCTTGCCTCAGTGATCTTTTAAAGCCAACAAATTAACCTGAACTTCAGTGTCCTCTTAGGACCAGCCCTTGGAAAACAAGTCCAGTTCTCAGTGGTTTGAAAATAAAGTAAATCTGGACAAATCATCTGTGATCTGTAATATTTATCTGCTGATAAGTTAAATAAGGTTTAGTGTTGGGGCTGTACTTGAGTCACAACAACTCTATACAGTGCTACGGGCTGGGGGAAGAGTGGCTGGAAAGCAGCCCAGCAGAAAAGGACCTGGATGTGCTGGTTGACAGCCACCTGAACATGAGCCAGCAGCGTGCACTGGTGGCCAAGAAGGCCAATGGCATCCTGGTCTGTGTCAGCAATAGGGTGGACAGCAGGACCAGGGCAGTGATTGTCCCTCTGTACTCGGCACTGGTGAGGCTGCACCTCAACTCTCATGTTCAGTTTTGAGCCCCTCATTACAAGGAGGGCACTGAGGTGCTGGAACAAGTCCAGAGAATGACAACAAAGCTAGTGAAAAGTCTGGTATGTAAGTCCCATGGGGAGTGGCTGAGGGAGCTGGCGTTTTTTGGCCTGGAGAAAAGAAGGCTGAGGGAAGATCTTACTGCTCTCTACAATGACCTGAAAGGAGGTTGTGATGAGGTGGAGCTTGGGCTCTTCCCTGAAAGTTTGCCTCTTCAGAATCACGTGTGGATATGTTAGCCGTTCATGCCGGAAGAAGAAACCTTGAAAGGCTATCCTGATCAAGAGATGTGTTTGTGATTCCTGTTCTCAAAAGAGAACTGCTTTGTAAATTGTCAAGGCAGTGAACCTAATTCTAGTGAAGGTATAAAGAATGATGCAGAGACAGTGAACTCATAGAAAAGCTTTGTTGGATTCATGTGACTTAAAAAGTTCTCAGCACCCTATTATTAATGTATTATTATATGTATGGCAGGCAACCCAAAGTTATCTTGACGAATGTCCTGAGGACGAAACTAGGAAGAAAGTACACACAGGCGCAACCTAAAACTGATGCTAATTTTTCTGATGCTGGCAAGCTGCAGTCAGATTTACCACCCTCATCATCTACTGCCAGCCTAAAGATATGGCAGATTTTAAACCCTACTCTCCAAAGTCTTTTACTGTCTAAAAGGTATGTTGTTTTTGCCTCATGTCACTAAACGAAAAAATTTTCCTTGCAGTTATTTTTTCATGAGAAAGTGTTATTTGTTGTACCACAGCTGTCTTGTTCATGAACTGTATTTCATCTGACTTCGTTGAATTCACTTGTTCCTGGTTCCATTTGATAATCATTGAGAGAGATGGTGCCAGGCATGTTGTGGTGGTTTTTCTGTTCAAATGACTTCTAGATGATCTTGTGCTGATGAGACCAATTAATTCTGATTTAACCATTGGATTCTCAAAATGTTCAGGGGTTTTTTATTGTTGTGCAAAGAATACACTTGTATTTAACTGCAACCCTTTTCTCAGAGAAGGTATCAAGGTGTATTTTTCACTGTTCCTGCTTTAGACTGCTCATGAAAATAGGAGAACTCGCATAACAAGTCAGAAGAAAAGCATATCAAGTCCAGTATCATCTTGACCCTCCTGCAAGCAGTGGTCAATTGTAGATATCCAGGGAGGGAAAAGTATGGCTATAGTGAATGCTTTTTTTCTCTGTGTTTTTTCTCCAAGCTTCTGATGGTAGACAGTTTAGGGACTTTGTTTACTGGAGGTTACATCCAGTCTACAGTATTTTTCTGTATTAGACTTCTTCTCTCAGTGGTATGCTCATTGTTTATCACCTGTGTGCATCTGCAGCATCTTGTCTGTAAGGTAGTCTCCTGTTTAAAGCAAATTTACATCTCTGTGCAAGAGGAGATCTGAGTGATCCCCAGACATCACACAGTCTGTGCTGAAGTCTGCTCTGTGGATGAATACAGACAACAGGAGAATTACACAGTCAATTCCCAAAAGACTGTGTTTTTCAAAACAGATTCAAAAAGGCCAGGAGGTTACATCCTAATCCAAAACAAAATGCAATGGAAGTGCTAGAATTTAAATCCCAGATTGAGAAATTTAGGTGGGTAAATCAAGGGCTATACAACAAGCTGGCTGCAGTAGAATTTCATGAAGTAATTTGTGTGTGCTCAAGTGGGCAGTTTTATCTTCGTATTTCTGCTCAGCTTATTTTTGATGCTTGTGTTCTAACACCTGGGAATGTTTTTCTGAGTCTTGCTGTTCTGTAGAATGCCACCTCGTAATTGAGGGGAACAAATTCTAATTCTACCTTTTTGTGTACCTTTTTTCTACCTGTTTGCTAAGTGCTTGGGGAAATTCAGTCTGTTTCACTGGAGGCTTCTTGTTCACAGGAAAATCCAGATTGTTTGCTCGAGATTTCTGAGAAATGTCTATTGCATGAAAGCTATTTAGAGATAAACATTTACCAGATTTTAAACAGTACTACATGATGCGTTAGAGGCAATGCAGTGTGAATTGTATTTGGCTGAGGTGAAATTATATGGCTAGTTTTTCTTATCCTGGTCTCTTGTTGCTTTTTTGTGTTAATCTTCTTACCTTGTATTTTAAGTTTCTTAATGGGATTTTTTTTTTCCCTAAGGGACTGAAAATACTGATATTGATTATCAAGCCTCTAAGATACATGAATTTTACAAGAAGTTTCTTCCTCTAGATTTCAGAGCAGTATTTATGATTTACTGTTATATATATATGGCAGGCAACCCAAAGTTATCTTGACGAACATCCTGAGGACGAAAATTGGAAGGAAGTACATAGACAACCACGTAACAATTGATGCAAATTTACCAGCTGCTGATAAATTGCAATCGGGTCAACTACCCTCATCATCTGTTGCCAGCCTGCAGACATGTCAGATATTAAGTTCTCCTCATGAAAGTTCTTTTCTGTCTGAAAGGTATGTTACTCACTGCTGATTTTGCCAGTCTTCCTGAAATGGCATAACTTCACAATGGAAAAGAATTTCCCTGAAACAGTTTTGGTTCTACTCCTGTCTTGAATCAGGAGATCAGTTTCCTGCGTGCAGCTAACATGCTTGTCCAGTGAGCCCTTTTAACACTGCATTTGTTCTGATTTGCTGGACCTGATGCTAATGGCCTACTTTCCTTTCTTAGATGGAATTTCTGTTTGCAGTAGATCAGTGTTTTGATTTATGAAGATGGCCAAGTAATTCAAACACATCTAAGTTGGTTTTGTGTCCAGAACCAAAATCTTGCTTTCTTGTAGCTGTTAATGTGTTCTAGCATGATTTCAATTAACTTCTTTTGCAAAATTTTCCAAATTCCTCTCTGTAGTAGGTAATTTCACAATAACCCACCAGTGGTCTCAATCCTAACGGGGTGACATTGTTTAAGGGCTGTGTGTGTCGTCTCACCACTTAACCTCTACTTTTCCTCTTTTATTCCTGTGTTTAGGTTGACTGAGCATCACAGTAATGCTCGACATAGAAAACTAGTGGAAATCAAGTATTAGAATTATATAACATTTTGATGTAAGAAGGCAGTTGCATTCAAAGTAAGCTGTATCCTCTTATCTCTTATGGCTACATCTTTGCTCAACAGCAAGTTTTCCACAGGAAAATTTAGCAACAAATTTGGAGGAAGAAGGTAGAAAGAGAAGAATGTTTTGTTTTGTTTTTTTTTTTTTTGAGGGCAGGAGTAATTAACAGTTCCCAGGTAAAAGTTGAGAAAAGTAAGTCATATTCCTCATTCTGATACATCAACATCTTAGAGAACTGAAATTAATAGGAATTAATTTTTAATTCCTTATTTTTTAATATTGGGTTACCCATTGCTACTTAAATTAACCTGATAAAGTTGCAATTTAGATGAGGGATTTAGATAGAACAGTTTATTAGGCTGTCTCAAATATTATATTTGTTGCTAATAGTTTTCTATGACTTAGGGTTGAGTGAAGTGTGGGGATTTCTTTCATGTTGTTGGGTTTTTTTTTGTTTTGTTGGGGGTGTTGTGGGGGTTTTTTTTGTTTTATGGCAAAATCTTTTAGTTTTAGTATCTGATTTTTTCACTTGGTAATGTTTTGGATGATGGAAGATAGTGGGTTTATAGAGAGGAGAACATGAACTCTTGAATTGAACTCTCTAAATCTGAGGGAACATCTTGAGTTCTTTTTCAAGCTCATATTTGGAGGGTGGCTGTTGAGTTTTATATTAAGCACAATAATGGTTTGAACTAGTAATTTTTTTTAGCCATTGGTGTACTCCTCAACTTCCTTTAGCTTTGGATTGGTTCATTGCTTGAATGATTAATATTCTGTTCCTGCTACACAACTTTCTAGTTGTGTATTATGTAAAAGGCTTGTCAGTAGCAGGAACCAACATTAGGATGATTTTTCACCCCTCCCCAGTGACCAGCACAATAGTACAATTTGTAAGACATATCACATGGGAAATGGAGAATTTAGGAATTATTTCAGCAAAGTCATGGCTTGATCCTCGTCACCTCTCTGTAAGTAAAATCTGTGCATTACATACACTTGGCACTGATTCTTTTGAGGTCCCTTCTTTCAGAGGAGAATAAAACCTCCCCTCTTATAAAGGTTATGCATATAAATGCACATGGTCATACAGAGAGTCTTTTGTATCATCAGAGTAGCTAGAATGCATACTTTGTTTTACTGAAAATTGTGCCAGTTTTGTACTCTGGAAATTTCAGATCAAGCCAAAGAATTGTGTGTGATCAGAACAGCGTGGTAATAACTTAACTAATCTCTACCAACTAGAACTTGCTGCAAGTTCCCTATTTTCTTTCTTGCTTTTGGTATTACAGAATTGGTGGATTTTGAGTTGCTTTTTCACTGCAAGCCAGTGCAAAACACATTTGTTTGTCACCACTGAACTATCAGTATAACTAATGAATTTGAGGTAGGTTTTAAATGTAAAGAAACATAGGGTTTTGAAGTGTTTAAAGTACTTCTTTCCCATGGCTGTTGAGAACACTTGATAGTATATATGCTGCCTTAGCTTCATAGGTGATGCATGTCTGTTAAAGGGTGCTAAATTACCAGCAAAGTTTGAAATTGCAAATAAAATGTGCAGAATTTATGTATAAAGTCAACATGTTTAAGGAAGCTTGTTATCTGAAACAGTCCTATGAGATACTTCCTATTGTTGAAATGCCTGAATGGTGATGTTGGTGTAAAACAAATGCTGAAAAACGCTTGATGGTTTTGTATGGTCTTTTAGGGCAGTCATATCTATGCAGCTGTTATGCATACAAATATTTAAATTGAGAAAGAGATGTGGGTTCCAAAATAAAATTTTCTATAGTGAGGTTATTCCAGAACTAGAGCTACCCGACCTATGCAAGACCCTGTCTTGTTCAATATACAGAATAAATAGTAGCACTAACTGAGCACTTCTTCTGTGTATGGTCCAATTCATGGTTCTTTGTGAATGGAAAGATAATCAGTAATTTCTTCACAGTGCTTATACATACTGTTCATCGTTGTAGTATCAGAGCTCTGTGGAAATCTTTGTTTGTCTTTGCGGTGTTCCCAAAGAGCAACAATAATCTACAGATAGGCACTGAAGAATAGGCATCTTTTCAGAAAGTTTTGAACAGTCCAACAGTTTTGGCTACCTAGTTAGAGATGTCCATGGTTGGTGATGTTCTTTGCGAGTCCGAGCTCAGCTGTCAGTGATTTCAGTCATTGTGATGGACACTTAGCTCTTAGCAAGTTTGAGACCACAACGTTCACAGTTGGACACATTATAAAGCAATAAACATGAAATCCATTTGGATTAAGTGCTGTGATCCTTTTCTGTTTCTTTCTCTTATGTGTCCCATCCTCCCTTACGTCCTTCACAGCAGGCCCTTTCAAGCAGGAATTTTTATTTCAAATAATTTCTCATTACAGGGTCTTACGGAATGGATTCTGTTAGTCATGCTGAATCTAAAAAATATACTACATTGTCTCATTCCCACCATATTAATTACAAGTGACTGTTGTACTCTCTTTCTTTTTCTTATGTGTTCTTGTTGCAGTCACTCCTTACAGCAAATTAGTATTTGTGCCTGATGTCAAGCATGCCAGATTTTCGTACTTTGTGCTTTTTGGAAGCATCTGTTTCATTAACATTGTTAGAATAACCTGTGTATTTCTGCAGTTGGACTGAATTAATAGTGTTTCATTTGCCAAGGTCCACAAATTTTATGAGAAAGGCAGAAGTTTGTGGTCTAACCAACTCTAGTTTCTGTTACGATTTTTTTTCAGTATTCTTTCAAAATTAAAGATAAGTCATAGTTAATATTATTTGCAGGTCTGAACGTTGCCTGAGAAAGACAGATGATGAGCTGTGTAAATTGACCAAGTCCTCTAAGGAACCAGGAAAAACTAATGCTGTCACGTTAAGGAGACGGGAGCTGCAAAAGAAAGGTTTGTAGTGAGCAGTCATCTAGCATTTAAGTATGAATTTTGGAGAGTTTTGGAATAGGAGAGCACAGAAATAGAATAGGTGTTGCAAACAATGTATATATTTCCTCAAAATGCAGTTTTTTACAGGTATGGTAAAATATGTCAAATGCCTGGTTTTAAATAGGAATAAAACTATGGTGAATCAAACCTGTGGAAGAAAAATGAAACTGAAGAAAGCCTCACTTCACTCTTATAATCCTGATTTTCTAAAAAGTCTTTTATAATCAAGGAAGTAATCCATTAAGAATGCTCAATGGTTTGTGAACACTGCTAAAATGTTTATGCTATTTGACAATACTTGTATTCACTGCTGAAGAATTATGACCTCTGTGCTCAGTCTTCAGGGATAATGCACTGCCTTTTTATACTGATTAGTAATATTTGCAGATTAGAACAGGGAATTGAGAATATTGTATCTGGCAGAAGATTAAACAAACACTAATTCTTACTTGGAAGGGAGCTATGAATTTGTTTATGCCCTTATCTTAAGTAATTATGCAATAATAATATTCCTAATTATTTTAGGGAATATGTTTTGGCAGCCACACACAATTTAAAAAAGGAAAGGATTATTAAAGATACTCGTGGAAGATACCTGCTCCCATGCATTTTATTTAAGACATAACGGATATGGAGAAATGTAAAGGTTTTTAAGGATAATCTGTTAAATCACCTCCTTTTTAGATGCAGAAAACAAGCACTATGATGAACTGGAGAAAAGGGGCAGACAGATGAACAGCACTACTCTTAGTCAGAAGGACTCGGGCTCTTTTGCTTCTGAGAAAAGGAAAAGAAGACATAGTGGCCATATTTCTGATGATTGTAATGCACACATTCCAGAAAAATCACTTGTACTCTCTGTAAGTTGCACTTAATTTTAATGTATGTGTTTGTGTACACGCATGCACACACACTTCAGTAGCAGCATTAGCAACATCCCAAATAAAAGAATTGTTGTAATAAGTAGGGCTTATTATACCTGTTGAGGGAAAGTAGTTCAGTGATGCATCAGAAGGAGTGAGTAAATGTACTTCTGTCCACAACATCAGAGTACCCTTATTGGAGGAAAAAACGTTGTGAGAGGTGAATGACAGTGTTTCTTTCAAACAGGAGCATGGACTAAAAGAATTTTGAAAATAAGACATCTAACTGCTTAAGGGAAGCTTCTTTCACAGATGATATAGAGTTAGGGGCTAATTAGGGGCTTTAATACAAAAATTACTAAATATACCTGGGGTTGTTGAAATCTTGCAGATGTCTTCTTCCTCCCTTCTCCTCAGTTTATTGTACTCTTCCTTAAAGTTTTATTCTTATCCATCATTAAGATTTAAAAGACAAAAACAAAACAAAAAAAAACCCCAAACAAAACATAAACAAAAGACTGAGGGGAATCAGTCAAGTACAAAGATTTATATTCAAGCATTTGAATACAATAAAGGCATCCCTGTCACCTTCTGATTAAAACCCCACAGAGACAGGCAACTGCTGAATCCCGTTAGCCCAACCAGTGAGAGAGCTAGTGAAAAATAAGACATAGTTCCTTGTTCAGTTTGATTGGGGGTCATAATAAACTTCTAAAAGGTTGTCCCTTATGTCTTTATATAATAATAACCTTTGGAATATGAGGAGGGAGAAATTGTCCTGAACTGAGCATTAAATGTTGCTGTGTTACGCTGTAATTATTTTTTCTAGCACATAGCTAAATCTCAGCGATCACTGATATGAACCATCTAGAAATGTCAAGAAGTAAACTTCTATCCCGTCTCTGATTCCTGTTTCTAGGAAAAGCAAAGTTTGAGTTCAACTCCTGGCTGCAGAACACCCTGTGAGGACAGACAAGGTGACAGATCTAATACCGTTCTGGTGCTGGATTGTATTCCCCAGCCATTAGAGAGAGACTGTAAAGACGCTTCCACACACAAGCACTTAAGGCCTGCTCACAGCCGCACAGAAGAGTCTGGCTCAGAGTCTCCTCCCAGAAATTTGTCAGAGAAACAGCTTTCTGCCACCACTGAGGACGTGATTTTACCACGAGTTAGTGCAATCAGGAAATTGAAAATGGACCCATCTCAGTACCTGAGCAAGCTGCGGAACAGAATCTGCAGGGGTAATCAGCACCTTGTTTCCGTTGACCCAAGTATGTACTATGTCTGTGCTGCTGACAATTACTGTTGGGACACTTAGGTACTAGGAGAACTTGAGCCTGGCTGGCTAGCTGAAACACACAGAACAAAAGATTTGAAGATGGAGATCACGTTGTGTGTAATGCACTGTGCAGGTTACAGAACAGTGCCTGGAGTCAGAGGGTCTTGTACTTGAGAAACAGGATAGACAGGAAGATTTTAAAATTCCAGTCTTTATTTTGCAGCTGATTTTGTGGCTATGGAAAATGAGCCTGTACTTAAACTGATGCTTTAGCTGAGAAAAGATATTCTCTAGTTCGAAGCAGCTGAGTTGTGGCCTGTTTCTTTTAACAGCCAAATACTTTTAAGGATCTTGGATAGAAGGTGTTCATAAAGATACAAAGCAGTACTTGTTGCATGCACTTTCATGCACACAGATCTTGACTGGTTTGGGCAATGTACCTTGATATTACGTGCTGCAAGAGAGAATTCTTTACTTGTCTGAAATCCACAATGAATGAAATATTCTTAAGTCTGTGTCATGTAGTATATATACTTTTTTTTTTCCTCTTCAGTCGTCCTTTCCAGTGATGATGAAGATTCACCTTCTGAACCACAGTGCACAGAGCTGATGCAGGATAGTATCACTGAAATCAAAGAAACAGACCAACAGTCTGACTTCTCAGCCAAGCAGTTGGAAGACAAGATGGAAAGCCACACAGAGCAGGTAGTCTAGTTTTTGGCCTATGTATTGTTATGCCAACCCTTTATTTCTACAATGTTTGTTGTGGAAAATTATTGTTTATAGTCCCAACCACAAGCAAAATTCTCTGGCTCTGAAGCTTCGGTGTTTCTGCAACATACAGTGTATTTCCTGTTTTGAAAACAAACATTTGGAAATGTTTAATATCAGAAAACAAAGGATCCAATAATAACCCGAGCTAGAAATAGACATGATGAAGATACATCTGTGAAAAACTTTTCACACAGCGTTTTAAATTGATTGCAGTTTCTTCTCGTCAGCCAGTCCTCTGTTGTAATTCAGTGCATGGAGAAATTCAAGGATCTTTGCTGACAGCAGAGAGAGACAGGGTAAAGTTCCCTTTTCTGTGTGGCTAGCAGTAAAATATGATTCTAGAACTAGCCATAAAGGTTGTTGCCTCATTTTAGACTTCATTAGCCTTATGCTGCTTGCTTTGACCTGGATTTGAGTTATCCTGAAACAAGTCAAGAGCCATTGCTGCCTCTTCTCTCAGGTGCATCATTTTGATCATAAGCATTGAATTGGATCCTGAACCTTTGATATGAAAAGAGGGATATTATTTTGTTGCTCTGTTTGAGTTTTTACTTGGTTCTAGATTAGTAAAGTGCACAGATCATTTCTTGGCAATGAAGGTGAAACAAGATCTTTTTAGGCCCTTAAAGACGTTGTCAGTAATGGATGTGTTAACACTTAAAGCTTTTGTGTTATTTTTCATATGGAAGCTGACTTTGGGAGCAAATTCTTACCAGTGTGATGAAAACCTTTCCTAAGGTTACAGGAGGGAAGTATCTCATTTAAAGCCCTGTAGTAAATATACTTTTTCTTCCAGTTTTTAACAGAGTCAATTGAAGATAAAAGTCTGATCACCTTACCTTCTGAAAGAACACCTAGAAAACAGATGAACCCACCACTGGATGTTACATTTGATAGTCTATACATTGGGAGATTTAAATGCTTATCAAGAGGTCCTGCTAAGGTAAGTCATTCAAATTAAAATTCTGGTAGGCAAAGCCAGTGGTACTCAGTATGGAACCACTCAGTTTTGATTATTGTTGCATCAAATTCCTTTGGCTAAACAATGGAGTGTGTAGTCCATTACCGTGTACATTTGGATTGCTGTCAGAAAAGCTAACTGATTTTCTGTGGCCACAGTTTTCAGATGTAAAAGTTCTGTATAAATGCTGTACTTGAGAAGTCACACTGAGGATGCTTGTAATGAATTTTAACAGAAAATAATGGCAATATTAGTGGCCAATTAATGTCACTCAAAAGAAAAACCAGTTGCTTTTCTCAGAAATAGTAATGATTTAGAATAAAGTAATCCATAATGATCAGAGTTCAGATATATACTGTGCTCTAATCTTGCCTTTTAAACAGAAAATTGCTTGTTTTGTGGCTTTAAAGAGCATAAAAACAATACTAAAACCACTAGTGCATAGGCAACATGCTACTCACTGGGTGTAGAAACATAAGTGAAGATGTGCTTAAATGGAGTACCAGCTCCAGAAGTTTCAACAGGTCTTTGACCAGGCTCATTCTGTATATTGCAACTGAAAAAGAAATGTTTGAACCTGCATATGTTCTGTTGCTTTCAGTAAGACATCTTGAAATCTTGGATTGTAGTAATAATAAAAATTTTAGGTTTTCAGAAAACAGCAGTTTTGTGCAGCAGTTCTCATGCAGTTATGGAAACATTTCATGGTAACTTCCTAAATTAACAGACCAAAATAATTTGAAGGATGAATTGAGATAATTTTAGAATCAATGCTTTAGGTGTAAAGTAGACATTTTCCTTGGAGAACACAACTTCGTGCTTACTATGGTAATGTAGGAGAAACCTCCTCTGTCAATGTATATGAGAACCTTTTGTCAAAGTGACAATAAAGCACTCTTTATTTAGCAAAATCTCTTTGACATAGCAGCAGTGCAAGTGGAATCCTTCAAGGCCTTTAATTCAAAAATTATTTTAAATAGCAAAGTAGCACCCCAGTGTTGAACCGTTTCTATCGCGTCCTTAATTCAAATAGTGCATCTGACAACCTATCATGGGTTACTTTAGCTCCTTTTGTCTCAAGTGTTCATCTTTTTTTCTTCTTCTTCTTAAGGAGCCTATAGGCAGCTCTGCAACTTTATGCTCATTTCTCAGTGCATAGCATCTCTGCAAGTTATTTGCTGTCATTTAGGTTCTGCAGTATGTCTTCAGGAGTGTTCTTTCAGGTGAAATAGGCAATATGAAGTCTCAGACTTTGCATATTTGACTTGGTAGTGTCAGGCTAATGGTTGGACTTGGTGAATCGTGTTTTCCAACCTAAATGACTCTATGATATTATTTTCAGTGTATTTGGCTATAAGGAAAGACATGCAGATAATTAAAAATTCTTATATTGATTTAATCAATTTGTAAAAAGCAAAGTAATTTTTTTTTTATTATTCTTATTCCAGTTTACAACAAAGAATATTGTGATCCCACTCCAGGGTAAGAGAATTTTTTTCTTTAGGGTTCTCTTAACTGTATCTTTAAAGTATTGCATTAAAATACTAAGTATGTATTTCTGTTATGAGTAATTTATACTCTTACTTGCTTTCACAAAGACATTAGATAATTTTCACTTATTCACATTTTTCAGTAAAGGAGTTTTGGTGTCTATAATGTAATCCTTAATAACTTATCAGTTTCTTGTACTTTTAAGATGAACTTTGTAGTTTTAGTGGCCTTGCCTCCCATATTCTTCCATATCATAGGTGTTGAACTATAGTAAAAATGACTGCATATTTTTGAGGTGAAACATTCATCTTTTCAGATTAGGGATTTATACCCTCAGGTGAGTTACACAAAAATGTATGAGTCGACTAAAGATAAGAGGAATATAACTGTAGATATAACTGAATTGGATTGACCAAAAGCAAATAGGAGTTCGTGATTTTCAATTTTTTTTTTGTTTGCTTTTAGAAAAAATACAACTTTTTTGTTGTATTAAATTTGGGAAGAATCCCAAATTTAGATGTTTAGCTTTTGGGGTCACAGTTGGTAACTTTGTGTTACATAGTTTGATGTAACTGATTTCAGTGTTGAATTCTCGATATTTTATGTAACACCAGGAATAAAATCTACAAGTACTGTGTTAATAAGCTCTGGTTGTACTTAGATCTCAGCATGTAACTACTGTAACATGTATGACTGTGGCTGTTATAGGTATGGTTCTTTTAAATTCTGTTCTCTACAGTGGCTCTCAATAAGAATGTTAAGCTGACAGTGGATACTCTGGAACTCAGAAGGTTTGGCGTGTGGAGAAGTGATGGTGGCTCCTCTTCAACAATTATCATTTTTCTTTGGTTGTCTGTGGATTATGCAGAAAACATGGAAACCCAATTGGGAAAGTTAGTTATCAGCAAGCCATGTGAGTAATCTCTTTCCTTAAATGCAAAGGAAAGGTCTAATTTATGGCATGTCAATGAAGTGGTTATTTTACAGTTGTGTTTTTTGAATGTGGAGAAAAGCGTATTGCATTTTAAAGATAATGTGACCAGTTTTGCTTTTCTAAAATGCCTTGCTGTACTTGTATTTGGAAGAAAAAAATCCAACATAATATGATTCAAAACCACTGCTGTTTAATAAAAAGACCTCAAAACGCAGTTTAATTGTAATCTGTGTGAGAAAGCCCTTGTAACTAGGCTTGTGTATAAAGCATCTCTCCCTTTAAAATATATGGGATGTTTTACTTGTCCTTACTCCTGAGTATTGTATATGCTACAGAAAAGGCTTGGCAAGTAAAGATTGAGTTTTAGGGCCCAGAGTGTGTTTGTCTTCCTCAAAGTACTTAATTTGGGTTCCTACCTGCCATTTTGCTCCTGTGCTCCTCTGGGCTTATCAGGTGGGCTGTTGGTGGGCTGATGGCCCCTGTGATGAACCTGGTAGGGTATTATTTGGGCTCCCCTGCCTGCCATTGTCTCTCCTTGCTCCTTTGTGGGTGTGCCAACAAGTTCTTATCACATAATCTAATAGTTAGTACTATCCATTCTCTCCTTTTTCCAGCCAAACCTGGTGAATTTGTATTTCTTGAATTGTCCCAACCACTCACAGAATGGGAAGAAGACAGACTGACTGAACTGATTACAGATGTGAGCAAGAAGAACAGAGCACCAGATCTCGCTGAGTTTTTGTCTTTGAAGCAAGCATTTCCCTTGTTTAAGGATCTTTCTCCTGAAGAAAGCTCTTTTGTGAGTTACCATAAGGATCTACTAAAGCAATATATGCCAAAAAAGAATACCTCAGATGCTCATGAACCTGCAGTTCAGGTTAGTGTGTAGCTGTTGCTTTATTTATCGCCACCTGTTGGCATTCACACATTCTAGTAAATTTTCCATCAACCTTCTTTCTTAATCCATGGCTCAAAAAATATCAGTCATGATTGTTGCAAAATTTGCAGTCAACTAGGTTGTGTCCACAGAGAGAGTGTGTAGACCTCATCAGTGAGTAGCAAGTACCTATGCTTTAGATTGACTCATAGTTGTGTATATTTAGAGTAGGGATTTCCTGCCCTTGTGGTGTCTCCAGGGCAGCAAGTGGGAGTTAATGAAGTTATGAGTGGTGGAGACATTTTTTGGTTGAGCTGGAAAGGCAGCAGAGGAGGAGCTGTGTATATTGCTCTCCAGACACCTCTAGATGTACTTTCAAGCTTCTCCACAGCTTGAAATGCTGAATGATTCCTCAGGCTGCTGGGGAGATGTCTGTGGAAGTTAATGTGTTGTCATGGTTTAATCCCTCTGAGGAGTAAATGTCTAAATCCAATTCCACGTCATTACCACTTCAGAAATTACATATATTTGTTCCCACTAGTAAAAAGCACAGAGACAACAGATAAATATGATCCGTGAAACTGGGGACTTAAATAGTGAGCCAGCCAGTTCAAATCTGTATTGTTTTTCAGGCCAATTGTTTAAGGGCTGGATTTTCAAACCTTCCAAGCACACACAGCTCCAAGTAAGACGGTCTGATACTTGCCTCCATCCTTTCAGGTCATGTTTCTTCTCCAAAACCGATTCTGCATCACTTGACTAAATAATACTTGGACAGTTTTGGAGAGATTATGAACTAAGACCTGTCAGCATTTTAAAAGATCCATTAATTTTTTATTGCCTGAGCGGTGGCTTATTTGCCTAAATCCTGAAGGTTACACTTTTGCTCTCCAGCAAGAATCCTCTTCAGTGATACAGGTTACTCCTGTGGGCTTTAAACTTGAATTTTCTGTATTCTGTTTTACGTATGTATCAAACTGTATAATGCTTTTTACTACTATTACTGTTTGTGTTTTTTTTTCTGATAGGAATCAAACCTAAAAGTGGTCAGGCCCAGTTATGCCCTTGCAAATAAGCAGAATAGTGGTTGCTATTCTATCTCTTTGTCCTCTGCACTGAATGAAGAATGGAAAGAAGTAAGAGAAACAGGAGCAGTTAAGAAGTAAGTAATATTTCATATAAATGAGAAAGTAAAAGAAATTGAATAAATAAGTTGTTAAGTGAGGGCTTTTATTCCAACTACCATTCTTTAGTTGTTTTTGAAGTTGTGTGAAAGTTGCTCTAGATATCTAAAATATCCCCAAGTCTAAATGTAGTTATTCCTGTTCCATCCTGATAGTTAACAGACAGAATGGATGTATTACAGGATTACAGAAAATCTCACAGAAACTGAAGAATACCTGAACTGTGACTACAAGGTCACGTCATGGGTGCATCAATGGGGAGGGTAGGGACCTCAGGGGTTCTGTAAGTGTCCATCTAAGTCCATCTTAGCAGAACTATTGCTAACTTAAGATGAGCCTTTTTTAAAATCTAAACTATGTTTTCTTTCACTGTGTCACACTCTATTTATAACTGATATGTCATACAGTTTACTCGTTAGTACAGGAGCTTGGTTGAAAAAAGACACTTAGTGTATCAAGATGCTGGGAGAGCACTGACATGCCTCAGTTCTGTCTGCACTTGCCTCTTAGTGCTCATACTTTGTAGTACAGGAAACATTACCAGATTAAATTGCTCTTAAGAACCCTTGCCTTTTGCTGTCACTGTTTCTACTGACAGTATCACAGTTGGTTTTGCTTCTTCAACAGCAAAAATGCTCAGTTCATGGTTCCAGGTAATTAATATGGTTTTTAATCTGAAACCTTTTATGTACATTTTAAATACTAGTGGTAGGAGTAACTTGGGCAGTTTTAAACCACTTACAAATACATATGCTACATGAGGTGTAAGCCCAAGTTCTCTGACTGGAACTGTGGGAGTCCTTGTTGGGCTGTTCATTCAGACCATTTGTCCCCTAGTATTTCTTCACATTTTATATAGCCATTTGTCAACTACTTTTATGAAGAATAGAAAAACAAGATGAAGGTAAAAAATAGTCTCCTTTCAAAAGTTTTTCTCAAAGTTTCAGTGTGCATTGGAGTGAGTATTTCTTTTGAAACACTTAGCAGAAGAAATGGTAAAGGACTTTTAAGTAGTTCAAGAACTACTACTTTTAACAGGTTTCCTAGAAAATCTTCTACATGTGAAACAGCCATGCTAAGAAGAACGTCATGTAAAACAGTTTGTCACTGTTATCACGTGATTTATGTTTTCTAGTTTAATTGTTTACCCACCCCCACCTGCAAAAGGAGGACTGGGAGTCACAAGAGAAGACCTAGAGTGCTTAGAATATGGAGAGTTTCTCAATGATGTCATCATTGATTTCTATCTTAAGTAAGTAATCACAGTCCTGCTTGTACCCTTCTTTCTAGGGCCTGATCTGGACTTGAATGTTACTGTAAATTTTGGTCACTAAACACAGTACAACAATTTCAGGAGTAAAGAGTGTGATGAATTTGTATGTTGGACTTTTCTAAAAGCTTTTTTATATTCTTAGCAGTTTTATTTGTTTTAATTTAATTCTTTTTGTCCCTCTAAAGAGCTGTGATATAATCCAGACAGAATAACTGAAGGAAAAAAAGCCTTTTGGTGACCTTACACAACAGAAAGTGCTGAGCAGTGTTAAGTAGGCAGTTGAACAAAGTAGATGGTCTGCACTACTATTTTATGTACTAAGTTTGCATGAAGTGGAGCATCCTCTGCTATTCTTTGCAATTTCAGGCATTCTTCTGATGCAGATCTCCTGCAGAAAGGAACACAGCTAATACTTCTTGAGGAAGTTGTGCTTGGCTGAGCTACTCCATGCCACCCTGCTAAAGTTGCTTGTGAAAGCAATTTTTCAAAAACTGGCACCGTGGCCACCATTCCCTAAAGCTGAGGTTTATTTTCACTCTGTTGACTTAGACCTAAGAAGAATTCTGGTTTGTTGAAGGTTGTCAGCAAGAATTCCATTTTAGTTGGCATCCAGATGGCTGAAGGAGCAGGAGCCATAGGAAGCCTTGTCTAAAGGAGTGGGAAAGGCAATGTGTTACAAAGTGTTTCAATGGGATATTGCAGCAGACCCCCTTGTATTTTGCCCTAAAATAGAAATAAATAACGCAGCATGGTCCTCTCAACAGCTGTGGTTTCATCTCAACAGAAAAGAAAGATTTAAATTAAAGAATTTAATGCAATCATTGCAAAAACTTCTCTGCTTCTTAAATTTGTTAGACTTCCCACATTCTCAGTTTTCATTGTGTTGCAAGTTGTATCATGTATGACTGTGTTTCCCAAGTCATCAGATGAAGCTGGAGGCACTTTGTGTAGGATAACTGCAATTATGAGTGCTTTGGTCTTCTAGGATGACAGAAGAAACACTCAAGCTGATGTTTATAGTGAAATTATTGGCAGTGAAATAATAAGTACTTGCAGAATATTTGACTTAACTTTCACATGCTTAAATTGTCTGTTTTACTTCTGCAGGTTATTGTACTGACCTTTGCATGTTGCACTATGCTTTTTGTACATGCAGGAGTATAGCACTCCATAATAAATTCAGAAGCTTGAATACTGGAGCAAAAACCTAGGACAAAAAATTATTGCTTTCTTAGTAGTTGCTTGGCTGTTACACACTCTGATGTCCATGCATGTGAATAGTTAAAATAGAGCAGAGAGAAAAGTTTGGCATGATTAGTGGCTGTGAAGGCAACTGGTAGTAAGTATAACCTGAGTGTGATAAGTCATTAAAATAACTGTCCTTTTTTTATCAGTAATGGTAGTTTCTAGAAAAGGAGTTTAATCATTTCCTTTTTTTCCCTCTTTGGTAGGTACCTGTTGTTGGAGAAGGCACCAAAACGTCTTGCTGACCGTACACACATTTTTAGCAGTTTCTTCTATAAGTGCCTGACCAGGACAGAAAAAACCTCTGAGGGGGATGTCAAAGTTTCGTAAGTTTGTTTTAGGTGCCATTATGACCAGAAACAAGCTACCTATTTATGCCACTTGGAAGTTCTCCAGATCATCTACTGATTAGTACATGAAATAATAATTGGTGTTCTCCAAAGGATTAGTGGTCGAATATTGTAACTCACAATTAAGCATATTGGTGTTTTTCCTTAAAATCTACATGTGATTCATACTGAATATGAATGAAAATGTTATCACCTTTCTCCAACTTTGTCTGAATCTTTACTTCAGACAGTTATTTATGTATTTGATATTTTTATCAGAAACTCAGAGCAAAGTTCTATGAAATGTTGGTTTCTATTTCAACTTGTGCAAATTAAGAAAGCTGAAAATCTAAATTTAGTTTTCTTCTCAGAATTTTCTTATTCTCCTTTTATCATCTCCTCGTGCTTTATGTCTGTAGAACTGGAAATTAAATGTGCTCCTGCACTTAAATCTCTGGACTGGAGGGTATCTGTTTCTCTTCTGTTTGCTGCAGGTGTGCTAGATGACCCTGTGCAAGGCATTTAACTTTTTCCCTTCAAAAGATAAGGTTGTATAGACAGGCCTTCAAAAGTGGCATTGGAAAGTTTAATTCATGGATGTTTTTATATTGCTATAGATCTGTTTTTACACTGGTGTTTAGATGAGATTTTTGCATTTAGTGTAGTAAATAATAATTACTTGATAAATAACTGCAAGAACTCCATTCAAATCTATGAGTAATTTTTTTCCAGAAGAGTTTGAGATGGTTCAGAAATAGCTTGTTTGTCACTTGGGCTCAATGGTGTGCTGATTTATTTTTAATCCGTGGGGAAATTTCAAGAGTAAGTGAAAAACACATTGAGGGACTGGGGAGGGGTAGGAGTCCTAATTCCTCTGCTTGCTTTAACTAAATAGAACAAAACCAAATAACAGTTGTCATTTGGTTTCTTCAGAGTGGCACAGAGAAGACATAGAAGAGTAAGAACATGGACTCGTCGTATAAATATCTTCAGTAAAGATTATATCTTTGTGCCTGTGAATGAGGAGTAAGTCTGTGTGTTTTCAACACTTTTCCTGATATTTAAAGATTTAAATATTTGAATGTTGTGGTGGTAAAAATTTATGGCTGTAGGGTTGGATCATTGGACATGACACTTAAGATTTTGAAGAAGTTAACAGGTGTGAAATGGGTGATTTTGAAGTCTGTTCTAAAGACAAAATGCTTATTCAGTTGTCATTAGTAAACTTTGTGCTTTTGGTGTCTATAAAAAGTAGTTTGTAAAAGTAGTACTTCCGTAGTCTGTGCCTTGGCCTGGTTGAATAACTGACCTGGACATGGAAACTCTCTTGTAAAACTGAATAGTCATGGAGAGGTACACATGGAAAACAGGTGCAGAAAGAAATGAGGCTAAAGGTGTGCCAATACCTTCAGCTATATTCAAAACTGGGATCACCATCACATATTATTCCTTTTTTCTTTTTCCTTACATTTTGGGATGGGTGCCCAAACATTGATAATTGCTGTGATGAATTTTGGGTTTGTTTTTTTTCAAAGGAATTGATACTGATTTTTGCTGTTATGCCACAATGCAAAGTGAAAAAATGAATGAGAGGATTGGTATGAGATGCCATAAAGGAACATGGCAATGATGGTTATGTATCACAGAACAGTTGTTCATGAGCTCTCAGTATTATAAAAGCTTTTCATAGCCTTTTGAGAACCAAATGTTACACAGTTTTGACATTTTTCCCCCGTCTCCCTCCTGCTGGGCAGGTCTCATTGGTACATTGCAGTTATCTGTTTCCCTTGGTTAGAAGAAGCTGTGTATGAGGAGTGTCCCCCTCAGAATTCCTTATCTCACCAGTCTCCACTTCGGTCAGAGAGTGAGAACACTAGACCTGGTTCAGTGTTCTTCAAGGGTGAAGAAGAAATGGATTCTAACAGAATTTTATTCTCAAAAGGTAGGTAATCTAGAAAAGAATGTCAAGCAATATACAGTTCTAATAGTGTCTTAATCCTTGAAGGAGGGAAATTAAGTAAGAGATGGGTTTTAGGATATCAAGGCTGATGTAGTTTGGTATCACCATGCATAGCAAGGACTGCAAGGTATCTGCAACTCTGGAAAATACTGGAAGGGACATGTAAAATCAGTGATGATTGGGAAGTCATTTCAGTAAGAATTTTATCAGGAAAATTACCCTCAGTAACTCTGCTATTTGAACATTCAGATGGGAATGTTCAAAATTAGTTTATAAATTAGTTCTTCACTATCATATTTTGAGCACTAATAATCAGGAACTTGAAAGTAAAAAAATTTTGGTTAGAAAATATTTTCTTAAAGACTTACTAATTTGTTTTTTTATACTAGGTGGCAATGAAATTGCTGCTGCTGCTTCAGTTCTAGATTCAGCTATTTCTAAAGTAAGTACCTTTTTGTACTGACAGAAAAAATGTATTACTCTAGTTCTGAAGGCTGTGAGACTTTGACCAAGTGATTTTGCATCATCTTTTTTGCAGTAGCTGTCAATGTTTGCATAGCCTGCAGTATGTGCAAGACATTTTTGATTCGCCTTAAGTCCTCCTTTGCCTACCTATGTTGCTCTGCTGTGCTTTCACATGTTTTTAAAAATGATTTATCTGTCCTTCTGAAGTGAGAGCTTCTCTCACTACCTTTATATCTATGAAGATGGTAGTTTGTAATTGCTGTTGGTTTCTTTAAAGATTATTTTCTTTTCTTTTCTCTCAGATCTCCCTAAGTAATTCCAAAAGGCAGATTTGTAAAAGGTATGTTTCAGTTTTCTTTCTAATTTTGTAACATTAAATTACATTAAGAAATTCTGCAGTAATTCAGTTATTTTTCATAAAGCCACAGCTGTAGGTACTTGTCCATTTTTACCACATTGGTTCAGATATTGATGCTCTTGGTAAACTCTATTCAAATAAAATACTTGCTTCAGTAGTGTGATAATGAAAGACTGCAATGATTTGTTTGTTTATTTTTGTTGTATACAGGCCTTGTATACTCATCTTAGATTCTTTGAAAGCTGGTTCTGTGCAGAAAACAGTTCAGGTTTTGAGAGAGTAAGTAACTACAATTTCTATCTTTTAACAAGAGGTGCTGCTGGTCGTATTTCTATATTCAAAATACTTTTTTTAAACTAATACTTTGAAATTTAAGTGATCGGTTTTCCAAAAGACTGATGTTCATTTTTTTGATGGCAGTTACAGAATTACAGTGTTAAATCCACTCCTATATATGTGCAAAAATGTAGAAAGTAGACTGAAGCTGTCTAAAAGTTTGATGTGTCAGTACAGTTAGAGTGGAATGGTATTATTTGTTTTGAAAAGTGAGAGTAAAAATATATTCAGTCTTTTATGTGATAAGTATGTAAGTATTGGAAGAATGTCCTAAAAATTTCAGTACTTTTACATGTTCCTCATTACTTCAACATCTATCAACAACTTTTTAAAAAGTTGTTAGATATTTGAATCAAAACAGAATTGTTCATTTTCTGCTGGCCTTCTAGGATGAATCCAGGAAGAATCTGTGTGATAGCCAGGAAAGATTCCTGGAGTTATTCCTTAAGATTTAAAAATGTTCTGGTATCCTAATAGCTCAAAGAAATTCAGCACAAATAACTGTTTTTAAGTAATATCATGCCTATTTCTGTTTTGTATATTTCTTATTATGTGGTAGAGATGCCTCTGAGTGCAGTAGAATATTGAATAGTTGAAATAGTGTATAAATTTCTTTGACAGATTCTGTTAAAAATAAATTGATTAAAACTATTTTAGCTTTTTGGCCAGCTCTGGAACAATAATGAATAGTATCCCCAAAAAACTGAGCTATTTCTCAAGTATTTCAACTGATTGCTTTCTCTTGTAGGTACCTTGAAATGGAATGGGAAGCGAAGCGAAAAACACATCGGGAATTCAGTAAATCAACAATGATTGACCTGTGTCCCAGAGTGCCTAAACAAGATAACAGCAGTGATTGTGGGGTCTATTTGCTGCAATATGTGGAAAGCTTTTTCCAGGTACAAATCGAAACTACCTTCCCCTTTCCACCAAATTACCTCAAACCCCGAAAACGTGTTTTTGAAGGAAATAGCCAGACACAAAAGTCTGTGAGGCACAGTGTTAGAAGTGTCAAAGCCATTTGAAGAAGAGGAGATTAAACCCATTCTGCACATAGTGGCTGGGATCTTTATATCTGGTTTCTCATCTGTCTGTCAGCAAACATTTCTGACCCTGTAGTTGAACGTTGCTTTTACATTGACATATTCAATATCCCGAAGTATTTGGGTGTATTTGGAGTCTATTTCATGTATGTATCTTTGCATCAGTTCTTGTAGCATCTAAAATTTTGGTCAGCTTGTGCATTGGCCTTTGAGTGACTCTGCAGGCAGCAGCTTCTGGAGTGAGTGAGGGGGTAATTCTTAAAAGGGAATGCACAGACCTAAGGGAGCCTCTCTTTTTGTTCAGCACATACCTTTAGACATCCGCAGATCCTGGGCTTCAGGCACTGCCTTCTAAGGTGTCCCCAAGTCTTCCTCATCCTGATCCAGTGCACTGCCCTCTTGCTCTGTCCTTTGAATGGCTGTGCTTCCTTGGTGCTTAGAGGTGTGGTCCACATTCTCTGAGATTCCTGTGCATGCAAAGCCTTGTGTGGGGCCTTGGACAGCAGACAGGTTTTTCTTCTGTGGGAGAACAGATAGCCATTCCAAAGCACCTGTACACTAATGCACACAGTGTGGGGGATGAACGTGAGGAATTGCAGATCTGCATGCAGTTGCAGGGCTAAGATCTTGCTGGGTTCGTGGGGATGTTGTGAGATACCTCATGTGGCAGGTGTGCCACAATGGATAGATAAGACTCTTCAGAAAGGACAGGCAGGGAAGACAAGGAGGTAGAGTTGCCCTTGATGTGAGAGCAGCTGGAATGCATGAATCTCTGCCTTGGGTTGGATGAGAAGCCATCTGAGAGTTTATGGGTAGTGACTAAAGAGCAGGCTAATATGGGTGACATAGTAGTGGGCATCTGCTGTAGGCCACCTGATCAAGGAGTGGAACCATGAGTACCTTTTGGTAAGGGTATGTATGTATGTGATTATGATGGAGGAACTGGAATTTGACTTTGAAGCCTGTCACACTCGTGTGGGAACTTGTTTGTGCCTCCTTGGTCTCAGCAGCAGTGGAAGGGTTTGAAATTCTTTTTGAAGGTTGCTTTGGGAAATTCATGCTGTAAATATTCCTTTTTCTGTCACCAGAACCCCATAGTTAACTTTGAAGAGCCACTGCATCTGGAGGATTGGTTCCCTCGTCAACTAATCAGAAGCAAAAGAGAAGAAATTCGTGACCTGATCTTGCAACTGCACTTTCAACAGCACAGTGGCAGCAGCAGCTAATAAATCTAATAAGGCAGACCTAGCAAAGGACACTGCTGTATAAAGTAACTGGAACTCTGCCTAGCAGCACTTGGTCTCTCCCTGCCTTGCAAGGAAGACAGAAAAACCCCACAAAAAGTATTTTTTGTTCAGCATGTATTTATTTAAAGATTTTTTTTTTCAATGGTGTTGTGTGGTCTTAGAATGCTGGGGGGGGGGAAGGGATAAGGTTGTAGCTAAGAGTGTAAATATAAGTTAAAGCTATTGCACATGGATTGCTAATTGAACCTTTGTTTGGCATATGAAAGCTGCTTACAGGTGTGTGCCACAAGGATATAAAAATACTTTCATCTTATGGAGCCTTTTCTTTATATTTCTATACCAATATGAATGGTATATAAACATAGAGTTGGCCCTGAAGACAGGATTTTGATCCTGTATGTGTCTTTTGATTTTGCAACTGATACAAATAGAGTGAATACTATGTATTGTTTTAATTTAAGGATGTAATATTGACTCTCTTTAGAGATTTATGTTTTTGTTTTGTTTGTGATTATATACTGACATAATCTGCATGTGTCAGAAAATTCTGCCAAGATTTGAGGCTGAGTTTTTGTTGTATTTTTTATTAGTATTATTTCCCTCCCTGTCATTTTCTTCATAAAAATTAGTTTCCCTGAGTGGAAGACATTTGCTTGAGAGTGACTGTTGAAATACTCTGAAGTCAAGAGTGGATTTTTTTTTAAGTATTTTTTATTATTATTTTTCTTATCAGATTTCAGAAGACAACTTGCTCTCAAAGTACATGCCAATACAATATGTGTAGGCAGTAGATTTTTAATGCTGTTCACCTATTTTTTGGGAATAATTTCTACAAATCTTATAGTATCACCTGCATTAGCAAGGCAAGCGGGCTGTGCCTTAACCTCAAAAGTCTGAAGGGTTTTCCTGAAAATTAAGGTCAATATGTTTGTGTGATATGTCTTTAAGATATGTTATTTACATATAAGACAAACAGGATTTACACTTTGCTTAGGAGAATTGCATAAAGATGCCTGAATATTGACTGTTTGAACTCAGACTTGATTTGATAAACTAGCACAAGTTTATCAGTCTGCCTACGTATTTATGTAGTTTTTGTCAAATAGTGATCACATAAAATTTTAATAACATTTTGATGTGCACACTTTTTTCTGTACTTACTGCATGATAGAAGGTGATCGTTTTAAGAGGATGTTTTCTCCTGTTCTCCACTGTAAGTTCAAGTGTCGTCTCACCCTTCAGAAGATGTGTCAGATAACCACAAAAGCCACTTGTGTCATGAAATAATCTACAAAACCAGAGCTCTTAAAGCTGGAAGTAGGATAGAGAGTTAAAATAAGAATTGAGGGCAACCCAAAGATGTGAACATTTTTATGTCGTTGCAGAATTCTCAGGGCCCCTTCCCTCAAGACAGAGTAACTCTGAAACCGAGCACTTGGAAAATCCAGTTATTACTTCAGGTTCTGTACAGTCACCCAACACCTCCCCACCCCCCCCTTATTGTTTCTCAAACCAGGAAGCATTCTTGCTGGAGCAGAGAGGCAATTTGAAAACAAAGCAATTTGCTGAGCGCAGTTACCTTCTGTATAACTGTGAACAGCCTAGTACAGTTACTGTATGTTTTTTGTCTTTGTTTCTACTTTAATTCTGTAGTTTGTCACTACCCCTCCTCCCCTCCACCCCACCAACAGCTCTCCCTCTCATCCTGGAGTTTGTGTTGTTCAGTACCTAAATCACAACACCAGCATTACTTACGAGGTTGATCTGTGTATTTATTGTAAAACAAATGAAAGATAAAATGCAGAAATGTGTGCCCTTTGTTAATTGATGAATATTTTCAGTGTTTCCTTATGAAAAATAGTTTAAGCTTTTTCTTATGGTAAAGTTAGTTTTTATCATCAAGCGACTTGTTCTTTTTCAGATTGACTGTTTAAAAGCAAAAATAATGTACAAATTTTTCTAAATTGATTTTATAGCATGAAAGGATTGGCTTTTTAGATTTGCTACATATGTGCTATGAGAATGCCAATGCATTTGATATTAAAATTACCTCCAGAAGTTATTGAATGTGATTGTTACTGTTCTTTTCCCAGCTGCCACAGATAACTCATAAGTGAAAGATAGGCCGTCTTGCTGCTTTTAAGGTGTATACACAGTATGTGTCTCTGAACACAAATGTCTGTCAAAGGCATTATTGGATCACCAGCTGCAACCCATCCCATTCCAGCCATTTGCATTTACCAGGTATGTGGTAAATGCTGGGAAGTGTTTGTGGAAGAAGTTACTCTCCAGGTACTTTAGTACTTCCTTTTTATTTGCTAACCTTCCCCAAAGTTAACTTTTATCATGTGTAAGGCACCAGTCTGACTCAGGGACCCTTTTGCACATTCCTGTGTTTCCATTTCCTGTATTAACCCCTGTTTAACTGAAATGGTGGAGTGACATGATACTTGAAAGCAAGCCAATCTTTGTAAGACTTTATCCTAAGCTGTGTAATTTTGGTTTCAAGGCAGTCTATTGTACCCAAAGTGTTAAATGTAACTATCAGTTTCATTCTTCTGCCTTCTGTCTCCGTGGGACCAGAAAGTGGCTTCCATGAAGAAATCTTGAGTCATGGAGATCCATTTAAGGTACTGTTGGCAAGCACAACAAAAGATCTTTCAGGAAAAATATTTAAAAACCCTAAGATTTTATCAAGAACTGGAGAAGTGAACTTGCAAGTGTGATTTTTTTTTTTTTTTTTTTTTTTTAAAGCATCCAGGGACTACTGTGTTTTTCCTCTGGAATTGCAGGCATAGATTCATCACAGTCCATTTGTGCTTTTGTGGGACTTGCCTCCTAGAACTTGATCCTGAGATGAGCTTGCAGTACTCAGTACATACTATCTTACAAAATTATAAAGCTTGAAGACCACAGTATTAACACTTTTATCTTGGTTATGGCAAAGTAGCAGAATTTTACTTCTTACAACCCCCCTGCCTGCCCCTCCCCATTTCCCACCCAAAAAGACACCAACTGTTTCCAGCTGGAAAAGTACGAATGAGACTTGAGAGGTCTCAGTGTTGAAAATGTGTCGAATAAGGCCAAGACTAAGCAATAATTCTGTTCAACAAAATTGAAGTTGGAAATACTGTTCAAAGATGAAGCATGAACACTGGGATCATCTTTGACTGTTGAACATGGTAAGAGATTTCTGATCAACAATTCAGAAAAGGAGGAATGCTGGGAATAGGTCTACATTACACAGACAGAGTAGATAATGAAGCGTGAGATTTATTTGGTTGATCTCACTTCCTGATTTTTCTGCTCCAAATACTTTACAATACTACACAATGGAAGAGATGTCAGTACAACAGGCTCTGGGGAGCTGAATTTGGTCAGCTGGAGGGTTAAACAGCCTCAAAATATGTTTATTCTTGAGAGGTGGTTCACCAGAGAACTCTCCAAGAGCACAGGTAAAAAGTGGTGATGGTAAAATGCTTGGCAACAGCAACCACAGCAACTGAACAAGTGAAGATGTTTTGTCTAACGTAATTGCCTCAGCTAAACTGATTAGGAATTTCGTTGCTGAATCCTGTCAGATGCCATAAAATCAGTTGCTGTATCCAGTCACAGGAGGCAATTTATAATCTTGATATTAAACCACATGAGCTTGGGGATAGTGGGTGTCTGCAATGATGTGTTTTTTTATTAGAGGCATTTTCATTCAAGTATACCTTTATTTTGTATTCTGTAGTTACAGATGAGTGAATTTAGCATTTTGAATAAATTGCATTTGAACAACAGGGACATTATTTGGAACAGTATGTGTGCTGTAGCAGAATTTCAGTGAGCATTACCCTGTAGAGAACTATAATTCAGCTAATCACATTTGCTGTATGAAAGTGCATGTCATTTCTTCTCAGAAATATAAACTGTCAGAAAACAGTCTTTATTTTTGGAGGTACTGGGATGACCTTGGCCTGTTTCATCACTAGAATTACACTTCCCTTTTTTTCTCATTCAACAAGAATATGCTTTTCCTGAATAGTTTTGAACAGATACAACTTTGCTGGAAATAAAGGATTACACATCTTCTGGTACAAAGTGTTACTGTAAAGGCTGTAGTCAGATCAATGAAGGAGTTAATTTTCCACAGTTATTTTGGAAATCTATTGCAAGAGTTATTTTGCTTGCTTTAAGGAACTTTAGATGATGATTGTATTTTTAGTTATGCCTTTCGCTGTTGTATATGTAGGAGATTTTCAGCTGTTGCAAATCTACATTTCAGTGCTGAAATCAGTTGAATTTAACATTGATAGCTTGAACTAATATTAATAAAACTGAATTTAAATTTTTAAAATATTTTATCACACAGAAGCTGACATAGCCATACTATAGAAAACAAATTTTGACAGAGATATAAAGGAGTTGGGTTTTATACTATTCACATTCTCAGTGCCTTTGAGTACTTTGGTGATGAAAGAAACAGCGATGCTGTAAATCTAAAAACTCTCCAGGAAAGCTTTTAATTGGGTTTCATACTTTTACTGAAGTATGTGTATTCTGAGAATTGTCTGTAAAAGGATTAGTTGTCACATATTCTGGGCACCATTGCAAGGCTGGTCCTGTGCCGTTCAGTTTTCAGCTCCAGTGTGGTGACTGCACTTGATGGTGCTGCCAGCATTGTAGTTAGCTTGACAGAGACAGACTAGTTCAACAGTGATGGTTTGATTGATCAAAAATGTCTGATTCTAAGAAAACTGGGGTCGTTTGAGTAGCTCAGTGGTTAAACTAAAAGTATAATGTAATAGGTTTGTGGGGGGAAAAAAAACAACTGAAGAACATATATTGATGTTTTGAAAAATACCAACAGGAATGTGTTTCATGTCAGAAGACAGAGCCTAAAAACAATTAATCAGTATTAATAATACTGATAATTCCTGATATGTGAGTTCCTGGGAGCTCAGAAGAGCAGCTGGAAGAGAGGAGTGAGCACTGTATGCTTAAGCTGCTCTGTACAAAAGCTCTGCAGACAGATACCTGGGAAGCCTTGGGAATCCAGCTTTGAAATGCTTACACAAAACCACTACCAAAAATAGTCACTTCAGACAAAACAGCAGTTTGTTCAGATTGATCTGAACGCAGTAACCAGCAAGTCCTGAGTACCACTACCCAGGAGACAGCCCTGGAGATCTCCTAGTTGTCTGAATACAGTCTGCCATTGCAGGACAGCTTCTGTACACGTTTCTGCAGCGAACTGACCCCGGACAGGATGTGCTCCTGAGAGTGCTACTGCTTTCCAGTACTCTCTCCTTTCTGTACCTGTCCTTAGCTGATGATCTCTTCAGGTGTCTACACTGATTTGTTCCTACTGCTTGTGTCAGGTAATACCTGAACAGAGATGAAAGAATCGCAACCTGCCCTGGATTTATCTTTGGAGGAAGCACTGTTTTTGGGATGCAAGGGATAGTGGTGTAAGACTTTCTCCTTTAGCACAAACTTGGGCAGCAGCCCTGTCACCAGAAAAAACAGTCCTACAGAAAGGTTGCTTCAGTGCTTACACATGCATTTATGTATGTGTATATATTTGTATAGGCAGAAGACAGAGCACACTGAGACCTTCCACTGGAGACTAGCATGCTCCCTGTGATGCTTTGTGGTCAACATGGTTTTAAAAAAGAGAAGAAATGGAAAGGCCAATGAAAAAACGTGGTTAATTGGATGTGAAAGGTGCTGTCCTTGTTTGGACTGTCTGTTAATGGTATGACAAGCTCTGGTAAAGAGCTTAGCTGGTCAGATTAAAATTAAAAAATTGTGTCAGTCCATCTGCTAGCTCCAAGGAGTTCACTTCGATCACCTTTTCTTGTTTCTTCACTGAAGTGGAATACTGTCTTTGAAAAGAACATTCCCAGGATGTCTTGGTTGACTTGTTTTACCTGATGTTTTCTCCGAAGATAATGATATGTGACGTCAAGACGTTTTCAAGAAGGGCAATGCTCTTGTTTGGTTCAAGGCTACCTTAAAGGCAACAGCTCTTTTGCTAAAAGGGATTCTTTTTTTTTTGCTTTTTTATTTATTTTTTTTTTGTACAAAAATAAGTATGTTTGGCTTAATTTGGAAAATCTTTCTTTGCCTTCCAGGAATGATTAACGTCAATCTTCAGGTAGTTGCAGGTAATGCAGAAATCTTACTTATGTACTTGTTTTCTAAGTTTACTTATGGCAGTGTGTAGAATTAGAAATACGTCTCTGCTTTAATTGTAACAAAGGGGGCTAATACAGAGAAATGTTTGGTCAAATCTGTGCCTTGATAGCAGTGTAAAAATGGAATATTTAGAGTGATTTCCACGAAGTATAACAGCACATTTGTGGTTTTTTGAGTGCAGAATGTAGCTACAGGAGGCAGTTTTTCCATCTTTGGGAGATGTTAAACATTGGTAATTTTTTCTTTAAGTTTTGTATTAGATCTTAAAAAGTAAGGTTTTGTCTTCTGCTTATGGAGACTGAATATGTGTCAGTTTGAGTAAAGATTGGGATTTTACCTTAGTGACATTTTTGATGTTCTTTTCTCCCTCTGATGTACCATCTGGTGGTGATCTTCTGCACTAGAGCTGACTATTAATATAACATCAAAATAATCACAGTCTTCATCTTTCAGTCATAGAAGTCAAAGGTGCTACTGACTTTGAAGTTGCAGAATAAACTCATAATCTGTGGAATGAAAAATGCCATAGAGTTATTACTGTTCTTTCTCCAATAAATAATTTCTTGTGATTCTTCTTCAGGCATGTTTTCTGGGGAAAAAGTTAAAGAGGTTGAATTAAATAATTTCGGATCAGCTGACTGTGAAGGATAGAGAACTAGACTGTCAGACTAAATCCCAATATACACATTCTATCCTAAGCTGTTTCCACAAGTTTCCTCTGGAATGATGTGGAACAACTAGTATAAGAGGAAATTAACCAAACCCCTAAAGCTGATGAGCTCTTTTATTACTTTTTTTCCCTTTGCTCTAGTTGAGTAGGGACCTGTCTCATAGCAGTGAAAGGTGTACCTGTTAGCTGTCCATTCAAGCAGCTTTTCTTTTTGCGAGGGTTATAAATGTTTCCTGTGAAAAGAAAGTAGAATAAGAGTAGTCCTTAATTTATGACTTATTTAATTTCTGGTCCTGAAAGCTTCTAAATACATTTTTATTCACAAATATAGTCCCATTGACTTAGCCAAGCCAAATCACAGAAGGGAAGTTAACCAAAAAGCGTTAGAATTCAAAGGGTTAGAGCTTTAGGCTGTGTAACCATTTGATGGGATGCTGTAAAGAGCTTAAGGTTGTTTATAATAGGACAGTCATACAGACAGGTTCTTTTAACAGAAAAAAGCACAGTTTTGTCCTCCAGGGACGATAGAAATGGCATGAAGATATATATGATTTCATCATTATCTCATCTGAGAAATTTATTTGTGATTTTAATTTTACAGCAGAAGCTTATTCAGCTACAGGAGGAGGACAGGCTAAAGGTGTTTCACCAACCCCTCAGCTCAGTGGCTGGCAGTTGGCAAACCCTTCTCTGCCTCCTGAGTTGAAAAAGCCCAATGGCATCATGGAGGCTGAACAGTTCAACAGGCATTTGCTGTTACGAAGGAAGCGATCCATTCTGTTTCCCAGTGGAGTTAAGATCTGCCCTGATGAATCTATTGAGCAGGCTATTGCCAACCACCTGAAATATTTCAGGCTCAGAGGTAAGTGACTGTAAATCTCATGGATGCAAAGAACATGTAATTATGAAAAGAAATAGATTAAGCTTTTAAACACAGTAAATACTAGGCCGTAGGAAATACATTATTACCCAAGAAATTTAATTTTCTGTGATAGTCTTCCTTAAGAGAGCTGTTCTGAGCTAAAAACCCACCTTCTAGTTACACTCATAAGAACTCTGGGTCCCTGGAACCTCAGTGTTTAATAAACTCATCCTTTCTCACAGAACAATTTGAATGCTGAGAAAAACAGGGTTTTATCAGGTTAGCAGGTTATGCAGGTTAGCTAAATGAATGTTTTTTACTTAGTATTCTTCAGGTGCTAGCAGAATTCACTGGGAAACCAGTCAGAAGAGTCAAATCTGAGACACTGGTGTCTCAAGCATGTGACTTTTGACTATGGCTGGTCACACAAAGCATAGTATGTTCTGTCTAGAAAGCCAATCTCTGTGTATCAGGCTGTAGTGTAGTAGGCAAGAAGCCTCTCTTTTAAGATATGGGAGTTGGACAGAGCTATCCCTGAAAAGTTGAAATATTCTTTCACTTGATGAAATATTACAGCAATATGATGTACCTCAAACCATTCTGGCTGACAACACTGGAGTGGGGTGTCACATGCAGTACATTCTGGTATTTGTGTCTTTGTATCGTAGCATTCAAAAAGTTTGTAGTATCTTAACATTTGTACATAACTGGCAAAATGGCAAAGAGGTGCTGTCACAGGAGATGGAAGGATGTTCAGAGACTCATTTTTAGTGAGGCTTGATTGCCTATAGAAGAAACTCTAACTGGTAACACAGTTTATTCACTTAGAGAAGTGAAAAGCTATTAGAAGCAGGAGTTGCTTAGTGTCTGCATAAAAGTAAACATAAAGAATATACTTGGAGGACAAAGTGGAATTATATGAGATTAGACCCTTATTCAAATATGAATTGTGCCCAGCTGGCAAGGGATGTTGACATTGGTGATCATGCTGGCAGTTTGACAGGCTTTGCCATCTTCCTGTTTATTTCCACCTAATAGTACTCAACTACTCTTTGCTTTGCTCCCAATGAATCCATACATACTGTGTGCTTTAAACTGCAATCACCCCTCAATTGTCTGTGATATTGGCACATAAGGACAATATCAAGTAAGCAAAAGTGTGAGCGATAATAAAGAAGAAAAATCCATAAATTATGTTGTGAAAGTGTATATAGGACTTAATGATCCTAGGCTGAACCAAAAATCCACCTATTCCATCTGCTTCCTTACTGGGCTTAACAGCTTTCACAATCCACAAGGATTTCTTGAGCACAAATGCTATGACAATCCTAAGCACTTTTAAGTTATAACTTTTGAAAAAGGTCTTTGCAAGTAGCAGGGGTGACTTTAAGTAGCAGCTGGTAGAGCAAGATCTGGTTCAAGCAGCTTGTCATCTTCACTTTGGTAGGAGCAACACTTTGCACCGTGTTTGGTGGTGTCTAGTTAATCACATCCTGGGTAAATACACCTGAGGTACATGAGAGTTGATGTGCTGTGGGATAGGTTTGTGTGGCAAGGTTTTGGTAGCAGGGGGCTACAGGGGTGACTTCTCTGAGAAGCTGCCAGAAGCTTCCCCCATGTCCAGTAGAGGCAATGCCAGCTGGCTCCAAGACAGACCTGCTGCTTGCCAAGGCTGATCCCATCAGCAACAGTGGCAACACCTCTGGAGCAACATATCTAAGAAAGGGAAAAAGCTGCTGCAGAACAGCAATTGCAGTTGAAGAGTGAGAATGTGTGAGAGAAACAGCTGTGATGAACTGATCACAGTCCCAATCCCTCATCCCCCTGTACCACTGCAGGTGAGGAGTTAGAGAAAACCAGAAGTGAAGTTAAGCCTGGGAAGAAAGGAGAGGTAGGGGGAAGGTGTTTCAAGATTTGTTTTCATTTCTCATTGTCCTGCTCAGATTTGATTGGTAATAAATTAAACAAATATCCCCAAGTTGAGCCTGTCTTGCCCGTAACAGTAACTGGTGAGTTATCTCTCCCTGTCCTTTTCTTGACTCACAAGCCTTTTGTTATATTTTCTCTCCTCTGTCTGACTGTGGAGGGAAGTGGTAGCACAGGTTTGGTGGGCACCTGATGTCCAACCAGAGTCAACCCTTCATTCACAGTAAAACTGTTTCTTGTGTATTACTGAATTATATACAATGTTTCTACTAGCTAGCTGAATCACCACAGTCCTCTGTCAACAAAATAGTCCTAGGAAAGAGTGTGGTCACTCTCACTCAGAGACCAGCTGCTGTCAGTGACTAGTAAAGTAACTGACCACAAGGGGAATAAATATGAATGTACACAGAATCTGCTGATTTTTTGAATCCCAGTGTGTATTTTTAGAATCTTATTTTTATTCTGTATCTGCTGAAGTAAGAAATTGCTTCAATCTCCCATACTTTCTCTGGAAAGGATGGTTTCAATACAATCTGTTCTTTCCTTGGTTTTGCTTTACTGTCAACAATAAACAGTGCCACTACCTTGGAAGGAAAGGTTGATTGCTATTTTGATGGAAGATCTTGTTAGAAAAACAGAAAAGGTTTGCATGTGCTGATTATCCAGATTATGTTTGTTCTATCTGTGTTTACCTTAGAAGGAAACAGGTGGGAATATAATTATCTACCTGTAGCTCCTAGCTTTATTTACTTTTGCTAGCTGGCAAAAGCCTCTGTAAGTGTCACAGACTGACAGATGAATGCTTCTGTCATAGGCTTTAAGGAAGTGCTTATGTCGTGTTGCTGTAGGCTTAACAGCTTTTTTTTTTTCCTCTGACTACAACATCTGGATTTCAGATAGTGAGTGGGCTGTGTATGGCAATACCTATTATGAATAGTGATGTTCTTTACTGCTCACAGGGAAATGGTAGTCTGAGCCCCAATCAAGTAAAATTTATTACACAAAAAATAGCCATACCCACTCAGACAAAAAGTCTGTTGTGACCAGTCACCTTATGTAGACAATTCAGTGAATCTGTCCATTCTCTGTTGTGTAAATTGCTGGTAGATGGCTGAGGATTCTAATAGACTTAGCAGGTTAAACAGAAACAATATAAAGATTACAAAATAGCATGGCTTGTACTGTTTCCCTGTCCCATGCCTGTTAATTGGGTAAAGAGAGGCTGCTGGATTCTGCTGGATTCTAACACCATGGTTCAGGGTAATACTGTTTCTCTCTGCCACCTCTGAGATGTAATTACTCTGGTGGCTACCTTTCCTAAATTCTGTTAGCAACTTTTCCTGCTGTGACCTCTGTCTTAAACTATTCAGTGTATGCTTGTGAGCAAGTACATCTTTTCGCATGAGTAAATCAGATAGTCTCTCTGCCAGAACTGTGTTTGTCAGCCAGAACTTCAGATAAAGTTGAACATCTAAGGATAGCTTTTGAAGATACTGACCAAACAAGGAAATAGAGGGCATTGTAGTGTGTCATAGCTGATGAGACACGCAGGCATTTTTGAACTTTGGAAAGAGTAAAAGCTGTTTCTCGGGAATTAAATGCTATGTATGATTATAATCCCTAAATTTGGTCATCTTAGGCATGGCACTGTGCTTGCTCATCTTCCCATTTCTTGGGTTCCTTCAAATCTGTTTACTTAAGCATTAGGAATAATGTTATCTTCTGCACATTGACAGAGTAAAGAGCAAAGTTTCCATTTGATACCGAAATCCTAAATGTTATAGATTATTCAGATCTTGCTAATAATGATGAAAGCAAACAGTCAAGTCATAAAAAGTACCTGGCTAAAAAAAAACATTCAATAAATAAAGAATCTGGCTGAGTGAGCCTTTTTTCCCATTTTCCCCCTCATCCCTGGCACGTATTATGCATAGTTTGTACCCTGCAATAAATTTCTGAAGTTTATTTGTAGAAGGACTAATTCTGACTCCCTCTACATTTGAATTTTTAGATGTCAGCATATGCTTCTAAGAAGCTTGACTTTTTCCATGAAAAAAACTCCTTTGTTGTTACTGAAGTATTACTGGTGAAAATAGTTTGTGAGCTAGAGATTAGTATGTTAGTGTTCAAAGAAAAAATCTTTCATGTGGATTAGCTAATTCACACTCAACTCGTTGTCAATTTAATATCCTGGTGTGTTTTATAAATTGTTTAAGGGTTGCTGTGTTATAGGCCATAAACAATAGCATTTCAGCAATAGATGAGTCATTTCTCTGCCTGTGTGTATTAGTTCATTTAACAAGTGCTAACGAAGTCTTTGCAGGGAAGACCTCTTAGGAGGTGTCTGTCACTTTAGTCTTAATCAAACCCCTCTGCAATTAAGCCATTCAGTTGTGCAGAAATTGTTAGAGAGGAGGAGTTATTGGTCTCATGTTGCCTCAAAATAGAATTTTCAGTCTGATTCAGTGCTCCTAGCCACCATACACGATTCAACTCTTAAGAAGCACTAATGAGATTTAACTTGGATTACACTCCAGCACTGCCCACTTACACAAATGGCCAGAAAGCCACCCTACCCCCTACAGGGTGCTCAGTGCTGTCATGTGGTGCCCCTTCTGTTAACCTCAGAAATCCCTGAGCACAGACTGAGTGTAATAGGCTAATTGTCTCTGTTTGAGAGATAAATGAATCCCCAATGGTAAAGCTTGAACCACAAGAATGCTGTGTCCTACCCAGGTGCATGAGATGTGTTGCCATACTGGAGAATTTCAGAAAGAGTGAGAGAGATCATCTCATCACATCACAGATCTTAGCTAGAGGCTTTGAAAACAGCGATTAAGTCTTTAAGAAAGGAAGCTTGAAATAAATTTTTTTCACTCCTTCCTGCAGATTTCTAACACTGAAAAGAGCTTGTGCCTGCCTATGTGGAATTTTTTGGACTGAAACACAACTGTCTAAAGCTTTTCAGGATATTCTCTGTTGTCTGTGAGCATCACTTGAGTGTAAACACTGCATTTGAAGTAGACAAGCTCCCAAGAGCTGGGCTTTTTGCCTTTTGAATCAGATATGCTAGCAAACAAGTCATATGGTCTTACAACATGTCCAACTTTCTGAAGCAGCCTTTGAAACCTGTTATGGCCTTTAAAGGTCAAGACATTGCCTACTTTAAGTCCTTGTGACACTTGGCTCAAGTAGAAGTTTGCACAGGGACATGGACCACACATTCCAGTCTTTCAATTTTTTCCTGTCTCCTCTCTCACCTTGAAGATGATTATCTAAATGATGAGCTAAGTGACTTTTAATTTCCAAGGTTTTTCAGGATGGAGTATATGGAAAATGTAGTACGTGTGTACAAAGTGTACTTTGGAGACAAACTGCACAACAAGCCATGTGATTTGCATTCCTGGTTTGAATTCTGGTTTATTGTGCCAGTCAGTTACATGTCTTCAGCATACCTGTTTCCTTTCCTGCAGTCAGCTGGAATGATCACATCCCTGTAGCAGGAGGTCTCTCTTTATATCATAAGCCTTCATTTCTTTAACATTTGAATTACTCAGAGGAAAATTGCAAGGTAGCCAAGAGATGTGTTAACAGTAAAATACAAATTATTTATTATTGCAGCCATGGGATGACAGAAGAAATTTCCTAGAAGAGCTTACCTTCCCATCTATGAGTAGCTTCAAGACCCTTAGCTCACTGCCTTAAAAGATTGATCTCGATTTTATGATTCTTTTTATCAGTTTTGTTTGCTGGGGATTAAAGGCCTCATTGCAAATCCTGTCTCCTCCAGGGCCCGGTGCTCCTAATGCTGTCCCGCATATCTGCGCCGGTGGCCAGCCCTGTAACGGGCTAGTGAAAGTGTGGCATGAGGTCTAGCCATGAAGACTGGCTCTTCACACGTGCCCTCAGGGCTGATCTGCTGTTCAGGTGGCATGTGGCAATGCTGCTGGGGCTGCTCAGCCATTCCTTCCTGATGCTGGCAGGACTGGCTGCTTGACTGGTTGTTTTTAAGAACTTCATAGCTAGTCTTAGGAACATAAATCCTGGAAAGATCATAATGCAAAACCTATTCAGCAGCTTCAGTCACAACTCTGAACTGTTGAGCTCCTGGCAAGTTATTATAAGCTCTAACATGGCAATTTTTCTTCCATTCCCTATCTACTTTAAATGTTTTATATTTAAAAGTCATTTACATTTCTAATTAAAAAGTTTGAGGGGTAAACTGGTTCCCCCGACTCTCATTTTCTTTCATTTTCTCTTTTGGTTTCAAGGAGTTTTTATTTTATTTTAAATCTTAGTCAAAAGCTGCTTCACATATTGTCAGCATATGTAGACAGTGTATGTGACACAGATACTGGCAAGTTTCTGGAAGGTCAGAAAGAAATGATAGTGAGTTATTTTTATACAGTAAGCTATAGTTATTTACTGAAGCTTCCAGTAAAGTCCTTTTTAACTTTATGGTTTCATGCTCTAACTTTTGTCTACAGAGTCTCAGAATGCTTAAAATCTAGTTAATAAAAAACATATTTTTCTTATATGGGAGTTCTCAAGAATTTGTTGATAAGAAACCTTGAAAAACCTCCCTAATAAAGAAAAGCCAAACACCTATCACAGGGGTGGACTCCACCTTCAAGTTAAAAGCTGGTTAATCACATTTATTAGGTGACTTGAATGCACTGTGAGCATAGTGTCTCTTCAGTTCCCTGTGTGGCCACGTCAATGAAGCTGGCTCCTGGCTTCAAAGAACTAGCTCCTTTTTTGACATATCGGAAGCAGTGATGGGAGAGAGAATTGTGCTTGTTTCCCTTACATATATGTGGTTTGAACCACACCAAATAAACTGTGCTGCTCTCTTTCTGTGCTTGGAATCGCAACTCTCATCTGACTACAAAACGATGAAAACATTTACGAGAAAGACTGAAACAAAATTGTTCTTTTTATTAGCCGGGCTTTGAATTTGTTCTTGAACACCACATAGATAAGCCTATCTGGGGATGGTTTTCGTGTTGAGCCCTTACAACCTGGATTTGTTATCCTGTAAAGCAATCCCCCGCTTTACAAACTGACCAGTTGGAATAAATAGGACAATGACAAGATGGACTGTGTGTCAACAAGGTTGCAGGGTGAGTGTGTTGGCAAGCAGCTCACCATGGCTGAGGATGTGGTTTCAAGTATTAAATGGCAGCTGTGGTAGATGTTTGCCTGCTTTTAATCCCTCCCTGTGTGTCAGAACTAACACACTCTCATACTACATAGGAGGAAGAAATGTGCCCACCTTTTCCTTCTGAATACAGAAGGAATTTGCACCATGTTGTCCAGTTTGTTACTGCTCACCTCAGTGGAAACAGCTAGGTAGGACAGGCTAGAGAGAACAAAATATGACTCCTTATCCACGTCCCACTTCCTTCTTCCACAGAATGCATGACTGTGTTCTGACAACTTAGGTCTAATTAATGGGCTTGGAGCCCACAGATGGCACAAAGCCTTTGGGACTGGAATTCAGTGGGGTGTCTAATTCCAAATGAAAGGACACACAACAAATCCTTAATCTATTGGGAACCAATTGGAACAACTGTTCATATGGGAGCAGCTTGTATTCAGGCAAGACACTGTCTCATCACATTTATTTTAAACTTATTTAAGATCATTAAGGAAAACTGTCTTCAATTACTTGCAACTGGAAAGCCAGTCCTTTGCCTGTTGCCCTTTGAAAACTGTAGGATTAGACAGTGTCACTGCAATGTGCAAGCTCTTTTGTCATAGCTTCAGTTCTTACTGACAGTCTGCTGAGGACTTATCCCAGCCCAAGGGAGTAATCTCATTCCAGGATTGTTGCTTTATAATGTTGCACCTGGAGTGAAAGATCCATTAGTCAAAGTGTAGGATACAAGTACGACCAAAAGAAATGAGAGCCTTAGTGTAGACTTCTGGATTTGATACTAGACTTCAGTCTTTTCCCAGATGCCTAGCTCTTACAAGTGGGATGGTAGAGAGAATACTGCAGATGTTGTTCTGCCTCAGGAAGCTTATTAGTACTCTAGCAGGATCCAGAAATCCCAGAGCAGGATTATGGCTTCATTGCCTGAGGTCTGTGCAGAGGTCATACGGAAATGTGGTCCCTACCTAAAGAATTTTGCAAGGGTAACTTGAGGGGACGATATGAGATGGTACGTGGATGCCTGTCAATTTGTTTCTGATTAATGAAGATGCATAAGTGAAACTGATTGGAAACATATCCAGTACTTTCCAAATCAGTGGGTTTTACAACTGCCTGTAGAGGTTCTGGAATAGTATTACACTACTGACAGTTAATAATACAGAATTTGGGGACCATGTTCTTCTCTGGTCATACATATCAAAGGAGCTACAAGGCTGATCTCCACACAGGAAAGCTGTCAGGAGTGTGGCATAGAAATGAGACATATCTGTGTATCTGCAGAGTTCCACAATGGAGAAATGGTCTCAACTGCTCTGATAAACTAAAATTCAGGGTTGAAAAAAAGGAAAGAACTTCTTCTCCATGGTACCATCCAGTGTGCCAGAATCAGCTAAGCTTTAAGGGTGTTACTGCATGGGAAACAGTTCCTTAAGGTCATTATTTGCAAAGCCTTTGCATTTAAGAAAAATGTCTATCTCTTAGTTGAATGAAAATATGTTTCCGTATGTAATCTGTGTGTTAAGTTTTACACATGCACATATAAACAATTTTGGAATCCAGAATACAAAGTATCAAGAATAAATAACAGTAAGGTGCTGGTTTTGGCAGCCTAGAGTTAATTTTTAAACTGATTGAAGAAAATGACTTTCTGAAAATAGATTCATGGTCAGTCTCCTGTAGGGTTTTGCTTACGATGTCAGGACTCTCCTGGAACACAAAGCATTCCTCTGCTGGACTGCCTCTATATAAGCAGTGAGATCAGATTAAGGTCAAAAAGCAGGTTTATCTGCCACTATTCCAGCCTGGCATTTGTTGTGAGTGATTTTTAGAGTTCACCTTTTAATGTTATTCTCCTCTAGGACACAGGGAAAATCCTATAAATCTTCCTCTCTTCCAGTTATCCTGGATCACAGAGAGGTTCTTGCTTAAGGGTAGTGTGACCAACTGCTCTGATTGGCAAAGAGCACATGCGAGATAGAGATCGGGAGGTTAAAGCAACCAGGGTAGTACAAGATAATTTAACCCTTAATTCTTAATCTGACTGCTGAGAGCTTTCCAGTTCTTTCTCAGTGGATATATACAGTAGGGTTAGAGCTTGCCTTATTTCTTAGCATATTGTTGTCTTTTCATCATCCTGCCTCGTTTTTCAAGTTATTAATGCGACTATAATTCCTAAAACATATTTTAAATTCTGTGTAAAGATGAGTCCAAAGGAATTGTTCCTACTTGAGCCTCTAAAACTTTGAACAGTGCCACTATCATTCTTACAAATTAAGTTCCAGCTCTACTTTCTGTGAGGACATTTGCCATACTATTTTGATTTTCGAAATTTTCTAATTTGACCCATTGGTCAAAGAGCAGTTTCACTCAGTAAAAATACTATTGTTCTTGATGGTTGTTATGAAACTATGGAAGCACTCCTATTATACTAACACCAGACCTTTCTTTTGCCTTCAGTGTGTCAGGAAACAGTGTGGGAGGTCTTCAAAACATTCTGGGACAGACTGCCAGAGCGTGAAGAATATAATGCCTGGATGAGCCTGTGTGAGGAAGGAATAATGAGTATCTTTGAAATGGGCACAAACTTCAGTCAGTCTGAGGAGCACCGGAGTCTGATTGTGAAGGTGGGTACAGCACCTGCTTGGTGTTTTCTCGTGGGTGGGAACATGATGTCCCACTGCAATGTGGAACTTGGCATATCACAGGCAGTAATGTGGAGAGCCCTTAAAATGAACAGGCATGAGTATTCTGGCTCTTGGATCCATAGTTCTGAGATCGGTTCCAAAAGTTATGGCTGATCTAATGAAGAGGGAAGCAACAGTAATGAAGAGAATGTTGTTTTCCATAAGTATGTTCCTGACAAGTAGATGGTGTCTGACACCTTGTCTGAAAAGGCAGCATGACATGAGTCAGGTTGTGGCACATTTCCCCCTGTGGCATGTAGCTGCCTTCCTGCTCTGAGCTGCACACTGAGATGCCTTCAGTCCAACTGGCACTTTGAAGCAGGAAGCTCTGAGCTGTATTTCTGATGCTACCAAGACATATGGCAAAATTGCCTGTTTGATGTTCTATAGGTTTGTGTTGTCTGCACACTGCTGCCTGACTGAAATGAGAGTACCTAAAAACATAAAAAGCTTTGGTGTCCTATGAAGGCAATTGATAACATTGTCACCATGGGGAGTTGCAGAGGTTAAAATCAGAGTACAAGTGTAAGACAAGGTAATAAAAAAATGCTGAATATCTTGGTATATTGTCTGTTATTTCAGTTTGAGCAAGCTTATTTTACCTTAAAGATAACAAAGGGGGCATTAAGCCAAACTAAAGAACCCTATCTCAAATGAAATACCAAGATGTATTTTCAGGAGTTTGTGAATTTTAAAATTAAGCGCTTAACTTTGTATTCATCTAAGATACAGTAGATAGCTTAATTTCTCTGGATAAAAGGCTGTCTTAAAATGTATGGTGGCTTGTGGACTTCCTTAAGATTAGAGTGTCTTCTACTTTTGAAAGCTAATGGATGAGTAGTTTTATGAAACTTATGATAAGCCTTAAATGTGTGATCCTATAGGATCAGTGATTTTCAGCCAGTGTGGACACACTGACTTTTTTCCCTTCTGTTCTTTTATGGACCTGTATGCTAGGAATGTGAACTAAAGAATGTGAATATGAAACTGTTGTGGATAATGAAAAGAAGGTGTTTTGTTTGTTTGTTTGTTTTCTCCTGAGCCTGCAAGTTAGTCTTTACAGGTGATGCCAACGAGTTTGCTTCTGTGATGTGTGATGATGCTGTTATCCTTAGAAGACTTTGCAAAAAGATTGAGAGAAATAAAATTCATTTGATTTGATTTTTTTATGTGTAGAGTGATGTATCATTGTTTTATGTGAGATTTTGGCAGTGAGATGATCTATAGTGGCAGCATATTAAAAGAAATCAAAATGGCTCTTACAAAGAGGATGATGCATCTAACTTCCCACTGCTGCTCTACCTTTTTGGGTATGGCTCTGCAGCATTACAGTGGAGTCAGATAAAGTGTTCTGTGTTTTATCTGGTTTATGTGTAATTTAGGTTTCCTTTTTCCTGTAGATGGATATATTCCTTTCAGCATTGCAATATTCTGGAAAAAGACTGTTCATCCTTCTATTTGCTTTAAGCACAGTTGGCAAAAGGTGACAATTGTTGGGCTGATTTGATGGCAGACTAGTCAGTGATAAGACGGACTGTCACCACTGTGCTCCACATAAAATGTCACAAATCTGTCAGGTGATTTTTTTTGTTGAAATGAAAACCTGAACTCAATTTAACTTTGAACCAAAGACTGAAGGCAATAGCACTCTCTTACATCCTCCAATCAGCCACCTTCAAAAGATCCAATGGCGTATTTTTGAATACCTAGGTCAGAGTGTGAGTTTAATTGTTAGCTCTAGTACTGACTCACCATTCTCATCTGTGCTCATGCACAACATTTTTGTCAGTGTGAAACCTTTTAAAGTTCAAACAGATCCAGTGAATACGTCTTTGCTTTTAAGAACATCCTTCTTCCTACCCTCTTGTTCTTTCCAGTCTCACCAGCTAAGTTGACCAAGTTGTGTGGTCAAGCCTTTCCACTGTTTGAAGTTTTGTTTCCCTCTCATTACAGCATGTTCCTTCATTTGTTCATGGTCAGCTGTTGCCATTTGTTTTTCCATTCCTTAGACTTGATCTCTAAAGTGCTGAGCACTTCTCATCCAAGAGCTGCCATCATGTCACAGTGCACAGTAATCTGTAGTGTGCAAGTGTGATACATGTGAATAGTCCCCACTCTGCTTAAAAGGAAGATTCGCTTCTGCCTGGCACTGTAGAAAAGCAACATACATAGTTAGCAGTAGTTTTTTTGTTTGGCCATTACATGCCTCATTAAATACCACTTCTCTCTAATCTCCCTCTGCTCTCTAGTGTCTGTAAATCAGCTGTGGTTAATTCCAAGAGTTTAGTTCAGAGCATGCAGCTGATAAAGATAATTCTGCTTTTCTTTTGGCTGTTAGTGCCATACCATTGCTCTACTGCCTCTTTTATATTGGGCATGTTGGCAGTTTCTGACAGTCTTGTTTCAGAGTGTCTTTTTGCATTACTTTTTGGTAGATAGCAACATGAAATTTAATTTTTAGATGTCCTGCATGCTGTGAATTTTCCATTTCTCTCTCTCGAAAGAAGTTCAGCATATCTAAAAGTTAGGAAAAATAAATCTTTGGGGTTTCCAAGCTGAATCTTCATCCAAATACATTGCAAAATGCAGCTTAAAGCATGATATTGGAGTGCTTCCAGGGTAAAGTTCTGTCTGCCTCCCACATTTCCAATGTGGGCATGTGTTAGGGCAAATCCATCCTTTATGGCAGATTACATGTCACAATTTCTACTTCTCCAGACTTCAATCAAATTTCAGAACATAAAGTTTTACTGAGTTGCTGTTCCTTATGGATCTGATGACAATCTACAATGACAAGACATTGAGAAAAGGTGTCATGAGAAATGAAGAATTAAGGGAGCTCCCATAACTTAATCTGTTGAGCAAATACTCAGCTGTACCTGCTAGGGGCTCATATACAGCCCCAGGTGTATAACAAAGCATATCTGACAGTGTTGGGCATATGAAATGGGACAACATGAATTAGGTTATGAATTCTTTTCAAAGGAAGCAGGTGATTTTTGGTTTCTGGTGAAAGAGAGAGATCTGTGCTGTGTGCACTTTTTAGTGGGTCTGAGAGCCATGAGTTAAACTCAAAGTTAGCCCTGGAAAGGAGTTGTAGCACAGCTTTGTTTGAGAACCAAAATGCAGTTTGCCCAGGAATCCCCAAAACTGTGATGAGAGGTGCTAACCTACCAAAAAGCAGCTTGAAAAGCTCCTGGGACAAGATACAAACCCCACGATGGTGTTGACTTATCAGTACTTTTATTTAGAATTGACTTTCCAGCCCATCAGCAGCTCCATCTGTTTCAGAGTATTTGCAGCACAGACTAACTGCTCAGTGGCAGATTAGGGTAAAAAGGGCAGAAGACTTAGGATGCCTGAATGGGCAGCATAACAAAACACCTCCTTAGCATGCTGAAATGGGCACTTAGCAGTGTAAAATAAGTGATTTTGCCTGAGTTCTGAGAGCTGTGTTCAAAGATGGGATGCAGCATCCCAACGATGTGAGTAATTTGTAAACACTTACTCCTAGTGCTGTAGTTTGAATACCTCACAGAAGTAGATGATTTTGTCTTCCCAAGATTCCTGCAGCAGAAACACTCCTTCTGCAGTCTCTCCTCTTCCTGCTCTGTGAACTAACCATTGTCCTTTTTCTGTTTAATCACAGAATATTCTGAGTTGGAAGGGGGACCCACAAGGATCATCAAATCCAACTCTTAAATGAATGGCCGATACAAAGTCAAACCCACAATCTTGGTGTTATTAGCACCATGCTCTAACCAAATAAGTCAATCTCAGAGTCAATCAAATGTCCCAACCACAGTTTCCAGTCCTTTACATTTTTTTCTTTGAATAGAACACCTCCAGATTCTTCTAGACCTGGAAAAAAGCAGACCCTGTCTGCTCTTTCACACTCCCCATTCCCCCTTATGGATGCAAAAAAGAAATTCCCTTGCCCTCCTTTGAGCCATAATGTCAGATTTCCTTCACCTTCGCTCTTATCCCTACACTTACTGTTCTCCTATTGACTTAGACTCTTTTTAATTGCAAGGTTTATCCTTCTCTAACTTAAAAAGAAAACCCCACACCCTTTGCCACAAATATGCAAATAGAATAATTACCTTTAGTTGCTTCTTCAAATCTTGCCTCATCTCTCTTCCATCTCTTAGGCAATTTCTCTGGTCATTCTGCTCCAATTCCAGCCTAAATCTTCCTTTTTGATCTCTCCTTTGCACCTGACAGAGCACAAAAGCTGTCAGCCATGAAGCCTGTGTTCATCTCTTTCCAGGCAGAGCTCAGAACTGATGCTTCATCTTCATCAACCCTGTCCAATCAGATCCTTTACTTTGCAAGTCTCTAGTTCTTCTTTATTTTCTGTGTTTTGCTCTTTGTTTCTAGATAGCACTGCCTAACACACTGAAGAATCACTTCTGTATTGAAAGTTCACCTCTGCTGTGAAGCTGTCTGTTCCACTAAGCTGTCCATGTTGTCTCTCTTATTGTAGGCCATATTTTTACCTTACCTGTCAGGGATGTGCCTCAGAGCACTGCTCCCTATCCTTTCTTTCCCTACAATTTCAGTTGTGGACACTGTGATCCATTTCTTTGAATTATCCCTAGTGCTGTGGCCTTGTCTTCATGAGAGCATGGTTCTGCCATGCACCATGGTGGGACAGGCAGAGAGAGAGTTATTTCTTGGTATGACTTTCCTGTTGTAAATGAAGTGTATATGTGGTGTTAAATCAAATATACTTGGTACAATACTACACAGATAGGATTAAACTAATATGAGATTATTTCAGATCTCCTTGATATTTCCTCCACCTTTTTCTCCTTCCTGGGATTACCTCCAAGATATTTTGTCTTCTGTGCATAACAACTGTCTCTTAGGATCAGGCAAGAGTATCCTATATAATTGCTTTTCTGCAAGTTCATAAATTGACAAAAGCTCATCCAGTTGGTACTATATGTGATTTGTGGTATTGTGGTAGCTTGTATTCAATGTTCTGGACTTGTATTAATTTGTGAAAATTTTGCATTATATAAAACTAACTGTTCAGAAAGGGGAATGTTAGTGCAAATGACACAAAACTCAGCTCCCAGCTTTAGAAGAATTGATATAATAATGATGTTAGGAAGAGAACTAATTTTGTACAAAGCATCTGCCAGAGGTAGCTTCACTTAGTAAAAGCTCCCCTGAGTTTTGGTGTGGCTGCTGCTGTTGTGTAGAGCTATTTATAGATCATTTCCAGTATTCAAAGGGTAAAGACATTAACTAATCTTTGCAGGTCCATGTGCAGGAGGTGTGTTTCTAACTCTAGCTCCTTAATGACGGAACTGAGTCAGAGAGTTGAGGTGTTTTGGCAAAGGCTATTCTGTAATAAGTGAGAAACAAAGCCAGTATTAGAACTCTAGAGCCTGTGTCTTCTAATTAGGGGAAAAAGGTGCCTGTTCACAATGAAGTTGGAAGTATGTCAGTGCTTGCCCACACCCCAGGCTGGAATGCAAATTAGACCTTTAATAGAGGAAGACAGTCACACTACAAACTATTGCAGACCGTGCTAGTTTAGCCATAGGGAATGCTTCGTTTTCACATCCTAGGTTGAAAAAACCCTACATTTAGCAATATAAAAAACTAGGCTTATATTTCAGTCTGTAGGACTGATCCAAAATGTGTGAATCTGTTTTTCAGTCCTCTGTAGACTGTAAGAAGCTGAAGACTGGGTATTCAGATCAAACTTTCCTTTTGAATTTGCTGTAAATGCTAAGATTTTACCCCTGGCATAAAGCTGCAAGGTGGTAATTGTCTGTGTGCAAGCTTTATATTGGCATATGGGTTTTGATGGGTGATGGGTGATGGTCATACTTTTATCAACTCATTTGTAATTCAAAGTTTATGCCTTTTTTTAAAAAAAAGCTTTACAGCATTATATAGCAAACAAATATGAAGTGACAGTTTTTACCATTATTTTGCAAAGCTGCTGTTGAATCCAGTGGGATATTTCATCTGAGAAAGCATGGTGAAAAGTCCAGTTATTTAAATGGCCATTTAAAGAATGTAATCCTTTAAAGGTAATTTATTTCATGAAATGTGTTTAGTAGTGAAGAGAGAATATTCTGTCCTGAACTAGGTGAATTAAGGAAAGTCCAGCTACCCTATGCAGAGGCTGTCATTCACAGGCAATCATAGAGTCTTAGTTTACTGTGCTAGTTTACTGCAAAATTGGATGAGAACTTAGTAATTTGATGCCCTTTTAAAAGCATAAATGTGGAGACAGTGTGTAATGTTTGTTTTTCTAGGCCTTGGCTGTTAAAATAATAATTTGACATTTCAGACTTGGTTCTTAGAAGTTCATCTTATAATTTATGGAATAGATAACTTGGAAATAACAAGATATGTTGGTTAAGTCCAGGGACCCAGGCTCAGGAAATCTGGGAGCCCCCAGCTCCTCAGGCTACCCTGCAACAGACTTTTCATCCAGGCACCCCTCACTGGGGCATCTTACTCTAAGAGGTGTTTAGGATTACACTGACCTCTGCTGTCAGTGACCTTTGAGGACTCATGAGTAAAGCTGCTGGGTACAGACTAGCAGGTGGTATTGAAAAGATATGTGAAGCCTGTAATAACCAGAATTGTTTTTAATAGCACCTACAAACCGTCTTGATTGCCTGAGCATGGAATAAAGTCTCCTTTTCTAACAAACAAACATTTTTTACTGTATGAGCTACTACTTATAGATAACTTTTCGAAATCTTGTAGAGAGGGAATCAGTCTCTCTGTTCCTTGTAGATCCCAGTGCACTAAGGCTGAGTACAAGCACTGTATAGAGCAGTGTAGTGACCCCTTAAAAAACCATACAAAGTCCAGTATAGCTTTAGTGGCCCCAAGTTAGAGTTTTCACTGTAGACTACCTAGTTTCTGTGTTTGTCACTAAGACCCCCTCACTGGGTCTTAGTTTTTCATACTAAAGTATCTCCAGATGCTTCATTTAATGGACCTGTATAATAAGTGTTGGTCAAAGAACATGGTAAAAAGCAAACTGACTGAACTTTGTATTTTGGCAAAGCCCTCCTCAGGCTGATATCCAAGCTGCCTGCCATTCTAGCTGTGATCACACTTAATGTCCACGGATGTCCTGGAAAGAAGAGAAGGGTAGTCATTGACATGGCTCCAAATCAATAATGACTGAATTTCAACACTTCCCTAGAAAAACAGGTGAAGAGATAATGAGCAGGTTAACCTGCTCAAGAAGTCTCTTTTGCCTTTTCACCCCTCCTTCACAAGAAGAATGATGAGGTTACCTTGGAGTGACAATCCTTAGGTCACTGAATACATATGAGTGTTTTGCAGAGAAGTTTTCAAAGTGGAAATAGTATGTGTTGAGTTTATTGTATTCTAATTTCAAAGGAGATACTTTGTGTTGTTTTAACTGAAAAATATATCTGCATTGATCATATAAAGAAAGCCAGCCCAATAAACACTCTGCCAAACAATCCCTTCTCACCACTAAAACAGAGAAGCAGAAATTTTTTAGCTGGACAATAATTTTCTATAAGTATTTTGTATTCTGTTCACATTGGTACAGCAGCAGGATACAGCATTATTTCTCAACAGCTGTCATGCTGCACACTGCTGAGGACCTACTCCTCTTCTTGTGGCATTCCTCCCAGAATCTCCTGTGTGTCTTATGTAGGACCAATGACACTAATGCCACAAGAATTTTGATGGAAAAAATATGAATTGCATAGCTCTGCTTAGTCTTTATACACCAGTACAGGAAAAAATGTCATCCCTATCACTTGTATAACCTTAAAAAAAAGTCATCAGATTAATCCTCGTATGTTACTTTAAAATGTAACTGTACTTTCAAAAGATGGTTTTATATCTATAGACAAGTAGCAGAAGTAATATTGTGTTTCTGAAGACTACTTGCTTAAAAGGATCTTGTTGCTGGCCTCCTCTGGGTTGAGAGAATGTTGTACCTGTAGGACAATGCTGGACAATGTAGAAATGCAGAGCATCTCTGACAAACCTAGTACTCTTTATAGTGTCTGATGTTGAGTTTCAGTTGTATTTTGTAAATGTAGGACATATTTTCTTTTCAGTGGGGACTTTGTTAATAAATTTTGAACTTAACAAATGAAAACACAGAGAATAGAATTATTTTGGCACAGAGAAGGAAGTAAACTGCATTTCAATTCCTTTCACTTTATGTTACTCAAATATACTTAGGACTTGTTTGTTTGTTTGTTTTCCAGAAACTGTCCTATATAAAGGAAGCAATGGGCAGGTGAGTGTCTGTGTTCTCCTTGCATTTTATTCTCTCTGGAGATAACAACTGGTGTTGTGACATTTTGTAACCTTTTCTCTTTTCATTGTCAGCTCCTGCACTGATTGGGCATGTGGGTAAGTAATTCTCCCTTTCTAAAGGCTCCTAATAGGTCGTTTCTCTGGTTTTTGCTGCTGCTGGAGTTGATTTGTGCACTGAAGATGAACAAAATTCACCTTTGTGCAAAAGGGCATATAGAAAAGTACAGCAGAGAAATCTGATAGTTCTTGCATGTGAACCTCTGTCCTGGCATGCTTGGCATGCTCAAAATATCTCAGCCAATCTGGGGCTTGTACTTCTGCTTAAGTATGTCATCACCTTGTTGACCATCAGGCTGTCAGGTGCAGGTGCAGGCTATTTACCTGAAGAGGTTTAGTGGGGGAGATCTATTTAAGGAAAAAGATGTGTCCACAGTTACTTATGTTAGTGTCCTGGTTATCCTGCAAACCTTTCCCAAAGGCTTTCAGGTAGTTCTAGTCATTGTTACAGAAAAAAAAAAAAAAAAAAAGTTTTGAAATGCTCTTTTAAAAACAGCTTCTGAGAGATGTGTTCTGAAAACAGTTACAAGGGAATTGGCTGCTTGGACTCCTCATGCTTTTAACAAGGCAATAAACCTGAAAACTGGTCTGATTTGTGACTTCTTTGTACCAAAGTGAACCTGAACTTGACATGTTATTTTCATGTCTTTTTGAACTGAACAGAAAACCAGTTCAAATTATTGTTGCTTCTTTCCTACTCAGAACGTAATCTAAGCTGTTATTTTTAGGGCAATTCAAACCCAAATAACCTGGTGCTGAACTCATCTGAAAAACTGGCATGTTCAATTCCTTGCTTTACAGGCTACATAAAGCTATGATAAGTATGAGTAATTAATTTACTGGGAAGAGTAATAACTTCACAGAATTCTAAAAAAACCCTCAACTTCCCAATCAAGTATCCTCATAATTATTTCATAACAACACTATATATTAAAATTAATAACATGAGATGATAAGGGCAAATGTGATTCCTAAAAGATTGGTTTCTCTCTGTCCTGTGAAGCTGAATGCTCCTTTGACAAGAGCACTCCTCAAAGCCTCCAGGTCAGCTGGGTTAGCATACATGTCTTCTGAAGAAGTTTGAGTTTGAAAGCCTACTGCATCCATCTGTATGATCACTCACAAAATCAAGTAAATGTAGAGACATGCAAGAAGAATTGGAGTCGCTGCCTGCACTGGGCTAAACCACAGAACAGTACAAAAAACCCAGCATTTTCAAGGTGGATCAGAGTGATTGATGTACAAAAGCCATCTTACCAAGTGTTTTGTGGCAGGCTTAAAGGGGCTCCAGTAGAAAATTGGCAAACTTTTCCAACTCAATTCACTGTGGGGCTGTATTGCATCTTTCTCAGAAGTACACTGCTTTTATCCCAGTATATGTTGCTTCAGACTGTTTATAGCTTTAGGATGGGATCTTTATAATCACCATCAGTTTAAACTTTGGGTTTAATATATCTTTTCCTCCAGAAGTTGTTGTTTGTCTTGTGCTTGGAAACTGTAGTGGTTTGTAGTATAAAGAACATGATACAGGACTGAAGCAGTGAGAGAAACAGGTAGATTTGCTCTGGGTGATGGAGCATCAGAAAGAAATTAATATAAATTATTTTGGCAATATTAAAGAATCCAAACTTATTCTCAGAACATTCTGGACATCTTAGAGCATTTGTGGTTTACAATATGAAGTTTGTAAGCCAGAGCTGTATAAAAAAACAAAGCCATGGTCATCATGGGTAGATGTCTCATCTAACTTAAGATGTCTTCCATCAAGAGCAGTAAGTGAGCCACCTCAGTACTGCCAACAGCCCATGTTATTATTTCCTGCAAAATTAACCTCTAACTACACATCAGAATAAAATGAAGACCTTTTAAAAATGTTCTGTAAGAAGTCAGAGTAAGTACCCAACCCAGAATCACCACCAGCCTCTAAGGCAGTGTGGGAAATCCAGTGTCAAGTCCCTCCTGCACAGGAGGAGAGGTGAGTACAGTTCTGCCATTTCCTGGGCATTGCTGTCCTTGCCTGCTGGCACACATGTGCAGAGAGAGGCTGGTCCAGTGCAGGGCACTGCTGGGGTTTGAATGTGGCTGATTTGCCACTCAGCTGTGTCATCTGTGTCAAAATAGGCAACTGTTCTGGTCTCATCTCAAGGGACAGCAGGACTATCCTAAATATCTAGATATCCAGGGTACGATAAATATCTAGATATCCAGATGAGATGTTCAGGTGAGGTACCCCCATTTCCAGGGAGGGACAGGCTACTCCAGATGATGCTTTGAAGTGGGGGTCTAGCAGGAGTCTTTGCTTTGTCCTCTGGTGAGTTCCAGTGTCTCTGATAACTGTGCAGAAGCAGTCACTTCACTTTGGAAGCCTGGCACTAGGCAGATTTCTCAGTCTGTTTTCTCGCTGATAAGAGAAGGAAATTTTGCAGTAGAGGTTCATGTTCTGGAGCATAGCCCCCACAAAGAAACTAAAAGAGTACTATCTTTTTATGAGATTTGACCAATCTACTTTTTCCCGTGAAACTTTTTTTTTCTTTGAAACAGTTTTGTAATTTAGGGCTGACCAGGAATGGAAGACAGGCCCTTGATATCTGTTGATCATTTTAACTATACTACTAGATCAAATCAAAACTACGCTGAAAGCCATGAACAGCTATAGAATTGAAGCTGTGACTTAAATAATTTAATACAACTCATATAATCCTACCTAGATGTCAACACTGTGTCTCTTTCTAGCTGGAAAAAGCTTTCAGCTAGTTCAGTGCTAGGATAGTTTTAATGTAGCCTACAGAAAGGTGTCTTGTACTGTTGTAATTTAGTTCCCAGAATAACTCTCAATCCGGCATTACTGACAATTACGTAACAGCAGGATGGAAGTTTGTTCCCGTAAGGTTAGTGCGCTTGTTCACACGGGTTAAATGCTCAGGTACCCCGACCTTTTAAGCAACTGAGGGATTAAACTGAGTACCACTGAGGAGAAAAACCTCAAAAGGAAAAGTAATATAATATGACACAATCCAGATGTGTACACAGCAACCCAGTGGACATGTGAAGGTTTTGTCCCAGATAGAAGTGTGGAAGCACTACATCAGACTTTTACTGATTGCTTTATTCAGTAGGCCATTGGGACTTTGCATAATGAAATTTTGTCTCTTAATATTGGAGTGTGTGTCATGACAACAGGACAGTCCTTTTGTCTAAGGCAGACCTTGAGAATCAACCAATGGCAAAGGAGTAGCACAGAATTGTTGTGGTAGAAAACTAGAGCTTTTATACCATAGCCTCGCTTGATTTCTGTAAGCACAATAACATACTGAGGAAAAGATCGAGAGTATAATAGGATAGTTGAAAAGGATTAATATAATGCACTACTTTTTCACTTCTTCAGAAGCAACTCTTAATGTCAAATTAAATAAATAGAGGCATACGTCCTTTCTGATGGTACTTGCTGATTCTGAACTCACTGAAATTAGTCTTAGTAAATCATTTCAAGACTTCCTTTGTTCTGTTCATGTTCTCTGCCTTGAAATAAATTGGCAAATTTAGGATCCCTATTTCATCAGTGGTGGCAGCAAAGGTGGTTGATGTATCAACTCAGATTTTCTACTGTATATCTAAATGTGCTTTATGAAAGCAAAAGAGTTTGTCTTCTGTGCTGGGATCATTTCATCAGTTCAGCAGTTCTGCCTGCAGTGAAGTAGAAATGTACCTGAGCTTCTTTACTGTTTGCATGTGGACTTGGCAATGATATTGCTCGTTTCAGAAATTTTTTCTTATCTGCACGGCTTTACCACTTGTGAAGAGTTCCACACTGCTCCTTTTCAGTTGTGTATTTTCTTTTGTGCTCCCTACTGTCTGTTAGCAAATATGAAAGGTTTGTCCTGCTTTAATTAAAACAAAAATAGATCAAAATTCAAAAACTACCTAAATGAAAACTAAGACAAATGCATGTACAATTTGAAAGGAGAAGAATCTGAATACAAGGCTCAGTCTTGCATTCTGAACTTGAATACTTCTTAAATTGCGTAGTTAGTTCAAGGCTGTGTAATTAAAATATTTAAAAATGAGAAAATCAGACAATAAAATGGTTTTCCCTTCTTTGTGCAATATGAACATTAAAGTAATATTGTTCAAGAAAAATAAATGCTTGACATAGCAAATTAGACTTTAGAACATTCAAATTGATAAACAATGTTATAAATGATTGAAAAACTGATGGATGTCCAGAACAGGTAGTAGAAATTTGAAGATGTTCAACCACAAAGTTAAACCTTGAAGAGAAATGTAGAGAAAAATCTAATACCTTTTATAGAATTTCATGGGGAGCTGTGAAATGGTATCACTGGTGCCCCATTTGACAGGTTCAGAGTGTTGTTTCTCCTCAGTAACGCAGTATGGCTGCACATAAAGAACCTGTTTAGGCTCTGTGGTTGTCTTTGAGTCAATGGAACTCTGTACATGCTTTGGTGGACTGGAACCTATCAAGTCTTCTCCTGACATGACTGATGTCACACAGAAGTACGTACCATGGGGTTTGAAAAATGGGGAGTGTAGGCAGTGTTTGTGAACTGTGTTTGCTGTATTGGTATGTATAGGCTGTCCATAAGCACTGTTTGCTTCAGATCAACTTCCGAGGCTCTTATGGATCTTGTCTTACACCTGCCTAGAACCTGCTGTCTAACAGAGCTGTGTGATCTGAAACCAGTTGTTTCCCTCAAGGAAACACAAGTGCAGTGTTGTTCGTTCTGGTGCTTAGACAGTCTGCTTGTGTGTATTCCTTCCTGCATCTCCATACATATGTGTATATTTTTATATTTTGCTTACTGCTCAGCCAAGATGATCCAGGGCATGACTCATGCAGGTAGGACAATAGAAATTACATTTCATATGTCTGTGTCTCAAATTCAAAATAAACTCTTGCTAGAATACAGTCCCTCCACCTGGAGTGGCTTGCTTGTGTAGGTAGAATTAAAAATAAAGTGTGGGCCCTGGATTAATCCTGGGGCAACCAAAAAAAAAAAATCCCTTGTACTTTAAGTGATGTAACTGAAGGGGAATTTGAATCTATGTTTAGCTTGAAAAGTGGTGTGTTCAAACAAATCAACGTATGCGTTGCCATGTGCATTTTGAGTGATTTCCTTAGAGATGCCTAGTACTATTGCTGCTTTTTTAGGAGATCAATAAAGTGGGCATTTGAAAAATTAATATGTTAACGGAAGTAGAAGTCTAAAAGAAATGCATGCAAAAAGAAAGCAAACCTCACCATTCTGGTAAAGCCATAAAAAAACAACACTGTGCATAAAGTGAGGTTGATTATAGCACAGTTTCATAAAACAATATTTTATCTTCCTGAGAAAACATAATAGCTGCTAATTTGACCAAATTTGATACTTGATTGGTCTTGTTTGATTAGACTGATTACAGTTTTACTAGGTGGTGTTTAAATCCTTGGCTTTTAATTTCCAGCCAGCTGTGCACTAGTATTTTGTCAAAAAATTGGGTAGCTCTTGAGTGCTTGTATTTGAAAGCCCCTCGGTGCCAGTAAGTATGTATTACCTGGCCTTGACAAAGTGTGGTCTGTTGCTGCTTGAGGAGATGGGTTTGCTATGCAGCCTTAACTCTCACCTTGACCGTGGCCTTAGTCTCACCTTGATTTTCAGCACTGTTATGGTTGCCCTATGGCCTGGCTTGGTCTGTGGTTGTCACCACATGGCTAACCTGGTGCTTAAGGTGACATTAATGTTGGAGAGCTGCCATTTGTTGGAGTCTGTGACAGAGAGAGTCCTCTGGGACCTTTGAAACTTAGAGGACTTTATTTTTATACCAGTCTATAACTAGTAATCTGCTCTAGAAGTAGTACTCTAGAAAGCTAATTTTAGACTTTTCCATTTGCCAACTCCTCCTCCTTTGGAAGTGTGATTTATACCATAGCATCAGGCAAAGCATCACCAGCCAGTCGAGAGAGGTAATTGTCCCACTCTGCTCTGCACTGGTGCTGCCTCACCTTGAATATTGTGGCAGTTTTGGGCACTGCAATATAAGAAAGATATTAAGCCATTAGAGAGTGTCCAAAGGAGGGCAATGAAGATGATGAAGGGCCTTGAGGGGAAGCCATGTGAGGAGCAGCTGAGGTCACTTTGTCTGTTCAGCCTGGAGAAGAGGAGACTGAGGGGAGACCTCATTGCAGTCAACATCCTTACAAGGGGAAGTGGAGAGGCAAGCACCGATCTCTTCTCTGTGGTGACCAATGATAGGACCCATGGGAATGGCTTGAGGCTGCACCAGGAGGTTTAGTTTAGGTATTAGAAAAAAGTTTTTCCCTCAGAAGGTAGCTGGGCACTGGAAGAGGCTCCCCAGGCAAGTGATCACAGCACCAAGCCTGACAGAGTTCAAGAAGCATTTGGACAATGCTCTGAGGCACATGGTGTGATTCTTGGGGATGGCCCTGTGCATGGCTAAGAGCTGGACTTGATCCTTGTGAGTCCCTTCCAACTCAGCATATTTTGTGATTCTGTCTGTTTTTTCTTGTCTACTTTGAGGATTTTTCCTCTAAAAACTCGAGTAACTTAGTTTAAACTTACCTTGCAGGTACACTGGCAAACACAATTGTACTGGGTGCAGATGCCCAGGTGCTGTCAGCAGGGGCTCCCTGTGAGGAGGGACCAGGGCTGCCCCACATTGGTTCCAGCCAGCTTTGACGGACCCACCCCAGGGCACAGCTGGGCCCTACACTCATGGCAGTGGTGCCTCAGGGAAAGCCTGTGTGAGAAAGGGCAAGAGCATGGCACAGGGAGAGGAGTAGGGAACAAAAAGAATGAGAAACTGTGGCATAGGGAATGCCAAGGTCAAAAGCACCCTACCATGGCAAAGCAAGTATTCCCTGAAGCCAAGGGAGGGCTTAGACTGGAACAGGCAGAGCATGTGCTGGGTAGAGGAGTTAGAAGTGAAGTTGAGCCTGGGTGGAGGATAAGTGGTGTTCTAATGTCTGGCAGTTTCTCACTATCCCAACATACTTATATATGCAATAAATCATTTTTCCCCAACCTGAGTCTAATTTGCCTATGGAGGTGATTGGTAAGCAACCTTCCTGTCTTTATCTTGACCCAGAAACTTTTCACCTCATTTTCTCACCTGTCTTGTGGAGAGGCTGGGTGGGTGCTTGGCCCTTAACCAAGGCCAACCCACCAGAGAAGTAGGTGCTCAGTTGGTCAGATGGTCATTTTGGTCCATTTTAGATGCCCTGAGTGCAGAAGGCTGCCAGGGATGATGTGGGAACTGTGAGTGACCCGTGCTCTGTGGGGCAGTAGCTGGAGGTCAGGAGTGCCTGAAGGCTCCCCAAAATATACTGGGTACCAACTCGTGGGCAGCTGGATCGAGTCCTGTGAGTCTCAGGTTAAGATCAGAGCTTACCACAATAAATCATGTTTCTCACTGCCCCCTTCTAAAGAAAAGGGGGCTGATACAAGACTCAGGTAATTTTTGTATATAGGTTTGAACTGAATAGAACACTGCAAATCCCGTAGCAGAGTTTTTGCTGCACATTGCTTTGCTTTTGTTGAGTTTTTATTCTGACCCTAGTTACACTAATCAGTTTGTAAGAAAGAAAATGTTAGACTCACCTCTGCTGAAAAGTAGAATCATACTTGCTTCTGAACATTAAACATGCACTAAAATGCTTTTTTTACTGATGCTGTAATTTGGTGAGACTGTAATCTAATTCCTATTGAAATTGGTAAAAGAAATGCGTCCTGGAGTTGGGTGAACCTAATTGGAAAATATTTCATCAGACTGATCTACTGCAGTTCTAAGATGATTAACAAATAAGGAAACTAAATCAGCCTAAAATATAACAAGCATTCTTAAAAAAATATCCTTAAGAGAGGTGATCTTGTCTGTTATACTTGCTAGTAAAATTTTCCAACCTTGGAAATGATTCCAAAATTTACTGAGGTTGTCAAAGAATTGGTAGAGAGTTATCTTGTGCTGGGCTGGCTGAAAACAGGTACCAGTGTCCACGAGATGGAAGCAGATACAAATAACTACGTTTCAAAGCTTGCATATTGCTCAGCTACTTTAGTTGTTTAAAAAAACGCATGAAGGTACTGTATAAACTCTTGAATAAGCATTTTCTGTTTTGTCTAGAGATTGTTTTAATTTTTGCTAATGTAATTGTTGTGGAGATCTCACCCTGTCAGTTTAACATTCCCTGAACTATATTTTGGTGTAGTTAATCATCTCATGCAGGACTAACCTGTGCCTCCTGGGAAAGGATGGGTGAAAAGATTCTTGACTTAAATAGAAAATTCATCAGGTTTGACTTCAGCTCTGTTTATTGGCAAGTCTTATGTGTCCATGAGAGGTAGGAGGAGAGACTGTTTCAGACATTGAACTTAGTGCAACTATCATGTCTTTGATCATATACTGGTGCCCTGGTATCTGTAGTGTGTAATCTGTAGTGTGGATCTGGTTGTCTGGCTGGTGCTGGAAGCCTTTGTTTTTTTTAAGTGATAAAGAGACTGATTATACATCTTGAAGGAGGCAAAGTATCCATCAAGTCTGAGTGGAGTTTTCCTTGAGGACAGACTGCAAGACCAGTGGTATAATATGTGAATCAAAAATCAAATCTGGCAAGGCTTGGAACCATGGCCAATGTTGCATATATTAGAGTGAAGACTTGCTGCAATACTTATTTTATGGCACAGGTATGACCACCAATAAAAAAGAAGTTCCTTTAGAAGTGAGAGAAATATCTCAATACAATGAACTTCAATAATTTTCTGAAGTTCAGTTTCTCTCCAGCACTTAAACTTCTAATTTTACAGCTTGGACTGTATATATTAACAGTATGACAAACCTGAAAAATAATTTTTCCTTCATTCAGGAACGACTTGTTTCTGTCAGAGCATGTTTCCTACTCTTGGTAACTTGACAGTTGCTTGGGGCTTGCAGAATTGGCTGCAAGGATCCTGGGTTTACTGTAAGAGCCATGTCAAAGCTGTTAGTTTTTCTTCAGGCTGGCAGTCTTCATCTGATTTTTACCTGAAATGTTTTTCACATTTGGCCTTGAGTTGTTTTATGTGTGTGTGAATCCAGTAATTGGATTTGGAAGCTGATGCCTTTTGAAAATTTCCAAATAAGCAGAATAAAATTAATGATAAAAATAACCCATCTTCTTGCAGTGATTTTGGTAGAGTTATGGTGTTTGTACTTTAAAAATTGAACATTTTATGGAGTAATACAGGTTATCTTTGTGTTTTATTTCTGGTCTTCACAGTTGCCTTCTTTACAGAACTGCTAGAAGGCAAAATGTATAATTGGATAGAACTACAAGTCAGTTGGAATATAAGGGGGTTACCAATCTGGAGAGGCACATGGTGTGTTGTGTGATGCAAGTGACCCAATATCAAAGTTGCAAAAGATAACTGAAATACTGCAAAACCTAATTTTTATGAAGTTATCAGCAAAGTAGTACCATGACAAATTTCTTCTGCACATACACTTTTTTAGTGTGCCACCAGAACCACAGAAATATAACAAACTAATGTTCAACATGTCCAACTTCAATTTCTGATTTTATTTTTATCTATCAATAGTGGGACTCCAACTCCAGCTTCAGATGCTGATGTTACCACACTGAGAGGTCAGTTTTCATCTAACTCCTGTTAAGGCTGATTCTGAATTCCTAGATAACTGAGAAATTTGATGGTGTTCGGACTTCAGAAAGAGCTGTGAATTTTTGCATCTCTATAATGCTGTTTGTAATCTGGAGATCATGTTATGTGCTGACATTATTTTGTTACTGTAGGAATCATGAAAATCCTACTCGACAAATTAGTTCTGTGCACTTTTTACTGCACTTAATTTCACGTTTCCAGAAATACATCTGCTTAGGCAGAACATTAACATTTTATTCTGATTAGTGTATTTGGTACTTTTCCTCCAGCTCTTCAGGTGTTTCTTGTGCTGTTGCTGCCGTGATGATGGGAATAGAAATCAAATTTGACTGTTGATTTATTCTTGCTGAACTGCTTCTGGGTATCTACATGTACATGGGTATAAAACCTCCCCCAAACCAAACAAAATAATGCTGTTCTCTTTCAAACTCAGATGCAGCTGCCAATGTTCCTCCCCCTGATGAGATCTCCATTGAGAGTCCTGCAGGTGGTACCATCGAGGAGGTAGATGTTGTAGACACCACTGTGAGTGATTTTTTTCATGGGGTTCAGCATTCTGTTGCCTTTCCTAAATGATACTTTTCATGGTCATTTACATTTTTCTAGTATTTGAAGGTGTTAACATGGTGTGTTAATACTAACTAAGATTTCGTAAAACCAGGGCATGGAATTTCTAAAGTTTTAACATAATTTCCTGGGGAAGTATTTTTCATTTGCAGAGGCTATGCAATGCCACTTCCCTGGCAGTGGGAGAGGACAGATCAGCTGAGCTATCAGATGAGGATTTAGCTTAGAGTACTAGGACTAAAGGGGGAATGCCTAGTGGTCCTGACAGCTCCAAGAACAGTGTGGAACATTATTATTCTTGTGGAAACACAATATACCTTAGGTTGCTGTAGTAGTGGTACAATGTGTAGGATGCAGAGAAGTGGCCTGGACAGCCTTGAAGATTCTGATTCTCTGCTCCTTTTCCTCTGCTGATATAGATGAACTTTTATTTATCGTAAGTCACCCTTACTGTCATATTTAAACAAAGGTCAGAACACAGAGAATCCTATGCCCAGTAATTAAATCATCTCTGTAGAAGTGAGCTGAAAACCACTTGGCAAATACCCAGGGAAGTATTTGCTTATAGGAAAGAGCTCCTCTGAATTTAAACTTTAATCCCAACTCTAGAATTCAATTGCATTATTTGTGGTCCTACATGACTGAAAAAAATTTTGCAAACCAGTGGTATGAATCACCTGGCTTTTGTTTTCTTATAAAAATGAAACTCTCAATGGATTATGGAGAAGCTTACAAAGTTTCACATGCTGCATATAAGTAGAAGCTGATTTATGGTACTGGGTTTTATTCCATAACAGTATGGCTATGAAACAAAACTGAGCCAAACTGTACACTTCTAGAGCTTTCAGGGCTGACTGGAACTCTGATATTGGAATAAATTCTGAATATGAAACAGGCAGACGGCTTCAAACTCAAGTCCAGGGTCTGGCTTTGTATTATGTACCAAGAATACTTGTGGTTTGGTCCTATGTACAGCGTCATTCTTTTTCAAAACAGAACTGCCTCTACTACTTCTGCTGGAGCAGAGAATAGGACCACTCAGTAAATCAGAAAGAAACCAGAATTAGATTGCTGCTGCTGCAGTGTTTTCACTCTATACAGTTACATCACACCTCATCATCGCTCAGTGCAGCCAAAATGCATTGCAGATTACAAGACCAAGAGTGAGCAAAGCTCATATTCTGCACTTGTATGTTGACTATACCAGGTTTTGGGGGACTGATAAATGATTTAAAGTATATGTTGTTGCAAACAGCCATATGATAGCAGTATATATATGCCTGCTAAGTGTGTATCTCTCAAATGCTAACTAGCTTGAAGTACTGCGCCAGTCATTATGGTCTTTAACAAAGTTATCCAGTGAAAAAGGGATGGAGTGCGGGAGGAAGAGAATTTAACTAAAAATTTTTAGAGGGTCCCTAAACAACATATACGTTATTCACTGGAAGCAGATAAACTTTCTGGAGAAAGGTTTTTCCATTTCCTGCACCATACATAACTTGGGCTGCAGTTTTGTTGAAAAGGTCTATTTTGGTGGGTCTCTGTTTTCATTTTTAATGGGGAAAAAGCAACAACTGCATGTAAATAGGCAAAGTCAAAGCCCCTAGCAAAAGACATTTGTCTATTTGGCTAAAGTTAACTTAAGCCAGCCTTCCCTTCCTTGCCCCAGAAATCTGGCTTTTTTTTTTTTTTTTCCTCACATCTTTCAGTATGCCACAAGGAATAGCTAGTTTTAAAATACTAGGGAACTAAGCAGAAAACGTTCTTTCTGTGTTGCTCAGTCATTCAAATCAGATTTAAACTTAGGATTGCCTGCTGCCTGTGGCAGCTATGATAAGCTTCATGCTTCCCTCATGCATTGTACAGCCGCTGCCACAGGGCTCCTTGGGCAGCTGTAGATCCACCAGTTGAAGGGCACTGCTTTAGCTCAGCAGAGGTCCCAGTGCCCATTGTATATCAGTGGGATCCTTCACTTATTGAAGCTGAACAGCAGAGTGTTGTTCCAAATGTAGAACTCAACAAAGGTAACTTGTCTTCCAGGTGGAATAGTAAGTAGGAGCCGTGCGATAAATGAGTACATTTTGGGTAAATCAACCTAGACTGACTGGGCTCAAGTGAGCTGTTTGAGTATCCATGGCTGTACTTTAAATTGCCTCATAAACATTCCACACAACTAGATTTCTGTTTGTACCTGAGGTCAACTAGATAGACTTGCACTGCAGACATCCATATGGAAAATAGAATTATCTGCACTATGAGAATTCTCAAGAAATGTTCTTGCTTAGTAGATTGCCTCATTAGTTGCTGCCTCTGTCCCTGAGGCTTCACAAGCACTCCATTATAGTGCAAGGCAAACAAGTGTGCTGATGGCTCAAGTGAGCATGCTGAGCTTTGCACTGCAGTTTTCATGTGTCATTAAGTATACCTGTGACCAGCCCACCAGTAGTGCCCTGAGCTGTTCCTGTCCATACAGGGCTCAGGTTTTCTGCCCCACCATGAGCCAGAGAAACTTTCAGATTTGCAGCAGCTGGAGAAGTTTCTGTCCCATGTAAGAAAGATATTTGGATCCAAACTTGGGAATGTAGTGTAGTATTGACAGATGGCAGACCATTTGTACACATACACATTTAGGGATGCTTTTTACACGGAGTAAACCCACATTAGGTAGGAATCTGGTCTGGTGAGCAACAAGGATTTGTTTCTTCAAAAAAAAACAACAACCAAAACCAATGGGCAAAACAAACAAAAAAGAAAGCATTTAAATCAACTCTTGTTTTTTCCCTTCTTCCTTCCCTTCCAGATCAATAATGAGATAAAGACGCAGGATGAGAAGCAAGTGAGACCTGTAACTGAGCAGATGATTGAGTTCAACATTTTGATTGCTGGTGAAAAGTACAGTGAGGAGCTGAAGGACCCAGCTACTGTGGAGCATCAACTGCTGTCTGAACGATTCATTTCTCAGGTGATTACCTTCCCTAACTTTCTTTTTCCTTTTACTGGCTCTACAAAGCAATAGCAGCACAAAGCATCAGTGTCAGGGCTGCTTTTTTCTCATGGGCTGTGCAGAACCAACTTAAGGCTTTTGCTGGCCTGAGGCAGACTGGAAAATACCCACCCACTATGGGAATACACTGTTCTGTCTGACATGCTGCCTTTGGAAGCAGAAAAGTGCCATACGTTGTGCGTAGCATGCCAGCTGCTGGAGAGCCTAGTTTTCTTTTTGTGATTTTAATGATATATCCTGCTATAATTTTTGCAGGCAAAAGAGGTAAAAGTATGCTTTTGGGAGGATCAGAAAATTATGCTGAACCCCTGAATGGGGACATAGTCTAAACAGGATCTTTCTGAGGGATTGTGCTCTCATTTTCTTTCCCCCATTTTCTGATCTCCTTGATTTACTTTGCCTCATGTTAGCAAAAGAAACGAATCCAATATTTTCACTGATTTTAGTCCTTTTAAAGACCTACTTCTACCAGGGCTGGCATAGACCTTACCATTCTTTTGGAATTTTTCAGTACCTCTCCCTGTCAGTGTTACTGCAGTAGAGCTTTTAAACTCACAGAGAAGTAGTTAGTCTCTTGTTTACCTACTGATGCAACTTCATTAGTTCTTAAATTTGTAGGACTTGAAAATTTCAAAGAAACATTTAACATCTCTCCAGTGACCAGTCTGATTAGAGTTCGTTTCAGTGTTTTCTAATCAAGTCTTCCAGTTTGAATTCTTCTGTAATTAGCTGTTCTGGGCAGTGAAAAAAGATAATTTGAGGGTCTGAGCAAACCAGCCTGCCAGCACTCTCAAGTAGACAGGTCCATCAGCATCTGCTGATTTGGACATGCACTGAAATGGGATAGAGGATCCCTTAACAATTACTGTCTATACAGAGTAGGTGGTAAATGGGGAGATCAGAAGAATTCACAAACAGTAGAATTCATGTTATTTGTGCTCAGGAGCAACATTTCTTTGAATGAATTGTTTGCGTTGCAGTGAGATCCTCTGTCAAATCTAAGCTGCCAAGACAACTCTTGCTCCTCATTTATGCCCAGAGTGAGCAGTTCATGGGACTGCATTTTAAAACCCCTTCACCCAGTTCTTAAACACATGCTCAAATCCCATTGGAGTCAGTGGGAATGAACTATGGTTTAGACTGTTAGGCACATACTTTAAAGAAAAAATACATAGGTGCATTATACATATAAATATACACATGTATGTATGAGTTATTAAGAAAATTGTTTCAATTATTTTCATTTGAATGCTACAATTAAAGTTACTGGCCCACCAATATACAAATGTATTCCTAAAGTATTATAATATACTGCTGTGTTCTAATTTTCCTCTCCCTATTATTTCCAATTTTTTAAAATTTTGTCTATAATGGTGGTAACTTTATTACCATAATTTTCTTGTGTCAGGGAGTTTGTCTTTTTTCTTGGGAGAGGTATTTAGAGTGCCATATGGCAGCTCATCATGAGGCTTATCTTTTCTCTAGCTTTGCTTCCTTCTTTGTCCCATCTAGTTGGGGTTCTCTGTTGAATCCCTTTTACTGGGGCTAACCACTCTGCCAGATCCTGAGCCAGATGGGAAAGAGATGTGTACTCTTCACTGCAGCCAAAAAGCATCACCACAACTGTCACAAGTTGCTAGCGTAGGCTAGACATCTTAATTTTCCTAGTTGTGTGGCCAAGTAGCAATGCCATAGTGTGTGTGTGTGCATAAGAAATGTCAGATGGGACAGAGTCCTGGCACACGGATGTTCCACTCCTTTGATCCCTTGCCTGGTTTTCTCTGAGCATGAATAAAGAAGCTCTTGAAAAAAAGAAAGTCGGCAGCACTTTGATTGTTTAAGTCTCACCAGAGACAGTTTAAAAATAGGGATATCAGGGAGCGGAATAGGAATTTGCAGAGTAAAAAATAATCCTCAACTGGCAAAGATCTTTTGGGAGCTAAAAAACCCCTCCAAACCAGCATGAACCTTCAATATTCTATATCTTGTAGCACAGTTGACTACTGAAACAGGCGTGGATGTACTTCCGTTTTGCTGTCCCCAGCTGTCTTTTTTGAACAGCACTGCTGGTCTCTCCTGAGCCCTTTGTAAGTTTAGGGCAGTGGCACTATGTTGTGCCTCTTTGGAATCTGAGAGGTCCCTTTCTTATGGCAGCCGCTGCTCCACTTAAGTTGCTAAGGTCCAGAGCATTTTCCTGATTTCTTTTTAATCCAGAGGGGTGTGGGAAGTAATGGAAACTCTTTGGGCAGAGAGGGATTTGTGCTGCATAAATAAGAAAAAAGAATGTAGTCCACTATGGGCCGTGCAGGTCTCTGCAGTCTCCTTGAATGTGTCTATACAGTTGCTGGGGAATGCTGGATGTTGTTCTTCATACTTTTTATTTTCCCTTTTCCTTTTCTAATAACGAAACAATGTCACCAAAACTACTCTTCCATAAAGAAAGAGAATAATCAACCATTTTTTTCCTGTTAGATATAACAGCTCAGGTATATTTATGGAAAATGTTGAAAACACTTCCTGATTTTTTTTTTTACCACATGAGTAGGGTGAAGGTGTGTTAATCTTTTGTTTTTTCCTCAAAATAGATTAAAAGTGTATTTGAAGTACTACCTGGATACAAAAACATCCACATCCTGGATTACAGGTAAAAAGATACTGATGCATACGTGGTGGTTGGAACTGATCATGTATGATGGTGCAGTGAGCTACCATGATGCTTGGAAGAATGTTGGGCATGTGTGTGGGAGTTCCTAGGATGTATTAACCAAAGGACAAGTGCTTTCATATTTGGTACCTCTATATATAACAGTTGAAATAGAAATACAGAGCTGTATGCAAATGCAAATATTATGGTTTGGGTTTTTTTAATGATTCTATCGTAAAATTAAAAGGTACACTAACATCTAATACTTCTTCTGTACTGTTGATATCTCCTAGTATTAAACAAGGAAGAACACAAACCTTTTTGGAAAAATGTGGTGTATTTAAATTTCTTTTTGAACTTCTTAATGTTAATTTGGGATGACTCTAAATGTTGGTGTTTAGAATATGTAAAGGTCTTTCTCTCTTGGATCAAAACAAAGGTGGGCAAATAGTTTGATATGTAATGTTTTTACTCTCTTTATTCCTGTATTTTTTTTAAGACTAATTTCCTGAATTCAATTTGTGCTTCAGAATGACATTTTAAGTTAATTTGCTAAGTTAATGCATCAAACATCTGATGTCTGAGTTTTGGGGTACATGGATCACAAACTGTGATTTTTCTTGAATGGACTGGATATAACTTTCAGAATCTAATGATACTGTTCATGAGTTAATCTAAATTGTGTTTTCTTTGAGACTGTAAGCTGTGCTTCTTAGAATTTATTGCCTAGGGAACTGTAGCTAGATTACATACAGGTAACAAAGTAGCTGTAGTGAGAAAGGTTCTGTGGCTGGAACCTTAGACTATGTCCAGTTTTCAGCCTGAAAGGCAGCAAAACCTTCCATCTTGGTATTTTCAGTCTAATACATTTGCAAGTTCTTGGTTCATTTGGGGAGACAAATAAAAGGTTGGTATTTCTGGCAGAGCACCAGAACTCTCTCCTCTGCTGTGCATGACAAAACCCCAAGGTTGTAGACTAAACCTTTAGGTAGAATTAGTGAACCTTGATCTCCTTGATCTTGAACTGCAGTATGTGTAGTAAGCTGAGATGTCTTTGCTGATTCCTTGGGATCAACAGGAAATATCAGTTCAGTAAAAGCAGAACAGTTTATGTAGCAGAATAACAATGCAACTTAGTAGTATTTTGCTTTGTGCATTTTCAAATTAGTGTGCCCTGTAGAATACTAAAGCAAATTTGTAAAAACTTTAAGACTTAAAGGAAATTATGACACCGATTTAACAGGTTTTGCTGTTCTGTTTTGTTTTTATATTCAGCCCTTCCGAGGAAGACAGGTAAAGACAACTTTTTTATAAATATTGTCATAGTACAGATGGAAAAAACATGTTTAGCTGGAGGACATTGTTTTGGGGATTTGTAGTTTTGGCTCCAGAGCAAGATAGTTATCCAGCATAAATATTATGTGACGGGTTCTACCAAAAAATGCAAGTAACTTATCTGTTTTGATTAAAGATAAACCTAATTTGCTTATTTAAGTCCTAATAATAATAATAAAAATAAATACTCAGGGAAAGTCTACCTAAACACAAGTCAGCTACTGGGCTAACTTGTGTATAAGAGTCTCTTTTGTGAAGTAAACAAAATTGCTTAATGATTACTCGAGGTCTTCATATTTTGCAGCAAAGTCTTGAATATATCAGGGGTGATTATTATACTGAAATAAAAGTAGGCAAGAAAACCACAGTTCTCCAGCAAAGGCAGTTGCTTTAGCTACTTAAAGGGCAAAGGTGCTGCACGTTTCACCAGAATTTTCGTAAACGTTCTTTAGCAGAACATGGGATCAGTCTGGACTTGTTTTTCATCAGATATATGCAAGTTAAAAATACTAAATTTTCTTTAGTATTTTAAGAATTTCACAAGACAGAAAATGAACTGTGGCATTAACTTACTAGATGTATTATTTTCTTTTGTGTATATCTCAGCAAAGGCATAGCCAGGTTCCATGGAGAATTTTAAAGAGCATTCTAATTTTAGGAGAAAGGTTAGATAACACAAATCTCTTCACAAACTGTAGTGACTTAAAGCCATCCCCTACTACTGTGCACTTCTGGAGGATAAGATGCATGCAACTGTTCACAAAGACTATGTTCCAGCCACCAGATGTTTAACCTTTTCCAGACAGATGATGGTGTTGTAGTTACTTGTTAGGAATTATTAAAGGCAACTGACAGTACAGTTGTATTAAATCTAAAGGTTATGTTTGAGGAGCATGCTCTGTTCCATCTTTGCTGTGCCTTTTCACTACTGCTGTCCTTTATTTCCTCTTCTAACAGTCAGTGTCCTTGAAGAGCTTATTTTGGACTTATTTCAATGACAGAGCCACCAGCAAAACTCCAGCAGGCTCCTCGTTTTAGTCAGTGTGTTTGCAGATTATGTCTCTGTTGTATCTGGTGCTGGGACTTGAAGACTTCCCTGAACAGAGAAATTATTTTAGCAATCCAATTCAGCTCCCTGGAATGAGCAAAACCTGTATTCAGGGCACATTTTTCTAACACTTCATAGATTACTTAATTTTCTTGCTGTATTCTGTGTACAGCCAAAATATGTTATATTTTCTAAAACTCCCTTGTGCTTATGCCCAGTGTATAGTAAATTGGATTGCTGCCTATACTGTCATGTGGAAAAGGACATGCAAATGTATTCAGAAAAAGAAAATTAAGATAATGGGGGAGAATTAATATGAAAAAAACCTAAGCTGTACGCAGATACAAAACCGAGTTACAGAATAAATGATCAAATGAATCTAGATAAATATTCCCAATTATAAGCTGTATTAAATACCATTTTATTGCTATTAAAGACATTCTTTCGAACAGGTTGACACTGCACAGTGACAGTGATCAGGGCTCTCTCACTTGCTACTGTAGATTGCTGCTATATACAGCCTGTTTTTCCTTTTGGTTTTCATACCTCAGAACCATTCCCATTATTGGCATGACCTTAAAATCATCACTCTCACCACTGCATGCTGGTGGGTCCATTAATAATGCTGGTAAAAAGCCCCCCTTTTGGTCTGCTTGTGGTCTGTCTGTCATTCATTAGTAGAAGTACAGGGCTGGGAGCAGACCAGGTGTCAGCTTTTGGTAGCCTTTTCCTTGAGAACTTTGCATTGGTGGAAAGCACAAGCAGATACAAAATTGAAAAGAATGAAATAGTTTTTATTTAGAATCCTTTAAAGCCATATATTTTTATATTAAAAAGTGTATTGAACAGGTTCTGGGGAAAAAATATCACAGTGTTTGCTATACTTTGGAAAACCTGGCATTTCTCATCTGTGTTCTCTTTGTCTTTGTACAACTGAAGTGGGGTAGAAGTTCACTATGCTGTTACATTTGATGGAAAAGCCATCACCAATGCCACATGGGACCTGATTAACCTTCAATCCAACAAGGTGGAGGACAACTCCTTTATGGGCATAGAGGATAATCCAACAGTTGTGTACACCATCAGTGATTTCCGAGATTATATTGCTGAAATCCTCCAGAAAAATGCTTTGCTTGAAAACACTTCCTTGTCTTTAGACCCTAACTCTCTCCAGCTTACTAATGGTGAGTATTAATTATGATGCACTGGTGTGTCACACATCTGAATTTTTATAAACTAAATCTCAGATGAGCAAATTATTCAGTTGCCCTCTTAATTAAACAGAGAGAACAAAACCAGCTATGTTACAGCTTGTTTTGCTCTGATCTTAACTAGGCCAAATCATTGGCAGTAGCATCCCATTTTTTTAATCCATTAGTTTAGTCTCTTTTTTTTATTTTTACACTAAGGTTTGTGCTGTGCAATTCCAGTAACACTTCCAAAAATTAATAGGAATAAAAAGGGTTCACATGATACCCTTTGCACCAAGGTGACCTTCAGCTTAGTAGCCCTGTGTTGGCCTTGAGCAGCACAAGGAAATACCTGGGTTATTGTTGAATATTCAGTGATCCTGCTAGAGGTGATGAAAGAGGGCTGTCACCCCTTTGTTCTTATCTTTCCTCTGTACTTCCTGTCAGTGATTTGGGGGGCATTTCCAGGAATAAAATCTCTCTGACAAATTTTTTGAGAAGATTTTACTCACAAATCTGAGATCAGAGAGGGTTTTTCAGTCAGTCTTCCAACATAACCTCCTCACACTGCTATGGCAGCCTTTAGATCCCAAGTATTTATGTTTTCACAGTGAAAGAAATACTACACCCCACGTCAGAAGACCCATCCTGGATTACTGAGCATCCAGTTGTGCTGGAGCGCCCGGAGTTCGATGTGAGTGTGGTTCTGAGCAGAGGCCTTTGGACACATTTGAACAATTTAACTCAGCAAGGTGGAATTGTAGCCAACACCCAGAGCTCCTCTATCCCACTGTACATGCAGAATAAGTAGTAATGAAGGCACACCTTATATTAGAGTAAAAACTGGTGAAATCTCTCATATAACAATTCTGGTGTCTGTTACACCAGTTTTCTGTGATCATCTTGTTTAGACTGTAAACTGCTCTAAAGGCATGATTCTTCCTTCCATTATCCTATGTTTTTTTGGAAAGCAACAAATAAATGTAAACCCTAAAGCTGGCTGCTGGAAGAGATAAAATGCTAATTTTCATATGCTCCATTTGTTACTGTATTGCCTTCCCAGAAAATTCTCAGCTTGGTTTTATGTCTATCCCCCTAATGCCAGCAAAAGAAACAGAAATATAACAGGCGGTGAAATTGTAATTATCTCCTCTGATTACCTCTGGAACAAGCCAGGACATAGACTGAAGTTCCCTATTGGACAGGAGGCTCAGTATCCCTAACCATGTCTGTACAATGCAAAGGGGCTTTAGGCAGAGATACTGAGTTAGGTGCTGACCACACTGAGATCAAGTCAATTAGTTCTGCCAACAGTGAGAACTTCTGAATGGTGGGGCATTGTCTGGGCAGTAGGTTTCTGCTCTGCACTCAGTTGTATAACACAGATGTGCCTTCCACAAAGAAATGAGCTCAGATCGTGCCATAAAATCCACATCCCCCTGTGCTGGATGGTAGGTTCTCACTAAGCCTGTTATGAGACAGTGCTGTGACAGACACATCTAATTTCAGGTCAGCTTCTGAAAGCTTTATGTAAGCAAAATTTGTAGTCACTTAACAACCCAAATATTATTAGAATGGAAAGAGGTATAATATCCTCAATTTCATGCCAGCTTTTCCTGAGTTTTAAAAACTAATCACTGGTGTCTAAAATACAAATTCATATGGATTTACCATAATGGCTTAAACATAGTGTGGATTTAAGTTAACTTTCAGGGAAGGTCTTTCTCTTTACTAGAGCTGTCTAACTAGTTTAAAATATTGCACATATTTATTTTAGTAAGACAAAGAATTCTTCCATCTTTACATTCTATCTGCGGATAATCTGGCAGATGTGCAGGAAAGAAGATTTTAGAGTAGCGGTAACTTTGCAATAATAAATTTTAATCCAATTCTAGGGAATAGTATGTATGAGAAAAAATTGTGGAAGTTATATTTTTCTGATTATGAGCTATGAATAAAGTAATCTATGACTTCAATCAAGAACTCTAATTACGTAAAAGATATTGAGTATATCCCCAAACCAGCTGTGTACAATCTGCAATACACAGATAATTTGGGAAGTAACTTCACATAAATTTAAGAAAATCAAAAACATGCTTAAACGGTAAAAAAATGATCAATTACTTCCACAGATGTCAAACCTTTATGGATACACTTAAGTAGAACTGCTACCTATGGAAAAGAATTTTGCTATGATTCTTCTTAGCTGATTTGAGAATAAGTTGGATTTGTATTATCATACATACTTATGACATAATGTGGGTCTGTCATGACTTCACTATCTAATTGCTAGCAGATGGTACCACTAATTTTTTTTTTTTGAGTTTTACAGATCTCTTAAAAAGTAAAGCAAAATTAAGTCTATTTTTCGAAATCCATATTTTCTTGTTATTTCTGTGAATTGTAACAGGTAGAATGCTCTGGCTTACTGAATACAATGCCTTTCTGGCAGCAGAAAATGGAAAATCAGGGAGGGAGTTCTGTGTTTGCAGTCATCTGTCATATTTGTAAGCCTTTCAAAAGACATTAGCAAAAACCAGAACTTGCCAAGATGATATTAAACTTGTTAATATAATATATTGCACTGTAACAAGAATCTTTGAATAATGTTAGTTGCCATAGGAACATCTATCCACATTCGAATAAATGATGAAGTGCAATCCCTGGCAACTAAGTGCTCACATAAAAAAAATGTATTGAGAAGCTATTGCTGGTAGTCCTTATTCATTCTTTATGGAATTTATACATGTAATTTGTTTCTAATTTTGTATAGTAACTGTTTTTACAGCTTTATTTATAGTGGTCAGTTTTGCCAAAAAATATTATTGCTGGAGCACATGTCTATGTGGTATATATACTTTTCAACTGCTTGTTACCATATAAATTAAAGAATGTAAGGAGACTGTGGTGGCATAACAACTGGCATTTTTAAATGTGATCAATGCAGGTAAACAAGTAATTTAATAAAAATTTCTTAACTGGCCTGTTTCCAAAGCATTCAAGTGCAGTTTGAATGAAGCTGAAAATTTAATTCACCCACATTTCGACCAGGAGTAAAATTTCAAAGTGTTTGGATTCTTCCTGTTATCCCTGCTGGTCAAGTAACAGAAAGAGATTTGACAGGAATGGCGTGCTACAGAAATAGTTAAAATGGTTTTGAACTGTAATATGTATTATAGAACCCTGTGTCCACTGCCCACTTAACTTTGCTCATCACCATCAGCAGTTGGTTAGTTCTTAGTAAATTGCTGCTTCTTGAAAGTGCTTGGCAGGTTTTGTATCCCATGGGTTTTTTTGGTCCGTATCACATTGATATGTGGCCATGTGTCTGTGTGAAACACTAATTCCTGAATTTTAGGCTGGCAGCTTGCTTTTGTAGCCTTGACCAAATAAATTATCTCTTTATTGGCTTTTCCCAACATAATTACCTCATCAGACACCATGATAGTAGATTAATATTCAAAGATGAAATGTGCTAACTATTTTAACTGTAAATCAAATAATGATTGGGACGTGAAGTAGTAAGTAAACAGTGTGGAAATTGGAGATGTAAAATCAAATTATCTTTTCACATTCCAAACAATTAGTTCTGCATACTCTTTGTTGTTCATAGTTACTGCTGATAGATTTATTTTTTTTTTTCTGCACAGGCATCTTGGCCTTGAAACTAAAGTTATTCCAGGTTCTCAACATTCTTCTTTACATTATGGTTTTTGTTTCCCTCCTGAGTTCTTATGCCCCAAAATTAAAAGATACCAATAAATGATCACTGGGCATGCATACATTCAAGCTCTGTTTCTATGCTGTTTTATGTATCATAGTAACTGCAATATTATAATTAATATATTGACTGCGTACCTGAATAATAGCTGCTAAAACCTCATCATGCTTTAGGAAGTCAGGCAGAATTTATCTTTGGTTTAATTAGAGATGGACAGATTCATTTTTTTAGTACAAGAAAGGATAAGGGGTTGGGTATAGATGCCAAATCTGTTGATCCTATGAGTGATGTTGTACTCCAAACAATCTGAATGGCTGCTTTGCCTTTTCAGTGGACACGACTGGACATGACATATGCCACAAGGACATGCATTTTACATGTATGTTGCACACGATTAGCAAAGGGTCTATATTTGCCAATCCTCCCAGTTTAGCCCCTCCTGCTGCTGTGCACTGCTCTCTCACAGAGGCAGTAGTACAAGACTGCTGCTGCCTGCTGTTAACACCCTCTATGTCTTCAGCTCAATGCAGATAATCAATGTTTCCCCTGTAATAGTGGAAATATTAATAGTAGGTTTATGTTCCAGGACAGCACCTTTCTAGCTGAACGTCCCTCAGCAGATGAATCGACAGTCAGCAATGCCTTGCCCTTTGATTACACCAAACCAGACTCCACTTCAGACAGTGAACAGTCCAGTGACAGTGAAATCCAGCCAAGACCAGAATCCGTGGACTCAGAGGCCGGTTTGGCACCTGAAGCTCCACTTTCCTCAGAGGCTGACGACACTTCTTTGCCTGATGGGCTGAATTTAGAGGATGGGAGTCAGACTCCTCATTTGGTCCCTGCACCAGTGTTAGAGCATGATTCTGAGGACTCTCTGGAATGGTTTTCACCCCCCAGTTCTTTAGATGGTAAGTTAATGCCATTGACTGGAGCTTAAATTTGGATGGCAGTGTTTTCTGATACTCACCAAATTACAGTTCACCAAAATGACTTTTCAAAACATCTAAAAATTGGCTTTCTTTCTCTGCTAGTTTTTACCTTTCTTGTATGCATATACTTAAGAACAATATACCAAGGTAAAATGTTTGTAATAGCTAATAATGCCTGTTTATCCCTTCTGGAAATGATACACACATGATGCTTGTTTAATTTCATAGAATTAATTTTGCATGTCTTGACTTGGCCCATATAATATCTGAATGGAAAGTGGGACAGGTCAACATGGGTCCATCTGACTTTGGCATACAAAGGCCAGGATATATTATGGGAAACATGTGGAATACAGATCTACAGATAATAAAGTTAATGTAATTTGACCCTTTTTATCATAAACAACAACTAATTGGAAATTTATTTTTATTTTTAATAGTTGAAGATACTGGACTATCTGAAGATCTTTTGCCTTCAAGTCCCTCTCACCTTGTGCCTGAAGAATTTCCGTCTACAGATGATTATGCAGTTCCTCTGCTTCCTGCACCAACAGTGGCCTCTTCATCAGTCATAGAGACTGATGTTAAAGAAATAGTATCTGCTGAGAAGGAAGAAGAAACTCAAGGTAGTCCTGAGGGCAGTGACAGTGCAGACTCTGTGGAAGAAATTCCTTTTCCCCTAGAAGTACCCCCTATGGAAGATGAAACTGATATATTTCTTGGCGATAGAGTTATATATGATGATGGGTCTGGTTCAGCTTTTGATGGTTCAGGAAAAGAAATGGAATCAAGTATCTGGCCTTGGGAAGAAGCAACATTGGAACCAGTTTTTTACCCTGGTCCTGATAGCTGGCTTGAAGATGACAATGAGTCTTTGTTAATCAAAACTGAGGATATTCCTGAAGGCATGATCTTAGACTATATTCTCAACTCTGAGAATAAATTAGATTATGATCCTTCCAAAGATGAGAATGAACATATAGTCAATATAAAAGATTTCCTTGATGAGTCTGAAATATTTGTCTTTCCAGAGACTACAACTCCGCCAGTACCTCTGTTACAGACAGAAGAGCCATCATCTGTGGAACCATCTACACAGGCAGAAACACTGGGCATGTATGATTCTTCTTTTGTTAAACCATCCTTGGTTTTGGAGCCTTCGGTGGATCATTCTGCTGTAGACATGCCAACTGGAGAGGTGCCTGTCTCACCACAGTACACAGATCTGTCTGTGGAAGATCGTCTGCTTACATCTACAGAGACTGTCAGTATGGAGCAACCTGAAGAGTCTAGTGTAGATCAGAACATAATTTCTGAAGAAATTGAACACCAAAAGGAAGACAGGACAATGGTAGAAGAACTATACACAGTGAAGCTGTCAGATGTAATGGAAGCTGCTACAATAGGACACTTGGACACAAGCTCTTCAGGAACCATTCTGCCTGCAGGTCCTTCCATGGTAAAGCCTGATGCTTCCACAGAGGAGCAGCAAGCCCTAGATTCATCACTGGCAGGCCAAGACACTACTGGATCAGCAGTGAAGAGACCAGCTGATGTTTGGCCTACTGACAGAACACTAGAAACCTCCTTAGATCAGACAGTGCAATTAGCAACGCCAGCTGCCCCTCAAGTTTCAACTGCAGTTCCTCCTGTGATAGATCAGACCACTGTCCTGGAGGACTTTGCTGGGCAGGGTGCTACAGACCATGTTTCCATGAGCTTCAGCACTGCTGTGAAGTATGAAACAGTGAGAGTAACAACAAGCCCCACTGAGCTTCCATCCCATCTCCCTCCTGTGGGAACCACAACATCACTGTCTGTGGCTGCCTCAACAATGCTGGGAGATGAAACGACAAGCGCCCTAGATATTTCAGTAGACCTGGACCGTGTGAGCACTGTCCACTTTTTTCCTGAGCAGACTGAGGAGGGAAGGAGAATGACCGAAAGTCACATGGAGCTAACAACTCGTATCCAGTCCACAGAGATGGCCAGTGTGGCTTGGGCCACACATGAAACTCACTATAGCAGTACTGTCCCATCCCGAGCTCTAGTTGTGTTTTTCAGTCTTCGGGTTACCAACATGATGTTTTCAGAGGACCTCTTTAATAAAAACTCCCCTGAATACAAAGCATTGGAACAGCGGTTCTTGGAACTGGTGAGAATGACTTCTATACTAAATGTCCACGACCAGATAGACACAAATTGTTGGCATTGATGTTTAATAATCTCTCTTGTAGAGAGCAACTCAAAACTGGTGTTTACAGATACGATTTTTGTCCCCCCACAGGAAAATTCTGTCTGGAGACAGGTGGTGGGATGTTTGTCTTTTATTTAGTCAATATTCTCTCTAAAGCAGAACTTTTTAGTTCACTTTTTAGTGATGAGGTAACTTTTCTGCAACACATTCAACCCATCCTAAGAGGTGGTTCAGGGAGCTAAGCTGGTCCTTCCCTGGCTGATGACTAGCAAAGCCTCACAGGAGTTATACAGCAACAACTGCCAAGTTTTAACTGGGAAATTCACCTCTTCTAACTGAAATGAATATTTTTTTGTGGGAGATAAGGGAACAAAGAACAGAGGGGGAAGTGGGACATGCTTCAAGGAAAAACCCTGTGAAATAGCAGTTATGGCTGGTGCTTAGATCAAGGGAGAACTGTATTTCTGAATCATAAGTTTTTAGAAACTGTCTGACAATTGGTATACTCTTAAGAGATGCCTGAAGTACTCAGGCTCCTGGCAGGCTGCCAGCACAGAACTCAGTTGGGTAAAGGTTAATGCATTTGCTGCGGGATTTGGATAAAGTCATTCAGACTCCTGCTGTCTGATGCAGTAACAGTGCAACAGAACTGAGTAGAGAGAGATTCAAAGATTCAGCTTTTCTGTCACATCTCCTATGTTGCAGCTGGTGCCCTACCTTCAGTCAAATCTGACGGGATTCCAGAATCTGGAAATCCTGAACTTCAGAAACGGCAGCATTGTGGTGAACAGCCGAATGAAATTTGCCAAACCTGTGCCTCGGAACGTCACCAATGCTGTGTACTTGATCCTGGAAGACTTCTGCAACACTGCATATCACACCATGAACCTGGCCATTGATAAATACTCCCTGGATGTGGAATCGGGTAAGGACAGCAGGGAAATGCAGTGTAAAAGCAAGGCATTTAGAACAATTTCTGCTTTAAGTACTAAGGATCCCAGCAGCTCAGAGACTGCCCACTGATTTTCACAGACTGGGCTTCAGAAACACAATCTTTCAGAGTTTAAACAAACAAATAAAAATCTGTTATGGGACTAAAGAGATGAAGATAAAAGTGGGACTCAGACAGAGCAAGCTGTATGGGATCCATATAGAATTATAGAGACAAATTGACTCATGTAATACTCTATACAATACCACTGCACTTTACCTGGGGAGCAAGGGAGTAGCCTGCTCAGGTAGAACAGTGGTGCTCATCTCTCTTTTGTTTAGTTTCATGTGTGGTATGAACTTATTCCATGTGGTTACTCCGACAGGTGGTAGCCAGTTTAGCTGCCAGGTGAGCATCTGCACAGGTAACAGCCGCTGCCTCATTCTTGTGGTAAGGCCTTGATTGCACTAAATAGTTACAGGCCCTCTTGGTTCACTTCTCTGATACAGGGAGAAAGTTTTTTTTCTCTGTCCAATTAACCAGTAGTGGAGAAAGTTTTTTTTCTCTGTCCAATTAGCCAGTAGTTTACCATATAAGCAACTCAAAAATATTGCCTGGTTAGAGAAAAACAAGAGTGCTGACCTGTTGGCAAATGGTAACTGTTCTTCACAGGTAGCTCTCTTAAAAAGATGGTCTAATTAGCATGAAAAAATCTTCTGATGTTGATCATTTAGGTGTATGCCAGCCTCTTAAGCTTGATACAAGTGAGATCTCTTGAATGCTATAAGCTTGTGTTCCTTGCAGACAAAAAGGCAAATCCCCTCATAGCAGATGGTGAGTGCCCAAAGTCCCACTGCCCTTCCCTATATGCTGCCTAGGTTTTCTGTAACAAGAAATGCTGGAGTTCAGCTGTGTTTTACTCATTTGCAAAATATAGTTCCAGCAGAGAGAGAAAAGTAAGAAAAAGATCACTTTATATACTTGTTTTTTTGATTGTTTTGTTGGGTGGTCTTCTCTGTGCCACTGGCATGCACTGTGCAGACAGAGGAATACTTGCTAGTGCTTGTTCACCTCAGCAGAACCTTTTGTTACTTGGGAGAGATGCACACTGGATTTTTGTGGATTAACTAAGAGACCATTAGAGAAAATGGCAGCAGACAGGCAGCACTTTGCCTCAATTAGGGTTCTCCTCTATCATTAATATATTCTGCTCTATGTATTGTCAGGTGAGCAAGCAGATCCCTGCAAGTTCCAGGCCTGCAATGAATTCTCTGAGTGCTTAGTAAATCGCTGGAGTGGAGAAGCTGAGTGTGTCTGCAACCCTGGCTACCTGAGCATTGACGGGCTGCCGTGCAACAGCATTTGTGATCTGCAACCAAACTTCTGCCTGAATGATGGCAAGTGTGACATAAGCCCTGGGCAAGGGGCCATCTGTAGGTAGGTCATCCTGCTGTTTGAAGTTGTGCTTCCTGTATGAAAACCCTTTATTGTCTCCTGTGTTGTAGCATTCTACAAGATTTGTCTAAAATTCTGTACAATAATGTATAACAAGTGAGTAGATATTATCGTTCATGTTATGCTGCTGTGTGCAAGTCCCAATATTAACATTAGTTTTCCTGTGTATATATCAGAAATGAGACAGTAACAGATTAATAGAATAGAAACATCAGGAAATATGCTAACTAGGAAAAATGGTTGCACACACAGTTGTTCAAATCATTTGCATTGACCTTTGGGGACAGAATTTATCTCCAGAGGTTCTGTGAAGTAGCAAAGTGTTGGATAATGTCATATAACATATAGGAGTTAATTCCATCACAAAAGTTCATCCCTGAAAGGCAGACTGATAGAGAACAAATATTTTAAATATAATGCTTTTGTTTAAGAAAAAGTTATAAGAGTAAATACTGGACATTTGGCAAAAATCATTTGTGATTCATAAAAGGATCAAGGCACAGGCCCTATAGTTCAAATTTTTGCTTAAAAAAAGATATAGATGCATCTGAACAGGATTGCTGTATTTTGCAGGCAATGGAAAAGACTTAGTACAAGATACAGACAAATTGATGCTGCTGCTGACACTGCATTTAATTTTTTACTTTTCAAGCAAACTAACAGTCTATTTTTAAAAGCAAAATATACCTATCAGCAAAAGTTAAGAGAATTATTGCAAAGAAGAATATTATTACTAGCAGTTATTATTTATTTCATGTGATTTTCTTTTTAAAGCTTACCTAGAACATCTTTCAAATCATAGTCCTAGTATTTAACAGAAGAAAAAAAATTTAAAAACTATAAAAATGGGTACTATCACAGATGTATTATAACTTTGATAATATTTGTATAATAGTGTTAATTAGAAGCAGGTAAGTATCGTAAGTATCTGAAATCCAGCATGTTCCAGCCTGTATTTATTAAGAACTTTCTGAAAAAAACCTGAAGTATTGCTTGCTACTTTCAGAAACTATTTCAGATAATTATGTTAGAAAACTTAATTTACTGATGTTTCTTATCAATAAGGTTCATTGCTGTGTCATGCCACCTTACAATTCCTTGAGTTTTTGTAGTAAAAACTCCCAAACACACATAATGCAAATATGTTATTTTTCCTGGTGTATTTAAAGTCAGTATTAACATTAAAGTTCTCATGTTTAAAACCAAAGTAAGGCAGGAATACTGAATACTGTTTTGGGCAACCATTCCAAAGATACAATCTTGAACATAGACTTCTTTCTATCATTTATTTTGTGTATCTATTTAACAAACCATTGTGGAGTTCACTACACTATAACATTTTGCTCAGTTAACACACCTTCATTTGTATTTATGTTACAAGATGATAAAGGCAACTGCTATATCAGTTGTACGGTACTGGATATGTCACATGCAAGGCTCAGGCAAGGCAGGACTTTTTACTTAGTCTAAACACCTTCCAGTTTTAACAAATCACAGGATACTCTAAACTGCAAAAACCAGTGACTTTTTCCATCACAAATACATTACCCTTTTACTCTTTTACCTATCTTCATTAAATTCAGTAATTGGGGTAGTTCCTCCTGGAGAAGAGAAGGCTCCTATGAGGTCTTCCTATGGCCTTTCCATATTTAAAGGGGGCTTATAAGAAAGATGAGGACAAACTCTTTATCAGGGCCTGTTGCAATAGGACAAGGTTTTAAACTAAAAGAGGGTAGACTTAGACTAGATATAAGGAAGAAATTTTGTACAATGTGAATGGGGAAACACTGGAACAGGTTGTCAAGAGAGGTGATAGATGCCCCATACTTGGACTGGATGGGGCTCTGAGCATCCTGGTATAGTTGAAGATGTCCCTGCTTATTGCAGGGGTTTGGACTAGGTGGCTTTTGAAGGTCTCTTTCAACCAAAACTGTCTCATGATTCTATACCAAAAAGAATGTTCGCAATAATAATAATAATGAAGAAAATTGGTGATTGAACAATGCGAACCTATTTATTGAGGTGACTTAACTGAGGGCACACCCTAATGAGAAGTTAAATACATTAATCAAAGCTTTTGCTGGTGCTTAATTTCCCTGTGTTTCTTTGCGGCAGGTGTCGTGTGGGAGAGAACTGGTGGTACAGGGGGGAGCACTGTGAAGAGTATGTGTCTGAGCCACTGGTTGTGGGTATTGCAATTGCTTCTGTGGCAGGATTTCTTCTTGTGGCATCTGCTGTCATCTTCTTCTTGGCCAGGACCCTTCGAGACCAGTATACAAAGAGTGACAGCGGTGACTCACAGGGGTAAGTGACACCATCTAATACTTAAGAACACATCAGCTGCAATAAGGATAATTCTGTCGTAAGTCTTATATCACACAGTTGACAAGCAACAGGATGTACAGGCACCTCCAAATGCCAGGCTTCCTGAGTCTATCTGCTGCCCTTCCAGGCTGCAGAGAAGCTCACAGTTTGTTTATTGCTCCCCCAGGCAGGGTGACAGCCTCTCGTCCATTGAGAATGCAGTTAAATACAACCCCATGTATGAAAGTGATACGACTGGCTACAGCCATTATTACCGGAGATATCCTCAGCTAACGTCCTACAGTTCCACCAGTGCAGAGACATCCACAGACTACAGCAGTGAAGAGATCAGGCACATTTATGAAAACAGTGAGCTTACTAAGGAGGTAAATGATCTTATTTTCATAGTGTCATGGGAAAGATCATGTAAGCAGTAAGCTTATTGCACACTTCTAACCTCCGAGGTGGGCCCAGTCTTTCCCCAGTGTCTGTGCTCTGGATAAACAAAATGCAGCTATGACTGCTGCAACTACTTAAGAGAAGACAGAAAGGGTTTTTTTTTCCTGCTTGCTTTTAGGTGCAGAGAAAGGAATGGGTTTGTTCTGACCTGTAATGAATTTCACATAAAAAAGGAGCTGACTCTTTAAGTGACTTCACAGGATTTGGGGAGGTTTAATGTGTTGCTCAACACAACCTTTACCTTTTAATGCTAACTATCTTATGTAAGAGGAGTTACACAGTGAAAAACTGGTACATCCAGGTCTTTTCACAGTTTTTTTTTGTTTTGGGTACTTTTTGATGTTTTTTAAAGTTTAGGTCTTTCTATAACCTGCAAGTTAGATCACATCCTTCTCCTTTCTTCCTGAATACACAGTATCCAAGGTTTACTCTAGAAAGCTAAAAAGAAGGGATTTATTTACATCCTGGAACTAACCACATATCCTTAAGAAATTGTGAGAGGAGTGAATCCACCATGTAACTGGAATACTACTGAAATAGTAGGCAAAGTATCTGTGAGAGATAAATGGTTTGTCAAAGCCTGTTGAAATAACACATTCTGTCCAAACACTGGTTTTGGTTGAAAAGTAAAGTATTACTGAATTCAGATGAAGTGCTTCACTTAAAAAAAAACCAAAAAACAAACAACAAAAAAAACCCAAACCCAAAAAAACTCCAACAAACAAAAAAAAACCCCACAAAGTGTCGGAGTGCACAGTTTCAAGCTCTACTCCTTGCAGCAGCAATGCAAAGGAGTTTTATTTTCCAAAAACCAGAAAACAGCTATTTCAGTAGTATTCTAGTTTCTATTATGTACTTACAATTCTGTGTCTTCTATTCTAGGAGATTCAGGACAGAATTCGAATTATAGAGCTCTACGCTAAAGATCGTCAGTTTGCAGAGTTTGTTAGGCAGCATCAAATGTGAGTGAAATGTCTTGTCTGCATATCTAACTCCTTTGATGTTTGCTCCTGTGGCCTTTACTACATTACAGTATTTTTTAAGGGTCTAGAAACTCTGGGACACTAAAGGCTAAGATTTCAACATTATTTTTGAAGAGGTTCGACCCTTTAAAAATACTTAATAATCACTGTTAAAAGTAGACAGCCCCAGAAAGTATGTTAAAAACAGTGAAGAGGAATCCCAAAGTTAATGGGTGTCAGAGCTCTAACATCAGTTTAGGTCCTTGAAAGCATAGATAGAACCTTCTTAACTCTCCTAATGTGTTTCCCATTGCCTAGTGTTCTACTTAAAATAGAAATTTTGAAAGCACGTTAGTTTATCTTGGCAACTAAACCAAAACCTGACAGATCACTAGTACGATCCTGTCTGGTATGGTGGGCTCTTACCATCATAGAAAGTTTACAATTCCAAACAATTAACCAACCTGAGCTGTGTGCATTGATGTAAGCTAAGCAAGAAGAAGGTCATCAAGGAATTAATTATTAGCATATGCACTCTCATGAACTCCCACTGTAGCAAGCAGCAAATCACAGCTTGCTGAGTTAGTTTGAAAGATACTGTAGTAAAATTCCTTGGGATTCTGTTAAAAATAGCTACAGTAGCAAACAACTTATGTTCTCAGATCTTCAGCTGTAATTTTTTTTAATTGAAAATAACAGCAGTTCACATTTTTCCATGTCAGTAGTTCATTTTTTCATCTTGAAAAGCATCAGCGTCTGAATTTTCCACAGCTGGAAAGCAGTAAGGGCTGTCTTATATAAGCCTTGAATCCAATGTTTGAAAGAGATGAGCTTAATCATTCCTTCTCTGTTTTTCATTTCAGGAAGCTGCTTTAAGAAAAAAAGAAATTGATAGAATACACGTGGGAGATAAAGACTACCTTGTTGCCACAGCAACGGGCTCAGATGTAACTGCAAAGTTACTTATAGTCTTAACATTGCATGGATGGATACAGATGTTTTCTAAATGAATGACTAAAATGTACAGATGTCTGTTTATCTCAATTACTTCTGGCTTTTCCGTGTAAAGTGACATTTTTGAGAGGCGATCAGAAGTGACAGAGGTTATGAAAGTTCATTTTTATTTAACTCCAAAATGGACAGTGAAAGTTTTGTACACAAAGGCAAAAAAATCTCCTCGGGCAAGAGAAGATACATGCACAACCAAAATAAAATGCTCATTGAAAATCCCTGTCTGGCATTTATCCCCTCACTGGAGGCTCCAGTAGTATTTCATGGGTACAAAACACTAGTGGGAAGGAGGGAAGGAGTTGTAGGGGGAGAACTATTGTGCTAGAATTGTGTTAGCATTATTTTAAAACATTCCCGTTATCGACACAAACATAACTTCACTGGAAAAACCTTCCTTCTGTACAGATGCCCGATGTATGTTTTGCCACCTGGCATCAGCAAAACAGACGACAGCACTGAGCCTGCAGGCCTCCTGAGGGCTCTCCCCAGCAATCAGCATCCCCACTGCCTGTGACCCCAGGGGAGCCTTGGCAAGGCAGGGCAGTTCTGCTGCAGTGCAGTACAGTGTCTTTAAAGCCAGGATGGTTGGTTCTCCAGCTGTTTCTGGCAGACACACCAACTGAGGCACTGAAGGGCTGCTGTCATACAAATGTTCTGTGAGGCTTAAGTGACTAACATTGACTTTTTTTGTATGTGAATAATTGGTTTCATATTTTGTAAGTTGATATGCATTATTTATTTGTTGTGTGTTTCCTTATCAGCTTATTTTCATCATGGATTTAATTGTTGAAATAGAAAGATGGCTAGTTTTAATGATGAAATGCTACAGTGGCATTCGTGCCCATCCTTTTATATATATTATATTTAGTGTTTACTTAGTGTTGAATTGAGCCAACTAATACTTGTATTTTCTTTACTGAACTGGGCAATAGCCTTCCATGAGCTCCCTTTCAAATCAGGCTGTAGTATTTAAGTGTATCCATATTTAGTAGGTTGCAGCACTTTTCTGTGGGGAAGGGGAAAAGTGAGATTATTCTTAGTTTAGTGGAAATCAGCATGGAATTCCTTAAACAGAAGAAGCTGGCCTGAAACATTTTAAAATAACTTGAGATTTACAGAAGCAGAGTTTTACCTTCAAGTTATGAAGAGAGTTCTGACTACATGTTAAGGTGTGTTGGGGCTCTGTTCAGTCACTCAGTGACTCTCGTTTAAGGCATTAACACAGCTGTCAGGGTTAGGGCACAATTATGATCACATTAGCTTATGCAAGCAAAAATGGCCAAGTTATTTATATCTACGATGTCTCTAGTTCTCGGCCCACATGTGCCAACAGCTACCTGATACTTTTTAGTATCTTTAGTACTTTTATTAATAGTGAGAATTACTTAATAATTGTCTGTAGGCAGCTTAGCTAAATAACTGAATACTTCAATGCAATTCTTCTACGTGTCCCAGAGAACCTCACTGGATCACTGGTGTAGTACCTTCTTGCCTTGAGTGGCAGGGGATGGGTATCAGAGCCACACATTTGTCTAAGAAATGCTTATAGAAACCACTGTAAGCCAAAGTAATGCCAGACAGCAGTTAGTAATACGGTGCTGCTCAACACTTTCGTGACCAGGTGTTATGAGACAGAGGCCCCATTCTACTGGGTGGCCCAAGGGCTGTCAGAGCAGCTGGTCCAGAGTTTCTGAGGCACAGCCCACTCCTCCTGGCCCTGCAGCAGAATGGCTGAGCCATCCTGTAACACCAGGGCCTGTGATCATAGCAGAGAACTACTGGGCTCAGGGTAGGCATCAGCTTGTGACTCGTTTCTGTGCAGCTCAGCTGCCAGCCCTGGGAGCTTCAGTGCTGCTCCTGCTAAGTGCAGCAGTGGATGGCAGCTGGGATCAGGCATGTTTTAAAGGTATTTTTAGTATTTTCTATGCACAAGCTGAGAAGAGGCTTGGTTACACTGAGTATGAGGTATTTCAGTGTATATACAGTGATATTTTCTTTGTGTGTGTGTGTATACATATGGACATGACGGTATCTTTTCACAACAATAAAAAACTATTTCCAAAATATTTTTTCTATAAAATTCATGCAGAGACTATGAGTTGGACACGGATAAGGCATCTTAGCCATGACCATTTAAGCATGTAGGACCAGAAAGTCTGTTTTTTGTTTGTTTTTTTTTTCAACAGGGTTGGCTAAGCTGTTAAACTCCTTTGCTAACAAAAGTGCCAAATGTAGTTCATTAATGCTTGTGAGATTGTAGTCTAAATATTCATTCTGGAAAGCACATACCTAAGTACCTTGCTTTTAGTGAAACTCTTTGCCTATTTTGAAGATGTTTTGTCCCCAATCAAAGAGCCAAAGCATGTAATTACTAAGGTGATCTCAAAATCTTAAAACCAAAACTGACTCCCTCTGCTTCAAACCTCTTCACCTGAACTGTTTGGTGATGCATCTTGCAACATGCCAAGAACTTAGTGAATGACTGACTTTCTTTGACATTTTCCCAATCTAAGGCAGAGATAAAGCACTCTAAATATCCTAACAAAAAAAAATAATAAAAAAAGCCCAACCCAAACCAGTTCAATGTATAAATCTACCAGTCTGTTATTGGTTAACATGCAGGGTTTTGATTGCTAAAAGTTAAAAATGCAAGTTCAAATGACTTTGCTTAATATAAGAGCATAAAAAGCCGTTATTGTTTACTAAACACTGACAGGTCTATCAGCATCTGTGGCCCTCCTCAAGGCTTGAAACACAATAAAATGAGGCCCTGCAGAACACTACCAGCTGCCCCTTTAACAGGGGATCTCGAACAAACAGCAACTCATGTTGGAGCACATCTACTGCAAAAGCTACTAAGTGCAAATTCTGCCTATACTATTTCTGGGGTCTCTCAAGGCCTTCCCTGGTGCCTCAAGGTACCAGAATTCTACCACAGCTGGAAATTCAAACAGAAAACAAGTCTTCTTAGCTTCAAGACTAACAGCATTTCAAGAACTGTGTGCTTGTCTTTTATTTGGTAGCTTTTTAGCAAAGCACAGAGCCTTGGACACCAAAAAGCTAAAAGACATTGAGTAACTGAGTATCTATTCTGTTAAGCTCCAGGCTTCCTGTACTGCTGGGTAACAATTTGGTTCCAGAAAATAGATTTCTTCAGGTCTTCAGAAGTAGCTGAAACTATGAATTTCTCATCTCCTCCAAAAAAAGAAAGCATAAATAAACTCGTTAGAGTTTTAAGAACTTATAGCTTAAATGTTAAAATGGAAAAAGTCTTCAACAATCAAGACTTTCACTCATGTTCCTCATCAGACCTGCTGGAATCAGTCCGTGTTGTGAATGGCTGCAGAAGGAGTATGGGAGGACTCCGAGCACTCTCCCACATGGAGTCTGCGGACAGCAGGCGTGCTAAGGTGCCAGAGCTCCAGTGCAGGGTCAGTCACCTCATTCTATTAAAACACAAAGCAGAAATATTGACCAATACCAATTTGTCTGTCTATCTGTAAGCATTGGAGGGCAGACACAGACTGACTTTGTATAGCACAGGAAATGTGCCAGGGCATTGTTACTGTTTAAAAATTAGTAGAAAGCACACAGGACTTTCGTGGCCCTTTGTTTACTTGAAATGTACTATAACACCAGCAGTATTTCTGTCTTTCCACTACTTGATCCAGTTTGGGAACAGATGTGTTATGTTCTATGTAACATTGATCCATTTGCTTTTGTTTCTCAACTGAAAAAAAGAAAATTCCAAAGCTGTTTCTGGGCTAGGAATTCTTTTCATTTGTCAATCCAAAGAGGAAGGTTTTGGCATTGCCATGTGCAACACTAGTTGGCTCTCTTCCTCTAAACTATTAATAACCCCCAGAAATTTTAGTTGAGTTCCTGTCCTCTTAGACTCTTGCCCATGCTGGTTCTCACCCTCCTTGCTGGGTCACCCACTGCACTGTGTGGTGGGAAACACATTCATGGCGGGCAGGTCTTCTTGGAGGATGGCAGCAGGGTGCAGGACTAAAATGATGTTTTGCCTGAGGTGCTGCAGCTGTTCTGAAGGAGTCAGCTGAACACCACCTCCAAACCTGCACTTTTAGATTTCCTGTGTTTCCAATTAAACACAAAACCAGATTTCAACTTTCATTTGTTTCAGGGTGAGAAATACCCTCAGTACTGGAATTTTGTGGGACAGATGCCAATTTATTATATTTTGTAAAAAATCAGTTTTACCGTCAGCACATCTAAGGACTACGTTTCTGTACTAAATGTATAAGTTGGAGTAAACTACACTTAAAGCTTGACCTTTTGTAAGGGGACACCAGCCCACTGCCAGCTCCCATTTATACAACCAAAACAACAAAAAAATACTGTCTTGAATCATTGGAGGTTTAAGTGTTGTTCAAAAATCTCATATTAAACACAAATCAGACTTAGTCCTAACTGGAGTTGCGATTGCATCTCCACAGCTGATTACCAGATGGGGAAACTATGCCTTTCTGGAAAGGCTGACGTAGCTTGAACAGAAATGAAAATGGGAACAATAATGGATACAGCCATACATCAAAACTTTATGCAGTAACACGGGCATGCATCTGGATAAAAGAGGGCAAGTGAAGAGGTAGATTGTCAGAGGTGAGCCTACAAGCAATCCCAAGAGGGAAAGATTTCCATCTGCTCATGGAAGACAGCTACAAGGAAATTCACTCAGCTCCACCTAAAGGGATTATATGATCTCTCATCCCAGAAAGGGAGTGGAATGTAAAACAGTGCCAGCAGCAGCACAGGGCTTGAGTCTCCCAGCATGATCTACAGGTAACTGCTGGCTCAGTTCACTGTTCACAGTTCCCTTCATCTGCTCAGTAAGGGAGTGGCTGTTGTTCCCGTCCCTAATTTGAGATGGGAAGATCAGAACTTTTTGATCCACAAAAATGCTTTATACAGTTTTCCAGTAAACCAGAGACTGCTGCACAGCTTTTTATTTTTTGTCTTTTATTATTTCTTCTTTAAAGTTTTGATTAAAAAAAATCAAACCAAAACACACCACCAAAAAAAAAAAAAAAAAAAAAAAATCAACAGAACTTTACCACACTTATTTTTAGGGTTTTCTTTCTACATCCTTCCCTTAGGCATGAATAGAAAGCCACAGCCATGATAGGAAGGCAGTGTGGTGCTACAGAGCTCTCACATATGGAGTTCTCACTTTGCCCTTCTTGCCACCACAGTAGCATTTATAATGTCAGCATGTCCATATCTGTTTAAAAAAACATCAAGCTAAATAATCCCACACTAAAATATTGTCCCA